TTTTTTAGGGAATTGTGGTTGTTGTAACCAATAAAGGTCAAACAAAAGAAACCATTTATGTAAATAATGTAATCATGGTTGTCCACATCCATGGGGTTTATCTTAGGGTGACCTTATTCCGAATCCCCAAAAAGAGGACATTGCTGCGCAGGGCAGAGTAGCGTGCCATATTTTGAGGGTTTTTTGAGTTGGGTTGAGTGTTTTTTATGTGCCTCTAACTCAGCTAGTCCCTACCTTTGGACTGGGCAATCTGTCTTTTCAAACACATCTCAGCTCAAGCAGACCTACTTGAGCTGTGCTGAGACCTGGGTCTGAACTGAACCAAGCAGTTTTAATACCTTACCAAGCCAACTGCACTCTCTGTGATGGCAATAGTTTGGTCAGGTTTAGGCATCTACAGAATTTGGTTAAAGGTCATGGTTTGGCCCAAATCATGAAACCAGTTTTGGCGTATTAACATAACTTCTAGCAGCCCTCTGAAAACCAGGGTGCAACAAGTCCAAGTCAGATTCACCTAAATTAAACCCCCAAAATGATGTATTTTCATCAAACGCATGGTGCTTATCCACTTAACGTAAAGTAAAGTGGAGGACAGTTGTCAAAAATCACTATCATATACGAACAAGAGAAGTAGCGGATTTTGTGGATCCTGCAAAAGTGAACCAGTCCCATCCATTATACTCATCCCACTCCATCCTCTCCATGAGGCGTACGCTTTCTATAAATACCATGTCTGTCTGCACACACCACTTAAAACACTTCAAAACCTGTGTGGTGTTTTCACTACCTCCCTGTAGTTCATCTCAGTGAAAACACACACGTTATTGTTTTCTGTCTCTGACAGAGCTCATCAATCACATGCAGCCTGGGTATTGTTACTGTGCTGTTCTTGCACACTAAGTTACATATCTCACATGTACGTGACATGCAGGGCGTCGTGCTACAGAGTCATTACGTGACTGTGTAAACTGATACTGCCACCAACTCAGGTTTCTGTAAGTGTTCATGGTTTGTTTGCATAGTCAACAAACCAATGAGGAGAGTTTGACCCTCATCCAAGAGACCGAACGTAATAAACAAAACTTTCCGGAAAGGGACACACCAGAGATTTTCAGTAAACACAGGAGGAAAACAGCGGCTGCCTCTGATGATGCCAAAGTGGGGTATCACAAATGCAAATTTGAGAGAATGCAGAGATTTGATGAGAGATAGAGGGACTTTTGTTTGGATTTAAACATGAGATCAGGAGTGACACATTTTTCCAGAAATCAAATTTGTGAAAATCTTATAAGTGATATAACTATTCGGTTTACGGTAAAGCTTAAGTGGATTATCTGGAAGATCCAAACGAGTATTTTTTTCTGCTCCTTGATGATCCATGAGCTCTGGAGATAGAACATAGAGCTCCAGAAGAAAAAAACACTTCGTCCAGTTCACTTGTATTGCATTAACTTTTTAAGTAAAGCACATCTGACATTTGTTACATCAGATGCTAAAACCATCAAGTTAAGCACAGAGGTGTGAAATACATCATTTTTAGAAATCTGTTAGCATATCACATTGGCCCACATACCAAAGAAAACACCCCAAAACTTTAACCCAACTGCTGCAGCCCCTCACCTCTCATCTGTCTTCAATTAGGCAGCAGTCACCACCATATAAATATCCACTTATCATCTCTGTAGTTTATCCTCCCCTGATGCAGGCCTGAGATGACACAGACAATAGCGGACGCCCATTTCTCCCAGTCCCCCTCTGGGCATGTCTCGACTCCTGGGCTGCATTTAACTTTTATTACCCAGGGAGATAGATTGGCTGCTCCCCACCCTTATTTGGTGGTTCGGTGTGTGTATACGAGGGGCTGTGGTTGTAAAGCTAAGACAGCATGGCTCAGTCAGAGCGGAGCCAGGTAACTGAGGATCCCTGCCACCAATTTGGAAAGCTGCTCCAGAAGATCCGATGACTCACGGCAATTTGTCGCTCTTGTTGTTTTTGATAGCTTATTTTTGTCCAGATACAGTAACTTGTGGCTGCTCGGATTTGGATCAGGGAAGAAGTAATGAGTGCATCCATAGAGCAGCAGGGTAAAAAGGTTAGAGAAACCCAAACAAATGTTGGCAAGCGACTGCACGCTGCATGCAAATGTGAACAAGATGGATTGTTTTGGAGGTTAACCAAGGAAACCAGTTTAGATGTTTAGTGGAATTGAGATGCTGTTTTTTTTTTTTTTTTTTTTTTGCAATTTTGTGACCCAAACTATTTTCTTAAAGGTTTCGTATTATGCAAAATTTACTTTACAATGGTTTTCTAACAATAATATAACCCCCCAAAATGAGAAACTTCTATCCTCTCCCTCTCTTGCTTGTTCCACCTTTAAGAAAATATCTGCTCAAACGGGCAGATTAAAACTATTACCTTCCATGACGTCATGGACAGCGATAACTCCTCCCCTCCAGGTTGGTGACCCTGCCCGAGATGTTTGTTCTGCCCCCTGAAGTTTCCACTAAGACACTATTTTCCCAAACACAAAAGCTGGTTCGAAATGGGGAAAGTACAGCAGTTGTTCTGTTGTTGGCTGCACGAAGCAGCACAATGGTCTGTTTCTGTAGACTGCAAGAACACCGTTACGAGAGAAAACTATACTAATGATTACACATTCACCAAAAGACCTCCAAGTAATGAGAGGACAGCGGAGATATAACCGTTAGCAGGAATGTTACCTAGCTACATGTAAGTCACTGTGCACCAACACACGAACGAAGTAAAAAGAAAAATATCGTGACACATAATATTCATTAACATCCTGCTTCAGCCACAGAGTTGGAATTGCTCCAGGAGCCTCTCCTTCTGGGTCAGACTCTGGATCAAACTGGTACAGCTGGACCACAGCATCTACGAGCCATACCTAGCACTCTGTGTAAACACTAGCCTATGGTACCCTAGCACAAGCCGTGCCCCCCTCTTCCAGAGAGACAGGGAGGGGCGTGGCTTGTGCTGAAGGAGGCATGGACAGGTGCAGCACACAGAAACAACGTGTTCTTGGTAGAGCTCACTAGAGAGAGTTTTCAGGCTGCTGAAGTCTAGGAAAAAACTTGGTTTTTAGATAACCAACTTAAAATGGACTGTTCTGGGACCTCTGAGACCTATGTAAACCTGCTGACAAGGAGGATAATATGGGACCTTTAATGCAGGAGAACAGTGGATCTGACAAAAGGGTCAAACTAACTGTCTCGAATCAACTGACTAGAGAGTCAGACTAGGACTGACTAGTACTTAAAATCAACAGTAAACCAGAAAATGAGAGACATGCCCGAGTCTGCCAATACCCTTTTTTTTCTTTGTAGTTTTCAATGGCTCATTTCTTTTGTTCTAAGGATGACTAACTAATCCCAAATGAAACTGTTTTTCCACTAAAGAGATTAAAGGGGGAGAAAATCCATCTAACTTTCGCCAAAGCTAGGTCTAGTTACCTCATTAGCTAGTTTTGCTTTGATGCTGCCTTTCATGTCGCTTTCTTTGTTGTACTTAAAGTATGTCTTTGTGATATGGTGAAGTAAGTAAGACTTAAAGTCAACAGATTTCCAAACCATGAAGCCAAAAATTGTGGGTTTTGATCTTTTTTAGAACTGTGTAGCAATTATGGCACATTTTACACTCATTTGTAGCAGCATGATGATTTTATGATAAGAATACAAACACTAGAAAGTCAGAAAGTCAGATCCTACTTAACCTTTGTCTTCATGTAGTATCAGGATTGCCTAGAAAATTCAGGTAGCAGTTTGGATGAGAGTCAGATCTTAAACATGGGCCAAAAAGCACAGAGACTGATGTTTGAGGGAAGTTATGTTATTCCCCAGAGCCCCTCCTCAGCTGCAGCTGCACCAGCGTGTTTTGACCTAAAGTGGTACACCTGACATGTGTGCCCTTTCACAGCGGCAGGACCTATTCTCTGTGGGCAGGAAGTTCATTTCCTCAGAGGATGGAGCCACACCTATTGAAATTTATAAAGCCAGATTATTATTTTCCCCCCAAATGTTGCCTGTTTCTCTTCCTCGTACTTTTCCTTTGTTTCATTGAAGAATAAAAAAAAGTTCTTTACCCTCACATAACTCCTGGAAAGTTTTAATCTGTTTAGCACTGTAGCTGAAGGTTTATCTCAGGGGCACGTTTCTTAACTCAAGGTATAATTGATGAAAATACTGAAAGTGTGAGGGATCATTTTCTAACAGCAGATATCTATGCTGCTGCTGACACAAGGAAGATACAACTCCCCTGACCTGTTTTTCTGACAGCAGCTGAAAGACAAAGAAAAGCTTTTAGAAGGTGATAATTGAAATGTCATCACTCTGTGATACATCTCATGGGAAGACTGTAGACTCAAAAACAGGCAGATATCGTCAGATCATTTCTGTCCTTACTTTTTCTGAGTACTCAGCAGTAGTGACAAAAAATTAACATATTTTTCTCAGGTAGAAATAAAGAGACCTGTATAAAAACAGAGACATAGTAGATAAAGTCAATGGGACAAAAAAACATCATTAACCCCTAAAGTCAAAAGTTGATCCTTAACAGCATTATCCAGGTTAGTTAGTCTGAGAGCTGCATTACAGAGAAGTTAAAAAACAAAAGTCGAGTTAGGAATAGATACCTGGAAACTGTAAAAAATCTACTGTTGATAATTTTGTTTGTATTGACTTTGGCGCCCCCTGTGGACAAAACCATACAGCTTGTGTCTTTGCTTATCTTACCCTGTACTCATAACTGTAAATCTTCTACATGAAATTGTGTTTTCAGGTCTGCTATCTGTATTTTTTAGTCAGACACCAACCTGCTGGTGGAAAACAGACACAAAATAACCTTCTCCAAGTAATTAGTTTCCTCTTTGGTGGTCTCTTGCTTTTTTTAAAATGTCAAAAGGCAGCAGTGACAATTTCAGTCCTTTTGGAATAATATATAACTCCTTTTAATAAGTTTTACTTTTATTAAGAAAGTATCTTAACCTTATTAAATATGATCTGACAGCAACAGGACAAAACAGTTATCTACAAATGAAGATATAAGGAATGAAAAATGAGGCAGCAGGTATAAATTCACAAGATTTTGTCCAGCAATCTGATGAAATCAAAGAAACAATACAAAAAATCTTGCATGTGAACATTATTACACGACAAGTCCCCAAAACAAACTCCCAGACTTTCCTTCAAGCTGCATATCACCACAGAGTCTACAGTCTGACACTAAAGGGTTAATTTGCGGCACTCTTAGGCAGACAGGGAGATGTAGAGGCACGAAAAAAGTCAACCACTGGAGCTTCTCTCTGCAGTGAAGTCAGGGCGTGACCCTCGAGATAGGCAGCGGGCTATCATGAGGGCGTCTCTTTGGGAGACTGGACCAGGAGAACACAGAGGCCTTTGTGAGGGCTGTGTGCGAAAAACTGCTGAGCCAAGCAAACCCTCGCCACCCCCATCCCCCTCAGCCCTCTTCTCCTCCTCTCCTCTCTTCTCCTCCCACCCCTTCATTTATTTCTTTTCTCCCTGCAGACACACACAAACGCTCACTCACTCACTCACTTACTCGCTCACTCACACACACACTTGTTCTGTGTTTACCAGTGGTCTCTTGGGATTAAGGTTTTCTCTTCAGCTGCTTGGAGGTTAAAGAGGGAGATGCAGGCTTTTCTGTGGTTCGAACTCTGAACATGCAAGCAGTGCATTATGGGATACATCTGTAACTTCAGAATAACCTGCTGCGAAAAGTTTGTTAGCTTGCACAAAAAAGCTGAAGCCTGTTGAAGTGTGACACCTTTAAAAAATGTGACACCTTTACAGAGAAAGAAGAAACCATCAGCTTCTCGGTAAATGCAAATGTGCAAAGCAGTGTCGTCTGAATACCAACAATATGGCATTATTTCTAAACATGACAGATAATCCAAACTTGCTAATTCAGAGCAGGCGACCTGTCTGCAACTGATTTGTTTAAACATACATTTACCTTAACATGCTGTTTGCAGCAGCAGAAACAAGTGTGTGATGTATGTGTCAGTTTAACAACAGAAAAGTGCCCCAGAGCTTGTAACAGCTTTGGAAACATTAATATATAAACTGATAACACCCTGCAGCACAACACATCCTAACGTGCTCATCTTTATCAGATTCAGGTCAGACCTTCTTCTCTGTAAACATGAGTTTTCTATTTTCCTTGAAGCAATGTGTCACGGCACATACGGCGCATAAATAGGCTACTTTAACCCCTCTCTCGCTGCCCTGTTGACTCAAATCAGCTGCCGGAGGGGGATTACTTTAGAAACACAGTGACAGAGGAATGATTCATAGTTTATGTAAGGTACCACCTTTACCCACCAGAGGCAACAAGAGCATGTTAAAAAAATAGGTGTTGAGTGTCAATATTGCCTCCAGGGTTTATGAAAAGCTTTTTACTGTTCATGCTAAATTACATTTTCAGGGACTTCCAGCAGGATATTTCACTACTTTAGTCATAGGAGAGTTTTTTATGAAGGGGCTGACTCTTGGGATTGTCGCACACATGACTAAATCCATCTCATGTGATTTTTTTTTCTTTTTTTCAGCTGTGGTAGCATCTCCATGGAGGGCACAGTGTTTTCAACCCTTTCACCTCTGCAGAATGACCTGAAAATGTAAAGATCACTCAAGGTAAAGCTGCACAAACACCATTGTTTTCCAGAGGTGAGCCTGACTTCTTCTGTAATTCAGTATTCAGTGCAACAATGATGCTTTTGCTTTAAAAGCTTGCAAACACAGTCATCACACCCTCTCAGTTAACATTCAACAAGATCTTCACTCCTAATTGGGTTAAATTCTATTTGCTCCAATAATTTGATGATGACATCCCTAATACCCTCTGCTGCTGTTGTGTCTCTTTGCATGTTGACTCTTAAGTGTGTTTGCTTTCACACAAAGCACAGCTGTGCCAAAATACATCCATCAGAATTGCTTGCATGGCTGCAGACTCGGTTATCTTTCACTGGATGTTTAATCAAAAAATCAAATAATCTAAAGCTACAGTTGGAAAATTTTGCTTTGTGTTGTAGACAAACTCATACCCATAGACTGTATGTACTATGGACAACTTGGTTCTGCCTTCCGTCGTTATATGAATTTGTAGCCTCGGTATTTCCAGGATTTTCTCCACTTCCTGGAACCACCACTTGCACAAAAGCGTTGTACGCATGCGGCAGCAGAGTCGCTGTGGTGACGCTCGGCTCAACCAGCGTATCCCCCGGGTGAGCTACGCAATCTTCGTACACCCATAGGCTGTATTAAGTGTCAATCATAGAAAACACAAACCCCCAATAACTTTCAAAAATTGAGCTGTACAGAAAAAAGAGGACTTGAGCACAAACCAGTCTTACAGTAACTACATGTCAACATCGCAACCAGGGGGGAGAAAAATCTATATTCTGTTTAATTAATTCTAAATTTTGTCCACAGCTGCATAGGGATTGCTGAAGGAGGCGGGATTTATGACCCATATGGCAGCCCGTCTTCAGGATGTGCTGTTCTCGCAGTGGCTTCACCCAGTGAGGAGGCAGACGGCGTCCAGTCTATCTATATATTCTATAGCCATACCTCATTATCTATGTATTGATCTTGTCCTGAACTTGTGTAAGGTGTTTTTGGATGAGAAATTCCTCCTGCTGTCTTTTAATAATCAAATGTTTCATTCATTGACAACCTTTTGCAGTCAGAAATGTAAACAAAGACTCTTCTGGTACTTTTTAGTAAATCACTTCATTAACTGACAGTGTGGCAGTAATTTCAGGCATTTAAAGCTATAGAAGAGGAATAATATACCTTGATGATGATGTTGTAACAAATCAAATTTTTTCAGCTCATATCAGTCTAACTGTAGATAATTTTAGTCCATTTAAGAATCAGCAAAGATCTCCTGACAGGAGCTTTAAAATGATTGAGTATTATTTGAGTATTATTATGACAAAATTAGTTGAGAGAACCTTTTTCCTACCATTGTCATTTGTGAATTTTAAATTATTTCATAATCCTTACCATTATCACACTGTTTTTAGCTGAATACCTGAATTTGAGCTTTTTGTGATATCTCAGAGGATTTCTAGTTTCTAAACCAGAAAGTAGACCTGAGAGTGCAAACTAGCCAAGATAATTTTCTAATCAACTACCAGATCATGTATAGTGGGCTGGTGATTTGATTTGAGAGGGTTGCAATTCCAACAGGATGAGTAGGACCATAGCATAAAGCAGAGCTGGGCAGAGGGGTGGTCCCAAGTGGCACTGGCCCCAACTGAAATCTGATTAACCAACCCAAAATCCAAATCTGTGACTGGCACTTTTCAAAGGAAGGATTTTGGTCAAAATCCATGACTTGGACTGTGTTGTACCCAGCTGCTGGTAGTTTTCTTCATTTTTCATACAAATGGCAGTGTCTGGTCTAGAGAGATGTAGCCAGAGTGGAAATGCGAGAAACTGCTGTTACCCATGTGACAGCTAGAAGTACCAGAAATCACATACACACTCCTTGCAAACAGCAAAAACCAACTTGGCTACAGCACAGTTCTCTTTTGGCACATAATGTACCGGAAGTGGATATTTTGTTTAAGATGTCATATTTACAAGTTTGGCAAATCAGAGGCATGGCTGATGAGCAGGTGCACCATAGCCGTTTCCAAGGAGGCAAAGACCCGCCTTATCGCTGCCTTAAGTTGGGTTGAGCATTTCCAATGTGGCATTTCTAATGTTTTGTATCTTTACTGTCTAACTTTTTCAATTTTATTGATGTCTCATTAATTTGACACCTTGATCCTCTTTGCCTGTTTCTGTGCTGTTTTCCTTATTTCAGTTTTCTCTCATTGAATTATCCACATGCTACAGTTATATGTGGTGGTATAGCTTGATTCCACATGTGAATGTGTAAGCCTGCGGTGGGGAAAGCACACCTCCCCTTTGCCTCATGTGTACATGAAGCCAAGGCAGGGAGAGCCCGGGAAGGATCAGCTGGTGTACTGGCATGACCTTGACTTGTGACATGTCTGAACTAACACTACACTCAATTTCTTTCTATTTGTTGATGATTGGTCACCCTACCCATCCTCCAAATGTGTGTGCTCTCCAAATACATCAAATGTAACTTCAATAATTCCCTTCATGTTGGTTACTGATTTAGCATGCTGAGATAAACAAATGTTTTTCTGCCACGGTGTCAACAGGCAGAGGTGAAATCTACAAAACTCTTTTGACCACAGATTGATCTGATTTGATGTTTGGGATTAGGGTCTCTCTCATGACACTTGGTTGGTGAGCAATAACACACTGTTGGTTAAGTATAAAAGACAGCAGGGTTATAAGATAATCAAGAAGGTATGTTCATCAAAAACCAGTAAACCATGAGTCAGTTAGAGTGAAGATTTTGTGCTGCAACCAGTCTGTCCTTAATAGGAAGAAAATGAAACAACAGCCATTTCAATTGTCCATAGAATTTTAATGAAAAAAACAGCAATGTACCCATTGAACAACAAAACAAAAAATAAAGAAAAAAAATTAAGAGAAATTGTAAGATTTGGAGAGCCAAGCTCTTTATGTACAGCATATTGCACTAGAAAAAGAACAAACATCCCCTGTCCTCCTCTGTTCCCTCCATTGCTCCATGATCTGCACTGTTTAAAAAACTGTGCAAAACACACAGAGCAGTCCCAACAATAACACAGCCAATGCTTGAACAAAAAAAAGAAAAAAACTGCTACATCTGGCCTGGGTCTCACTTCATAGAGGACACATGAGCATGAAATCCTTGAGACCACTCTGAACGTAAGAAAAAGCAATGTGAAGACGATACAAACTCCCCGCGCAGACAAACAGCACGAGAGTCTGAAAGAAGTTCCACTGTTCAGTTCATGTGTTAAAAGAGATATTGTGGTTTTCACTCCATTAAATTACATTCAAACCCTTAAGATACAGATTTTTTTCAAGGAATGTTGGACATGCATTTTTACTCCATTTACATATATCCAAAAAAAGCCCTTGAACTGAGAGTGACACAGCAGACTTGGCAATATCCAAAGATTTAAAATGCCACAACATTGAAAAAAAGCAATCATAGAAAAGCCAAAAGGTGTTGTCATTGCCTTTCATCGTATTCTTACAAAAAAGATATGGAAAATTTTTGTTAAAAATTTTATAAAGAAAGCGATGATCGCTGTGTCAAATTCATGTCAGATGTATAAAAACACCAAATCACAGCACTTGACAGTAAAGATGCACTCCTCCTCGGATACTCAAAAAACTGATTGAAAAAATTTGATATTAAAGACACTGAAGGTTTAAATGAATTAAAAATCTCTCGCTTGAGTCAGGGTTGCAAAAAAGTAGTTGTTATCGACAGGCTTCAACCCATCTCACATAGGAATAATACTGGGCACCATGGTGGCTCATTCTTTCTTCAAATGTAAACCCGCAGCCCTACTAGATTGTAGATAATAAAGCACAAAACCCAGCCGGGCCGGGCCGATCCAGCATATTACAGATCTCAAAAGGACTCAGGAATCTAAAACGGGAAGTTCAGCACAGGAGTAGAAAGAGAGAGGCGCAAAATACAGTATACAGGTTTAAAAAAAATTGTTGCTTTTTTTCTTTTTTCAGTGCACATTGATTGCAAACAGTCGTTTCTGATAGTAAGAAAGATCGGCGTGGTGATATTCGCCGTCGGTGCTGAGAGATGTCAAAGGTTGAGCCTGTGCCTCGTGAGCTGATGTGAGAAATCAAGCTGACTTTTTTTTTTAATATATATATATTCTGTTGACCTCACAGAGCCTGAGTGAAACAAGAGCTGTGACCAGTGACTTTAGGAGGTTTATGCCAAGTGTTCATGATGATGATAATGCGACAGGTCTGTTTACTCACAAGGCACATTTTGTACATTTGATTGTCTGTTATTTTCATTGTGATTTGTAAAAAGGCTCACACAGCGTTTGTGTGAGGAATGCACGAGGCACATGGCTTTAGTCCAACCTCCCCGCACACACAGGCATCAAACACACAACTGGATGCATGTCAACAATGAGAAGAAAAGGACTGTACACACTGAGATAGCATCTATACAGTAGCACTGAGCAAATATACACAAAAATAAATTAGAATAAATTATCCAAAAAGAAACCAAACAAATGAAACTTGTTCTCAATAAGGACAGGGAGTAGTTAAATATGAGCGTGGGGCTGCGAAGACCAGAGAGTGCGTCACAAATGTCTGATTTGGCTCAGCGTTCAGTGTTTGCAGGAAACAAACTTTTGGTTCAGCTCCTCTTTCAGTTACAGGAAAAAAAAAAAATCACAACAATCCGTAACACCTTTCCATTCTGATGTAGAGTGAAACAGAAACATCGAAAGAAACGTCTTTGCTTGTTCAGCGTCGTCTACTGCATCAGTCAGTCCTCGCTAAAAAAGGCAGATTTTCAGCAAACACATTTCATGATAACACGAACCGGGCAGAACTAATGCGGATTAACTACTCCCTGAAGATAACATAAAAGAGAAAAAACCCATCAGTGTCTTCAAAAGTTCATATCATGAATCTACTACAGACTGAAAAAATACATCAAATGAGGAATTTTTAACATCTTATTTAAAGTCCAAAAGAGACTTTGTCCTTACATTTAGAAACAGTGGCTGTGTTGCTGCAGAATGCTAACGTAGCACGTAGCTAGGATGTATAAACTTTCTCCTTTACCTAAGTGTGTCTGTGTGAGTAGTAAAAACTGTACAGAAGCTTTTTCATACAGTGAAGCAGAATGTACCACTGGCAGTTTGGTGAAAGAAAGCACTTGAATGAAAGTTTGAGGTGATACAAAGATGTATCAGCACAAAAGGTTTGAAGCAATGTTTGAGATACGTTAAAAACCTGGAGCGAAATCAACTACAAATGCATCTCTGTGGCTTTAACAAAAAGACTCATAGAGAGGTGTATTTCATTGAGAACGCAGCTGTATTTGGGGAAATGTCCATCTATGGATGTCAGTTTGATTGCAAGTGCAACAAATCCCTAAGACATTACTTCCTTCTTTCTTACTGGCTTGAATATTGCTCACCCTTGAAAAATGCTGTCATCGTGCAGGCGGTTCACCCTGCAACAAAAGGGCAAAGATTGTCAATCCAGCCAGAGAAAGAAACCCCTGAAAAGCTTTGGAAAAAGATCAAATTCATCCAAAGATTTCCAGCTGTCTGATTGTTTTGTAGTTCCCTGATATTCATCCCACAGAGGAGATTTGTTTGTCTTTGTGCTTATTTGGTTTCAGTATTACTGCAGATTTGGGAAACAGTAAGCACGCTCTCCTACAAACACAGGATCACATATCGAAAGAGAAATCACAATTACAATCTTGAAGTGACTCAACTATCTCTAAATTCAAGTATGCATGTGTCAATTCTTCAACTCAACAGGGTCTGATCTACACAGTGGGACTTTATGCCACTTGAACAGCATGAATGGTACTGGAGGTGAGGATAGTGATGGATGACATTGGATGAGGAAATGTCCCTACGTTTATAGTGGAAGCTGGTGAAAACATGGCGCCACACCAGCGTGCATCATATGACAACCATTCTTTATAAAGCCAGTGTGGAAGAGTAAAGGAAAGAACAGGGGCTTTTTTTCAGAGAATAAATTAGAAATGTGCCTCAAGTCAAGGTTTGAAGTCAGTAACTTCAGCACAGAAATGTCCACGTCCACAGTTAGTCGCCAAAAAAGTGGCCAAATCTCAAAAATGGATCTCTTTCTTCATGGTTTCCTTGATGCAAAAAAGGGCTGTCGTACTGTGGCAGGAGAGAATAAGGCATTCCCTGGACTGATGGAGGTCCTTCAAGACTTGAAATACCAAATAAAAAGAGTAGTTTACTGTACAAAATAGGTAATCTTGCAAATATTTCGAAAATATCTCTTCAAACACAATGGCTCCTTCTTGGAAAGACAAAAACAAAACAAAGAAAAAAAAGTAACAAAAAAAAGTGTAATCAGTCTCCGTCCAGCGGTGACCAGTGTTTTCTTCATCTCATCTTTAATTAGAAAACAAAATCCGAACCCGTGTTCCATCTTACAGTGCCATCTCCTAAAGTCTGGTCCCTTGTCCCCTTTAGGGGAGGGGTGAGGAGGGAGACAAGGGGCTGAGGCATGTGCCAGCTCAAAGTCCCTTCATCTCTGCGCTCCTCTCAGGCGAGGGAAGAGGGCCTCTCTTTGAAACAGAAAGCCAAACAGGGCCATGGTAAGGCGCATCCAGACCGGCAGGTTTTGTCTCTGGTGCCTCATAAACTGCAGACAGAAAAAAAAGAAAAAAAACAAAAGTAGAGATTAGTTTATCTGCATGACGCACTGTTATATCATCATGAAAATGAGCCTGAAGATTTCATAATAACAGGTCGTCTTTGTGAACTGTGGTAACCTCTGTGAGCTGAAACCATGTGACCCGGTCGACTGGATGTTTCCACAACATTAGCTTGTGTCTAGCAAACATGCGTGTCATATGCACATCCTGTCAGACGTAAATACACAATATTTTACAGAGGAACTCTCATTTCCAGTCAGAAAGAAAAACTATTGATAGGGCTGTCAAACAGTTTTGAAATTTTTATAATTAGCTGAATAGTATGTCCCAATTCATTACATTTTAATGGCATGTTTAAGTGTGCCACTGTCAGGGCAGCAACAGGGAGGAAGAAGATGCTGCAGCGCTTAAATTACAGTGTGCCAAAAGGGACAAAACACCATGGGATAAAAAAAAAGACATTTTCTTCTAACCACAGTGGCATCATGATCTAATTCTACACTTGAGATTAACTTTGAAACTGCATCAATGATACCAAGATGAGACTCGGAAAAAGTCTAGGAAAGTTTACAGAAACTTTCATGGTAATATTTATGAATGATTTCCATTAACTTGGCTTCACAGTTAGAAGGCTTTGGGCTTCTAAGAGCTTCTAATAAAATAATTGATCACAGGATCTAAAATTCTAACCTCAAATTTCACTCAATCCCCCTCTTTCAGATTTCAGCTTTCGTTTTTGTAAAGTATTGCCTCACTGACTTCAGTACAGGTTTATTTTCAAAGACCATGCTGCCTGTTTCATCACAGCACTTCTGTAACAGCAAAGTCAGCTCAATAATTATCAAAACAAAGCCGAGGAAACCGAAACTGCTCCCTCCTATGAAGCTGCCTTCCCCGCTCCTGTCATGTTCTGTTGAGCTGCTCGGCCCCTTGTTGACTTCAGACAGATGAAGGAGTTCTTGCTGCAGCCTGCGATCTCCTCTCTCCCCCTGCTCCTCATCTCTGATCCCGTATAGCTCCCCCCCCTCGGCTGTCTCTGAACACTCTGAATTTCAGCCTGTTGCATAAGCATACTTGTAACGATCTCTCTTTCTCTCTCCCTGCACCCCTCCACTGTGCTCCTTACCAGCCCAGCAATCAGAGCCCGCCACAGGCTATTTAATGCAGAACAAGCAGACTGAACTGAACTGAACCAGCACCGCTAAATGTAACCCTAATTGTCCTTAATTGCTTTAATTCTATGCTGCTGAGCTTACTTAAACAGTACCCTGGTTTGTTCCACATGAGGCTCATCTTTCTGCCTGGATGGTGGAGGATTGTGTGTTTTTTGGCCTGTTTAGGATAATGCAAATGTCAGCTTGGATTGACTCTCTGAATTTATTAGGGGTAGGGTGAAGCAGAGGCGGGGAAACAAAGTATAAAGTAAAAACATCTGTCATTTAAAGTAGGTGAAGGTTTTATGTGTGTTTATCCCACTTCTTCGATTTTATTGCAGCAAAATAGGATTAGGACCAAAAAGCTGTTGTTTGAGTCGTTCTGTCTTGAAAAGTTTTATTTACTTTATTACCAAGATAGCTTGCAAAAAGGAAAGATCAATACTGCTGAGTAAATCCCAATAAACTCTGACTAATCTATTGTCATTTATCTGCCACAAAAGTCATCCATACTCATGGATAACACTCAAACTGCAAACACTATCTACTCCACACAAACAAAAACCCACACCTAAGCCCACACTCACTCACTTCTGCTTGGAGAGGCGAGTGAAAAAACTCTAACAATAGCAGCAGACACAATACGGAGAAGCGATTGGATATCATAAAGGACCACTTGTGCTTTCTCTCCCTTTGGTGTATTCCTACAGCAGCAGCAGTATCAGATCCAGCAGGATAAAACCAACTCCAGCGCAGACGGCAGACAAAAAAAAGTTAGAAAAAAAAAAAAGTCTCTCTCTTATCTCTGTGTCACAGAGTTACACACAAAACCCAAAACACACACACAGACGCACACACTCAGCCAGTCAGCGGGACAACTGAGGTATTGTGGGTAGCCGTGAGTCAGATTCTATTTTTAGAAGCGCGTATAAACAGACGGCCAAGTCTACCCAGACACAGACGCAGAGCTCGCTCCTGCTCGCGACAGACGCGCCGGTCTCACCTGCTCTGTCTCAATCTTTATAGAGTTTGTCAAAATCTGTCAGCGTATATCACCTCACTTATTTATTTCTCGCACTTCACTCATCTTTGTTTGGTCTTTTTCTCAATGCTTTCCAAAACTTATCAACCGCACCTTGTTCTTAACAAAGATCCCCCACATGCCAAAACAGACAGACAGCAAGCTGCAGATAAGCGCCATGGCAGTCCTCCCAGTATATTCTGTACTCATTAACTAACTTCATGGTCATGTGACTTCTGTGAACTCTCACCGGTAACTGCTTTATAAACACTGATACAAGTAACCCCCTGAGTGTGACACCAAACAAACTGCAGAACAAAGGGGATTCGAGCATTTAGAAACTTACTACACTAATTTATAATATTGTTTTTTTCCCTGCAAACTGTAATTTTGTTGTGAGTTCTGAATTGGTCTGTGCTTTTTTCAGTCTACATTAGTCAGATGAGGAATATTAAAAAGTAGAAGACAGACACCAAACAAAAGCTAGACACGTTCTTGGTCTAAAGCCCTCTGCTCTGACTAGTGTGCTGCTGCAGTGGTTAAGAGTACAAAACTGAACACAGGACAAAGTAAGAAAGTGGTCCAATCCACTGCTGGAAGCCAGTTACAGTGATGTAGTTTTATGGGTTTTGTTTGGATTGTAATGTTGCTAAATAGTGCCTTTTTATGGCTTCAGAATTTTCCTTTAGTTTGGCCAAGAAAGTGGTTGATTTCCTGCTTAGGTTATTTTTATCAAGTGTTTAGTTTCTTTCTCCCCAAGAGTGAGCCATAAGTTGGCATTGAAGGGCATCTTTATGTTGTGTTTCTAATTAAGCAAAAGATGACATCCATTAACAGCCCACAAGAAACATGAACATTTTGTCTGGCCAGGCCAAATGAAGATTGTTTCAGTTTGTGTCTCAGTAATAAGATTTCCTTAAGATTAACTTTTTTTTGTTTCTTCCTCCTTGAAATGTAAATCTTTGTGTGTATTTTCTGTTTTACAGTTTCACACTCTCTGCTTTAACCCAAATGCAGGCTACTTGTTTGAAGTGGAAGTTCTTTTTAAAATCCACTTCACTGCTTAGGATTGAAGCTTACCAGTTCAACGTGATCCTGGTGGAACTTGTCTCCAATCTCCCGCAGTTTGCGACCGATTTGCGCTTCGACACTCATCCCCGCCTGCTCTTCTGGCCCCTCTGCCATCCTGTCATCCTCCTCCCCTCTGTCCTCTTCCTCTTCTTCTTCGATCTGTCTATCTCCCCGGTCCTCCATGGGCTCAAACTGAGCAGGGAAATGTGAGCGTAATCCAGCGTTGCCTAAAAGCAAAACATCAAGCTTCTAAAAACTTGTGTTGACGTGAAACTCTGAAACACCACCAGGATGAATTTGATTCTCTGAGACATTACTGATACCACTTCTTGAGTTTGAATGTTTGAATTTCACCTGACACTGACTATTTTCTGAAACACAAACACGTTTTTTAGATCTTCTCAGAAAATAATAGGCACTCAAAGTCAAACTGAAGAGACCACAAACAAGAAAGAGAGAGTGTTGGAAGCGGATGAACTCAAACACCTTTTTTAATTTAACAATAGCATCAGTGAAGTGCGGTGTTTTTCTTTTTTAAAGCCCGTGTGTGTCACTGAGTTTACTCGTTGCCTTCAGCATAACTCCTGCCGTCATGCTTTTGGGAGGGAAAACATTTTGTTATGTTATCATGTTTGCAGAATGCTGCTATTCTGCCAAACAGAAGCCCATGATACCTCCAAGAAAGAGAGCATCCCTGGACCGCGGCCAAGTGCATGACATCCATTACTGGTTAGATTACTATGAAGCACAATAACTGTGCAAGGATTGATGCCTTAAAACGGAGGACAATGTGTACCTCTGACATGCTGACAGTGAGTCAACAAACGCACAACAATCTACTTCGACTTTCCTTCAATTCAATTAGAGTGATGTCACAATGATCTGATTAGAAATAGGGCATCTGTATTGGATTAAAACTGTTGAGCATATTAGTTTTGGTATGTGCCTTTATGTGGGCTTAAATTTGCGTTGTTTGTTTTGATTAGTTCAAGAAAAGCCGTTTGAAAGCAGTGAATGAGAAATATGTTAGAATGTGGCCATGATTTATCTGATTTAGGTTAAAAGTGTATTTTTAGAGCGCACGATACATACTAATTGACATGTTAGACAGAGAAAGTTTTGTGAAAAAAGAACCGCATGCTTTTCGAGTTCTCTTTATGTGATTGATAAGACAAGGGGATCTCCCAGTTGCAAGGAAAATTAATTTCTAAGCTTGTGTGACAAATGAAAATGGGAATCGCTCTGTTAAATAGCTGAAGAAAAACAAATTAGTCCGCTCTCATCTTATCTAACACTTGTCAAATCCGATTGACAGGTTTAATCACTTGGGTCTTTGAGGACAATTACCTCCCAGATAAAAGGAATGACGAATAATCTACAACATGCAGAGCTGTAAACACTCTGTGTCTAAAACCATAAGAAGGCTCACAGTATTATCATCTCGCCCCTCCTTACCGTGAAAGGGTAAGTGAGGCTGCCTGTGCAAGCTGCAAGGCAGTGCGTCGATGCCGATGCCGTTGCCGTTGTTGCTGTGGTTCTGCGACGTGGGAACGACGGCGGCCGCGGTGATGGCAGCGAGAGCCCGTCCAGTCGTGATCTGTGTGGCTTGGTCTTCGTACTTGACGTCCTTGAAGGGCGTTCCCCAGAGCTGCGAGATGGGCCGTGACATGTCCTCCTCCTCATCATCCATCCGACGCCTCAGCGGTAAACTCCCTGCAGAGAGGAAGGGGGTACAAGGTGGAAACTTAGGTCTAATGACAGTGAAATAAAACTCTCATATCGACAGGTTTATGATCTGGCAGGTGACTGAGGCGTAATTTGATTGAAGGGCAAGCAAAACAAGACAAATATCATTCTGTAATCATTAGAAACTTTGCCCTCAAGCAGATGGAGAAACGCAAGTATCATCTACGTTGAGTGTAAGCAAATCATTATAATGCCCGATAAGATGCAAATGTAGCGTGAGGTAACACTGAAAACAAACAAGCAAAGATGGATCAGCCAATGTTGTTCTCTATCTAAGGAAAGGTTACGAAAACACAATGAGACCAGCTGTAGCTTAACCGATTATCTCTTATAATACAGTGATGAGCAGCAACAGGAGCCAAACGTATGGAAACACCCTGTGTAGGGGTGACCCCGTGGGCGGCTAAAAATGCTACACCAGATTTGCCATCCTCCAGCAGCAGATTTTGCCAAGCTGTTTCTGATTATGTGCCAATTTAAATCCACTGAGAAAGACATTTTTCCCTCACAACCACCTTAATCTGTAAAAGCGTACCACAGAGGAGAACACGGTCAAGGGATTAGCTTCCTCCAGCACCATTCTGCAGCTCAATATTAACACTTATGCTTATTATTCCCTCTCACTCTCTCAGCCGCTCGATCGCTGGATAGCTGCCTGTTTACACTAGCAGTCCGCACATTCACAGTAGCGGGCGGTGTGTGAGTGAACCTTTAGTGAAACTCAACTTGTAGGCAGACTGTCATGTGCTACGGTTGTATCAGGAGTGAGATAACAAGTTTCACTCCATCCTCTGGTAAACACTTCCACTCTTCCTCGTTGGCCACGTGCCACGATCAGCACTACTGTTTCATCCTTTGTTGAGAGTGCCTGTCTTTTTCCTTTTTCTAGCGCGAGTGGAGACAAATGGGCTGGGTTGACTGGCAAATGCAAAAGATGAAACTGGATCTTCTAGTATTTTGTTTACTGAGTGATGCAGCCCCATTTGCTCATCTCTTTATGAAAGTGTCCCTGCGCATGATGTCATATCATGAGACTCAAAGGAAAGACACTGCAATTTGAACAACTGGAAAACTACAGACTGTCTTGCGAGGTCACACTTTCCATGTTCAATGTATGTCTGTGGATTTGACATACTGTTTTTCTGAGGGAAACAAAAACATACTACTGACCCACAAAAGAGCTGGCCGCCTCTATACCCAGGGCCAATACCCTAATTAGTTGTGCAAAATAGCCCTTATCTGTGTTAACTTATCCTCAAGGCAAGTAGAATATCAATTAATGCCATGCAAGCGCTCCCTGCAACAATACAGGTTTGACTATGATCAAATGTACACTTGTGTTGTGTGTCAGTGGCAATGTGTGTGCCCTGTCTTGAATTTCCCTGGCAGCCAACAGTGGACTGGCAAGATTACCATAGTGTCAGACACATAAAAAACAAACATAGACAGGGGAGACACACAGAAAGACACCACACACAGGCACACGCATACACACTCACACTCACACATGCACACACTCGCTGATACACACTGCCTGGGGCAGCAGGGAGGCCTGGCATCCAGCACGGTGCTGGTCAGAGGCTCAAAGCAGCAGCAGAGAGTGGCTCCCTCTGCTGCACCATCTGCGCACCGGGCTCTGCTCCATGCTTGGGTGGGGGGTGCACACAAGGTGAGCTCTGCAGCTATTTCACCTACTGCCTTCGTGTCATTGTCACGAGGAATAAATCTCCTGTCGGTATCTGTACCCACGTTACAAGCTCTGGTTACGACATTAACTTGTCATCGGAAAAGACACTCGCAGCAGGCCACTCAAATGTCTTGATTCCGTACGTTTAATGTGACTTTTTCACTGGTGGAAGTTGTCACTAATTCACAAAACTAGTATCACTGCACAAACATAAACACGAGACTTTCATTGAGTTGTCCCGGCTCGTTTTATAAAAGCTCCGGAGGACCACCGGGCATGTCATGCACCCGTCTTCACCCGCTTCAGGAGCTCATCGCCGGGGGCAGCTCAGAGCGTACACTCGCAAGATCCAACCGCTCATCACTGAGGACATCGTCCACACACAGACAGCCGGAGCATCTCTCAGGCAAGAAGATGTGACGCTGACACGTTTGTCAGCAAATATTACACCACAACCCAAGTTGTGAATTTAAACTCAGGAGTTTCATAACAAGACGCTGTTTTTCTCGCTAAAAAGTAGGTGAAGATTCAGCGTTGCTCCTGGCATTTTTATTCTCGTGACAGCAGCAAGAACACTAGCAGCACTAAAAAAAAAAAAAAAAAAAAAAAAAAAAAACTAGGGCAGTTTCATAACAATGTTACTCGCAATTCCACCTTAATCCACCGTTTACTTTCTCCAAACTTCACCGGACAATTCCTCTCCAACACGAACACCTCTGAAATTAGAGCGGATACATTTTCCCACGCAAGACACATTTTAGCCTAATAACAACACTTCCGAGAAAAAAAAAAACAAGTGTTTTTGGAGTATGTAACAAGTTTGTGTGTAAACCTACTTCTGTTAATTATATTGGTGGTTAATAACTGATAACTAACGGTACAGATCCACGGTTTCCACTCAAACACCGGACAGCATCAGCCGGGACGTTGAGAATCCACGCGCGCGAGGTGATGAACAGAACAGCAACGTCGTCATTTCTTCACTTCTTCCGCCGACACGAGTAAAAACAACACACAAAGTACCGCTTATACGCACAACAGGATATGAATAGGCCTATAAATGTAAATGCAACTCTTTGGAGGATGCAAACACTTTAGCGAGTCCGCAACCACTACCACCGCCTCTGCCCGGGCATGTCCAAGCCGCCCGCACAGTCGATGCCTAACTCCCACCGACAGCGGCGCATTCGACGGTGCAATATCGTATTAATTTACAAAAAAACGACCGTTACACTCACCGCCAGCAAACGCGCTTTCCGTAGTGATCGGTGGTATCTTGACAATTTGCTGTTACCTTGTTTCCTACGGACTGAGCTCATACATTCGTGTCCCTCTTTGCATTACAACTACTCATGGGTGTTTGCTGACTCGAGTGGGGTTGTTTTTTCCCTCTGTCAAAGCGGTCCGCCCCGACAGGAGGGACCCGCCCATTCTTAATAATGTGAAAGGAACAGAGTCAGCCAGGGTGTCATGCAAATACAACAAACTGAAAGGATGAAATAATGCTGTTGTTGCCTAAAAACCATTGCATTTGGTTTTCAGAAAACGGAGAGAGGCTGAGGAAGCTTTCATTTGTACTTGAGTAGGAAGTAGCAACATCTCTTTCTAAAAACCCCAGTTAGCTTAAAAATGAAAATTCTGCAAAGTGCAGTTAAAGCAGTGTTAGCAAAATTTACATGCAGTTTCAAGCCCAAAAGCAACCTTATTATTTTTGATTTTGGAAACAAGGCTGTCCAAGTTAACAAAGCCTCATCAATACATCATATGCAAACGTAAACATGCAAAAACCTTGATTTGTATAAGGCTACCTGTCCAATTAAAAGTAAGTTTAAACCTCCCTATTTCCATTTGAATCGTGTTTTCAGATGAGCAATCAGAAGTTTTAAAATGGAAATACACAACATGATGAAAATAAAGCACATGTACCTCAAATTTGAAATATATCCCACTGAATGTTGTAAAAACTCGCAATATGGAATCTTGTGCAGAATCAATCCATCATTTTCTTTTCAGTAAGCAAATCTGAACAAATTTCATACTTAAAACAAATCAGAAATAGAAGATTTCTGCATCAGATGTTGAGCCCAGTCTGTATTGTTGTTGATGTGAATAAAAAAAAAAAATACAGTGCCTGGCCCTTTAAGAGAACAGTCCTCCTCGCAACCATAAGCTGGTGACAAGCAGCGAGCCAATCGGCTGGTTTGTTTTGGTCCCGCCTTCTGCTTCTGGTATCTTGACACGTGGAGGGGGAAAAACACAAACCTAGATAAGACATGTGACTGCTTTCAGCTCAGCTCAGCTGATTGGGAGCTGCTGCTAGATAGAGTGATTGTACCCACCCAATAACTGGGGTCGGTGTGATGGTGAGTAGTGTATTGTCACGGCAACAAATAGATTCATTGATTTATGTGTCACACATTCATGTCAGTGTCCTATTGTACAGTGTTTATTGTAAAAAGTCATATGAGGAGGAACATGCTGCACACTTTAATACAATTAAAACATTACATTTAATAGTATAAAGATATATTATAATCTGACATTTAACAGCATATTTCAACACTTAATTAAAAAATTACTTTGCATAATACAACATAATATAATGAAGTACAAGTGACCTTAAATGCTTCCTGCCTTGATAATTGCTTAGAAAAACAACAAATTGAAGTAAACATACAGCAGAGCCTTTTCAGTTAGCCCCTGAGGGCACCCATGGTTAAACATGGTGTCCTCAACTGATAGATGCACAGTGACAGTGAACTAAATAGCAGATATGGCTGGTGACCCCCATTGCAAGGGTTGGGGCACGCCCACCCATAGCATCACTCAAACAAGGATAAAAAAAAACAGAGATATCAAGCATCAGCTGCAAAAAGGGTTCACTCGGTTCAACAGCCTCCTAAGAAGAGTGAGACTATCTGATCTGTAGTGTGAGTCAGGTTTTTTTTTTTTCCCCCAGGAGACGATTTCTGCATAAAAGCAGATGCTGCTGGTTTTGTGTGAGGTGTTGGTCAACCCGTGCAGGATGTTGTGTTTTCACACTGTCCCACTCCTTTATTGTACAGCTGGTAATGTGTGAAGTGTGATTTTCTCAACTTGTCACAAAATTCTCATACACAGCTTACCGGCAGGCAGGCCAGCAAACAACCTCTGCACGTCCTTGTTTGAGCTACCCAACCCCCCATGCACACCAAGCACCCCCTACCAACTCCAATCCTACAACGAGAGGGACCCCACCCAAAATTTGGAAGTAGACATCAGATGGTGGTTGTTTTTGCTTTCTCTCACTCTCTCTTTTTTCAAGTGTTGTGTGGGTGGGGGCATTAGTTGTCAATGAGTGATTGTTCGAGCAGACTGCAAGCAGATATGAACAAAAAATAACCCAACCTTATTGATTAAGTTAATCTAAAGCTAAATAACAAACTTGTTATGAAATCTATGCATTTAAATTAAAAGAAGACCTTTGTAAAATATTGCTACTTTTTGAACTACCATTGTGTTGACAGCATCTCTAGATCATAGTTGTAACATAAAGAGTCATGTAGATGTCAATAACACATAATAATCAAGTATTAAAACAACAGCTGAGTATGTTGACTGCAAATACCTGATATTTTTCTTTTCATCAAATGTTTTTAGATATTTATGATTAGAAGGACACAGCTGCGTTTTTTGAATAATTAAATACCTCTTCATTAAAGCCCCCTTGAAGATGAAAAAGCCAAATCAAAACAAAAATTACCCACTGGGATTAAAAAGTTTAGAGCCTCACTTTTACCACAGTTTGATGTGGTAGTCAGGCTTTTAAAGCTATTTTTCAGAGGTGGAACCTTCAAAAATTAATTAGTCCACTGTGAGCTGCATTCTAAAAACAAAGACAAAAAATCAAATCGCCCATAAGCAATTCATCGCTTTTTCTCCTCCTGCTAGTTCCCTCTATCAATAACTAATTAATGTTCCCAAACAATAGCTCCAAGAATAGTGCATTTCAATCACAGCCAGTTATTCCATTAACCATGGACTCTGGGGTATACAGTACTTTTTCATCAGTTGAATTTGTGTTGCAAATTGGATTTTTGGCAGAGAGCATAATATGACGGGCTGTCAATGCAAGAAACTCAGAAATACAATCGTCATGCATTGTGCAATCTCATTCTGTTTTTCAGCTGTCTATTACTTTTAAGAGCAATGTTTGAACCCCTTTGAAGAGAGAAAACAGTCTTTGTGTCGGCACTGAACTCACAACTTGTCATCTAAACTGAAACTTCCAGTACCTCTTATGTGTCAGCCGGCAGCCACAGACAATGTGTCCCACCCCATTTTTATTCCAGCAATTTTCCCTAGCAAGGCAGTCAAAATTATCCACAGTGAGTTATTTCTGACTATGTGCTGCCAGCAGAGGTGAGAAGGCTCGGGATGTTGAAATTTTTCAAAGTTCGCTGCATAATGATACAATTTGCTTTGTGGCTTTTTCCCTAATGGTGCCTGACATCCAGACGCTTTGTCTTCAATCTTCAATCTGTTCCGCACCCAAACAACTCCATCCGTGTTTGTGCTTGTACTGCATGCGCTCTCGCATCACAATTTTATGGTTTTGATCCCCCTCGCTGTTTCATTATCTGCCTTAATCCTTGTTTTTTTAGGGGCTGTTTTTCACGCAAATTGATTGTGAAATTTCATGACAGAGCTGCCAGGTTTCACAGGTTATTGGAAACCTCTGTCCGCCGTCTACCCCCTCCGCCGCCTCCTCCTCCCTGTTCTGTCAACACCTCTTGATTTTAACCACAGGTACAGCAGGGGCTCTGCCAATAAACACTGCTCTCCCCGAGTTCATCCAAAGGTAACACATTTGATGCCCAGAACTACCCGAGGGGGAAACACTTACTCGCGATTATTATGCATATTTTGACAGCAACCTGATTTAATGTAAACCCATGCAGGGGTGACACTGCTTATATTTAGATGGAAATTAATTTGTGTCCTTGTGTCTTTTAGTTTGTCTTCGCAAACTTCCAGCTGTTAAGGCAAGTTGAAGTGAATGAACGCCTAATGATTACTGAGCAGCGGCAGCAGCAGCAGCTCAGGAGGTAAACAAACCATTCATCTGACAGACTGGCAGCCTGATGACACCTGTGCAACATCCAAAACACTTCCTACATCCAATTTGCAGGTGTCTTTGCACTGGTATATGGCAATAAATTGTTGCTGTGACATTCTTACTGTCTAATGCAGCTCTGCTGTACCTTTTATTAGTTAAAACCCATTGTTATCCCACTCATCATTTGTTATGAATTGATTGGATTATGTAACCCACTTGTCCGAATACTTTTTCTGGGACTTGTGAGTCAACCAGACTTGTTTGGTCTTGAAGACAATTCAACAATCATGTAACAGGCATCAACAATTCATCAGTCATAACTTATTGACTCACTACTTCTGGAAGTCTTTTGAATTGGATGACTAACACTACATAAACACACTTTTAATCACTCATTGAACTGCTCCAAATCTGGTCAAACAAAGGCTTTTTTGTTGGCCTTATAGCTTAAAGAAAAGAAAATCAGAAATATTTTGAACTAACATAAAAAGAGTGTTGAAAAACAGTTTCAATTGTGTAAACAGCATTGTGCAACCATTACCAATAAATTAAAGGATAATTGCAGGTTTTGTATCACCAAAGCAATACAGAGCTGTACTGTAACTCCATCTATGCAATTACTGGACCAAACAATGCTTTGCTGAAAACAAAACTGTTGTACACGTATACGCTGTTAAAAATTGGGCTTTCATGATCTGCCATAATTTTCCACTACACCACCAACAGTGTTAATAACAGGTTTACATGTAAAGTTAAGTCAAGCAGAGAGTAGGTACCCGAGGTGTGCAGGTGGTTGGATCAACTCTGGGTCGTGTGCCTGTAAGAAACCTCAAACAGTATGATTGGCTGTTATTGTGTTTTACATTTTGGTTGTCTCTATGATGGAAAATTTGTTTGTTTGAGAGTTTCAGAATATAGTAACACATTTTTTATAAAGGCATTCAGTTAAAAGACTGGTGAGTGAGAGGCATGGCTGACTTCACTGAAAACAGGGGTACACTGCAGCCATTTGCGAGCAGGTTAAAGGACCATCTCTTGTAGCTCAACTGAGAGGTAGGTTGAGTCAGCATTACCAATATGGCGACAGTTGCTAATAGGCTTCAAAACTCCACTTCAGAAATAAATGGGTAAACTCACCTACGCTACGGCCAGTAATCATACATGGTCACAGTCCAAGAACAAGTTAGCAACATGCTGACTTATTGTATGTACTGTTGTATTGTATGATATGCAGCTTTTTCTTCTTCAAGCCCATTCTTTGTCTGTTGAGGTTTTGTTTATAATCTGGGGTCTTCCTATGCATTTATCTGGTTTGACCATAGACTGTATATACTGTACTATGGACAACTTGGCTCCGCCTTCCGTCATGATACGAATTCAATGCCAAATTGCTCTTGGTATTTCTGGGATTTTCTCCACTTCCTGGAACCACCACTTGCACAGTAGCATTGTACACATCCAGTGAGAGAGAGGCTGTGATGACGCTCAACTCAAACAGCGTATCCCCCGGGTGAGCCATGCAAGCTTCAATACGCCCATTGGCTGTATCAAGTGTCAATCATAGAAAACACAAACCCCCAACAACTTTCAAAAATGGAGCAACCACATGTCTACAACTCCACATGGATTGCCAGAGGAGGCGGGATTTATGACCTATACTGCAGCCAGTCACCAGAAGGCGCTGTTCTCATGATGGCTTCACACAGCAAGGAGGCAGACGACAGCGGTTCTATATACAGTCTATCTGTTTGACTTTCTAGGGGAAAGAACAGCGTGTAAACTGTGGTGCATGCTCAGAATGCCTAGACCAGTTTTGATCTGATGGCAGTGTGCATGTGCAGGAACAAATCAATCCACAATTGCATTATCTTGACATGTTAGTTACGACTTCGTTTGATCGCAATAGTCACATGAAAAAATAAAAAGTCAGCGTTCAGTAGTTGTAATGGAATTAATCCATTTTTGAAAATGTACTGGATGTTGGCCTTCACCCAAAGTACAGTCGGCAACAAATAGAATGGTACATTTGAGTAACTGAAGCAGAATTATCCTTTAACACACTGATACAGAAGCAAACACTGTGGTTGCCATGTGTTACACAGTCATAAATTCATTTGTACCCATCCACAACCACAGAAGGATTAGCACTCTAAAGGAGTGCCAGTGTTTGGGAGATATAAGTGAACATGTCATTTTGAGGTTGCTCAACCCTTCCTTGTTGTTTTTTCAGGGAGGATGAAGTGGACTCACAGCGGTTGTCTGTCCACTCACTTGGTGCTCTCCACTTCAATTCTTGTAACTCAGTGTGCACTCAAGTGACAATAATGGGATTTTGGGAGGCTGGCGTCAGATGTGATGAGCCGCTTCCTTCTGTTAATAGAGGGTTCAAAGGGGGGTGGGGGTGGGGGTGGGGGGTTGATATGAAGGGGAATGATACGTCTGAGTTTGTTTTTTAAGGATGGGGGAGACCTAACAATCTGTGAAACACAGACAGCTAATCTCGTTACCTCGCAAACTTGACACGTTTTTCAGCGCTGACAGAGCTCAAAAGTTCTGGTGCCACTTTAAAAGACGTACCTCAGCATGTGCTCCTTCAATTCTTCTTCTCTGCTTTTATACCGCTCCTCTTCAGAGATGTCACACAATATTCTGAATACTTCATTGGCTGCTAAAGTGTTAGTAGGTAGGTGCTGTGCAGTGGATTAAAAAAAGAAAGCAACATTAAATCATTGAAGGAAGGAGACATGGATGGAAATAGAGTTGGAGTTGCTCTTGTTTCTACGGTAACTGTCGATGGGGAGGTACCAGGGATGAAAGTGGAGGGAAAACAAACCTCCCCGCTCCGATGGCAACAGCACAGCAATTGGTTCTCGTTTCCTGCGAGGACAGGAAGAAAAAAAAAAACATAACAAGGTCCCCTAGTAGCCCAGGAGACACAGTTCGATGTTGCATCAGAAAGCAAAGAGGCAGGGCAAAATGAACACGCGCTTCAAAACATGCACTTACACATGCACACACACACACACATACACACACTTCTCCCACACACGCACACACAATCACATGCTCCACTTCACCCTGCAGCCACCCCTCCTGCTCCTGCTCTCTCTCACTCTCCCGCCAAAACATCTACAGCACGTGAAACCTGCCTAGAAACCGATAGGAAACTTCCGCCTTCCTCTGATTGGCTGAGCTCCCTAGCAACCGCGTATACCCAACCAGCCAGTCAGGCGCGTTGTGAGAGGCACACTGACCCAATGAAACAGATTATTCAGAGGCGCGGGCAGGCGCAGTGACCTGGTAACAGTCAGGAGAAGAAGTCAGGGAGACGCTGGAGGGAGAGAAGAAAAGCTTTCTGTGATTGGCTCTCAGATTTCCTCTTTGTTCTGATTGGCAGTGAGCTCTCCTCTTTGCAGTCATTCATACATTTCTCTGCCTGCCTCAGCACAAGCGCCTATGTTTCCTTCACCCTCAGCCTGTTCGTTCAACTTCCAGAGTGGCCACCCTGCCCTCAAGGAAATCCACTGCCCAAGGTCAAGGCAAAGACTGAAACGGGATTGGTTTAGACACACAGGAGCAGAACAAGATCCTAGTAACAAGTCTACCTCATCATATCAGCACGGGATTAAAACCTGCGATCAACAACTTGTTAAACAACACAAGTGCTCTTCCTGTTGTGGCTGTTGATGAGCTTGTTATTGTGTTGCTTGTAATGGACACGGGCCAGTGAAAGGCATAATTAGCTTTTTGCTTAATAATGCAGCATTGACAGGGCTGTTCTCCAGGCAAGTTATACCAGGCATATTAGCAAATTGGTTAGTTTGTTTTGAAAAACTTAGCTTTCTGAAGGCGCACGGGGCGAGGTCTGCAAAAATCTTTTTAAGCATTCCAAACTGCTTGCTCCAGTAGTATGGGGAATTAATGTCAATACCCTGCAGGATCAGGAGTTCACATTGAATAGTTAATGAGTTGGGGGAGAGAAGGACTCAAATAATTCTGCATATCGAGCATGCCATGCATACTGCCTAATTTAACATAACTGCAGGCAGAAACTCACTCAGGCAGGAACATTATACTGCTATGATTAGTAAAAACAACATTACCATCCAACACTGAAATTGCTCATAGCTCCCTAACAAATTAGTTTGTTCGGTTTGGAAGGTAAACCGCATTCATATTAGGGGATTTTTTTTTTCACTTTTAACAATAAATGTTGCTCTGTGTTATTTATCCTGCACTGAATGATTCATAATAAGTACTTTCAATCTCTTAACCAACAATACAAAGGCTGTTATGTTTCTCATGTACTGACATGAAGGAACTTCCACTTATAAGTGGTGCAGATGAGTTGTAGGACAAAAGAGTGGTTAAAAAGTTCCTGTAAATGGCAGAGGTGTCTCAGCCAACAATGTATCCCAACAGACATACTGTGGTATTGTGGCAATGGCATCAGCACAGATCTAAAGTTATGTGCTGTCCAAATAAATCGAGAGCAATCTAGCAATCTAGTTTCCCTCTTGTGAGTTCGCCAATGCCATCACCTTTGCTACTTCACAATTAAAATTTGTTGTCACGTCCTTTTGACCAATGAGAATCAAGTACTTTAACAAAGCTGCAATGTACCAAGGAAATTAAAAGCTGTAGTTTTGTATCCTTGATTTTTAGAAAGATGGGTACAAATATGGAGAAGCTTAACAGTTCAACAACTGCTTTTTCTTTTCTTTTTCTTTTTATTCTTCATTGATGTTTTTCTTGTTGACTAGCAACACTTTGCAGTTAAGTCAAGATACCATTATGCCTTAATTTGGCAATTTAACTGGACTGTTGTCCTTGTCCCAGTTAACAAGACAGGGGGAACATTCCCCTGTTTCTATCAGTTTGTCTCTTGGTTTACCAGCTACATATCAAAAACCACTTACAAAATGCATTAGTGAAAAAAGCTAACAAGATGTCAAACCAAAAAACCCTGTCCTTTTTTAAAGCTCTTTAGCGTTTGTTTCCACAGTCGGAAAGTTTTGTCTTTTTTAGGTAATTTCTTCAACGGGCGAGTTTTTTTAAAACCACCTGTTCTTCTAGCAACACTTTCATGCTATTCAACTTCTGGCTCAAATGCCGGCATGCAAACACCAGGGCATGCACAAAACGCTCAGGCCAGTTTCAGTCTAATCAGGCAGTATACAGAACCTGTGCTCAACCCAGGAGCAGCAAAGTCTGGTCCCTCTGAATTTTCTGCTATTTTTGCTCTTTTTTTTTTTAATGTTTTGTCAAGTTTTGTAAACTGCTGATGGATGTTTCTGCTGGGAGGAGCATTTGTTTAGGAAAGGAGCTTCTTTCATTAGGACAGAGCCAATCTGGAGGGCAGCTTATCTGGTTCTGGTGAATGTCTGGCAGTGTTTATCCGTGGTTGCCATGCTGGTGGAGGTGAGGGGAAAGTTAAAGGCGCAGAAATTATGCCCTTTCCTCCATCAGTTATCATTGGAACTCTTCTTTGCCCAACAAAAGCGAGGAATGAGAAAGCATACTGTGAGTGCAGTCTTCTGTCTTTTTTCTGAAACCTGGTGGAATCAAAACAACTCAGACTCAGTGTGGATCTACCTGGCTTCACTCTCATAAGGTCAGATAGAGATGCTAAAGCTAGAGGCAAGAAGAAAGGAGGAGGTCTGGCTTTATTTGTAAGCCATTCTAAAGAAACATGGATCATTCACTTCATAACACCTTGATGGACCACAAGAAAAAAAAAAAAAAAAAAAAAAAAAAAAAACCAACAGTAATGGACGGCTCCTCTCTCTTTGCTGAAAGGGAGGTGTCACTGTTCCTAGCCACATAATCATGTGTTATTGAACTTTTTACTTATTTCTTTGTTGTTTCAGCAATCATCAATTTGAAAAGGGCTCTTTAGGGAAAAGTTCTCCTTACTTATCTTTTTATTTTACAGATAATTAGCTTTGAGTAGGCGATGGATATAAAAAAAAATAGTACTCAAAATGCTGGGCTTTTCTCTTTTGCCTATTAAATGAACATCATAATCCAATCATCAGAATAGTTGTATTACTGTTTGTGGTAAACCCACCTTCCTGAATGAACAAAGATGTATGCAGAGGAGCATATGCATCTGAATCAATCAGTGGGGTGCTTTGTTTTATATGGTAGACTTTGACTTTGTTCCCCAAATGAATGGCTGTTAGGAGTCCCTTGGGTCCTCGGTAGCCTGAGGAATTGTGTGATAAAGATCACATTACTTTAAGCAGTCATCACAGGAGGATATCTCAGTGGGAAATGTACTTTGGTTAAATGTTAGAAGTTAGTATAGTCTACATACTTGTAGTCGGGGTGAATGTTTGCCCATGGGAGGAGCTAACCCTTGTGTGTACAGCTGAGATCAAAGGGAACCTGACAAGCTCTGTATCATTAGACAATGCAAAGGTTTGATCTTTAAAGTTGAAATGTGAATGAAAATGCAGACCCTGCTTCACAAGGTCAGCACTAAAGTGTTTACAGACCTTTGTCTGACGTTTTAAGGGTTGGCTATCCAACTGTCTCTCTTTGTCAAGGCCTCATTAATGCCACTAGGGATGACCTCAAGTCAAACAAGCCTGGGGGGGGATTTCGAATCAGACTGGAGCATCCGATGACTCACCTTGGTTGCATTGAAGGCCTCTATAAATCCGTCTTTTCAATACACGGCTACATCTTTCACCAGTCTGGGCACTTCTCAGAAACCAGGATGTGTCATGATTTTGAAGGATTTCATGTTGCCATTACCTCATCCTTCAAAGCCACAGTCATTTACATATCCTGGGGTTTCTGGGGGAGATGAGCGGCACACTATCCTCATCCGTGAAATGACCTATTCAACTTGTTTTTTGTTTGGCCTGTAGAGGATCGCCTCTGCTGTCTGTGTGAAGCTAATTGGATACAGCAGAGCTCCAAGCCGGGCTTCACAGCCAGGGGGAAATAATTTCAGGAAATAAAGCATAAAAGTATTGTGCCATGAAAACAGTGTGCGTTCAGCATTTTAAGCACTGGAAGTGGAAGCAGAAAAAAGAGACAGATGTTGGACAGGTTTGTGAATAGACAGTGAAATCCACTCTGTACACTGACACACACCGCCTCTTAGTTTGGAATCCACAGGATGTGCTATTATCATGCAAATGATTACTTTAGCTGGAAATGCCAAGGAAGGGATTAGCATACGCAATATTCATTCATATTAAAACAGACCTATAATGTTTGGCTATGAATCTTCCAAATACTTCTTATCCCTGTTTTTGTCGTCTCCAAGTGCTAAGTGCAACCCTGTTTTTATAGTGTAATTAAAAGCTGAATATGCTCAACATGGAAAGAGAATTTTAAATCAGACAAATGCAGGGAACTTAGCTTTAATTGCGTCTCGTTTGTTCATTCAGCTCTGACCTACTTAGCGACTTTCCCAAACACCATTTATCAACCAAATCAATTATCCTATCTTGGATTAGCAAACATAAAAGCCCCACAAGATTTCCACAACATCACCTCTCTGCTTTGGTTTAGAGACACAGCAACCAGAACCAATCGAGCAGCTGCTCTTTCTCTTTGAACTCTCGCACTTGTGCAGCTTCTTGGGCAGCCTCGGTGCATCTCAGGGGGGTCAGCAACTCTGAAGGATCTCCACTGTGTTGCTCAAGATTGCCTGGAGGTGTGACAGCCGCCCTCTGATCTGCCGGCGCCTCTGAAGATCTGAGGACAGACTTTGCCCATACCGTCAGTCGCGAGCGCTAACATTAAAGCGGTGGCACCACAGCGAGCCATGCAGAAACACAGCATGGGCCCTAATTTCCAGTGTCTTCCTGAGCTAAAGAGGAATATCTGAGAGGAAAAAGGCATTTTACTGTAACCAAACCAGGGCTTGGTATGCTCTGAATAATTTTAAGGTTGTCTTAATTAGACAGCCATTATCCAGTAGCTCAGAAGGTACATACTTAAGTGATGAAAAGCATTTTAACTAACACCCACTATGCTTCACACTTCAAATTTTAGGATATTCTGAATACAGTTTTTTACCCCTCAGCGACAGCTTTGCTCAAATTTGTCAATCGGTTTTAAGAAATGATCCGGTTACCACAGAGGAATTTTATGCTCGCAGAATTCTATTTCCCAGCCAATTTAAGAAAGGAGGAGGAGGCTGCATGACTGAGCTGCAAATTAATTTTACTGTCTATCCCCTGGCTGTCTTCCTCTTTTCCCAGGAGGCTTTGCTTTTTGGGTGACTGAGCCTTACACAGCTTTCTGTCACTGTTGCGCACAACACATGGGCAGCAGATGTTAGCAGGCTGTGTGTGCCAGGATGGTTTTTGGTATCCAGCTAACCTTAGTAGTGCTCTAACAGATGTGGCTGTGTTTAACGGGGGAGACGTTGACTCGCACACCTGTTGATTGGACCGCCTGCTTTTGACCACCAGCACATTCCTGCACCTAACAGTTAATGAAGCTAATGAGCTGTTCCATTAGCTTCATTAACTGTTAGGTTAATAAAGCTGATAGGAAAGCCCATTAAATTGAATTTGCTGTCAATGTAAGAGGAATAGCTGCACCATGCTCCAATGTTTTCCCTAACAGTAATTAAAATAGTCTCTGTTTGTTACCAAAAATTAGAGTCTACAGTCGTAGTGGCTCATAGAGGCCGCATCTTTGGCCAGTAGCACTAGCTTAATGGTTAAGCTACCATGCTGTCATACTCACTATACTAATATTTATCATCTCTCATTTTAACCATGTCAATTTTGTCAGTTTAATTAGCAGCAGGTCTTGAGGGTTAATTTGTTACATAGATCTTATCTGTGCTGGCTATAGGGGCCGTTTCTACTTTTAAACCTGGCCAGCTAAGCTCTGAAATGGAGACATATAGGCCTAATTGGGCATCAGCTTACATGCCAAGAGGTAACACTGTGCTTGTAAGAGCCATATATGGACCACACCTACATCTTATTAAATTAAGATCTCTGCATGTACTTTTACACAGTTAATTAGCCAGCTAGCTTACATACTAATGTTAATGGTGCATTTCACCTTAGGGATTCCTGTTTGCTTTCTTGTTAAATGACAAGACATGGTCATATAGTAGGAAAGCAAATCTGGGATTTTCTTCAAAGTCTAAGGTTCCTGAGTTACATGTCAGGCTGTATTGAAAACAATTAAGTCGTCCGCATAGAGAGTAAACTAATGGTATTAGTTTTGCATTTCACAAAGGAAACAACTAAAATGAATGAATGATATTGTGTTGTAGCATCAGCAGCAGATCTTGATCTGAAAATTGTACCTTGTAAATTGTGTGTTGACAGCACTGCATTGTTTTGGTTTTTTTGTACAAAGTAGGCACTAACTAAGCATAGCATAACTAGACATAGACTCTGATCAATAATGCCATTAGTTTACTCTCTGTGGAGATGATTAGGGCCCATGCCTGGTTAAGATATCTTTAGTTAGGGCCCATTTTGTACACAAAACCAATGTAGTGCTGTCAACACACAGTTTTCAAGGTTAATCATCAGGTCAAGATCTGCTGCTGATGCTACAACACAATGTCCTTCAATCGTTTAAATTGTTTCCTTTGTAAAATGCCATTGACTGAAAGCCAATATAGAGCATATAGAGCATTTTAAAATAAATAACAGTCTCTACTGAGTGAAAACGGAGACCTTGTTAAGTCAGTTAGTAGGGGCCATTGCAAAACAAGACAAAAAAAAGCTGCCAGTGGACACAGGCTTTAAGCTGTAAGTTGAAAAGTAAGTCCAAAACACAAAAATACATTGAATTTTTGTATTTTTGCCTATTCGGTTCCAGATTTTGTCCCTTGAGAATGCAGTAGCAGACAATAAAATGAATGAAAATCCTTTTTTGAGTTAAATACACCACCAATTTAAGTCCAGTACACCCTTGGGGGACATGACTGACATTTTCAAATGTCTGTAACAGTCCACCAAATACTTGTTGAGGGTTGAACCAAAGCAGTCTGTTTGGTAATGACTTTGTTTTCACCTCAGGCCAGTGAAGGAATAAGCATTAATAAAAACTGGAGATCAATGTCAAGCCAAAAAATGATGCCACTTGTGTTCAGAGCTTGAGAATAAAATATGACGAGTTAATGAGCTGTGTTCAGGACGTGTCTCTGGGTTTTCAAGAAAGGGCATCAAATATTCATAAAGATGTTTCCTTGGCAGAAAGGTTTAGTTGTATGAGATTTTTCATCTGCCTGGTTAATATTAGAAAAGACCAGGAGGGCTCAGTACCACCAGTAATGGCTAGAGACATTGTCTTCTGCTTAGGGCGTTTCAAGGCGGATAAAACAATCATCACCCAATAGACTCAGACAGCATTGTGACAGCCATGGAGTTCACAGAGGCGAATATGTCACTGCCTACTTGAGAGAGAGAGACGACCAGGATTTTTTGGTGCAGTGGATAGGAGCTGCGCCTGGCTGGTCCTCCATAGCCGGCAGTCACAGTCAGTCTCCTCATCTTCCCCCAGTCAGAGTCCCAGGGGAAGCAGGAATTGACGTGCCATTAAAGAGGCTTTGAAGAGAGGCAACTGTCAGCACGACTGCCTCCGCTTTTTTAAGCAGTGAGAGAATGGAAGTACAGATGTGGGTGCAATGAGGACAGAGCGAACAGCCTTGGAAATGTCTTACTGAGTCGTCTGCACGACTAGAAACAAGATAAGGGAGAAAGCTGTTTCTGAAGCAAAAGCTGATAGAGGTTGTTGTTTTTTTTAAAAAAAAGCTTTTCTGCAGACAAAAGATACTGAGGACAGAATAAGTCACATGCAGGGAAAGTTAGCTATCTGTGATCATTCTACTCTGTGTTTTAAAGGGATTTAAGTGGAAATTAACAGCTTAAGTTGACTGCATTTGTTTAATAAGCTGTTTTTGTCACATTTTCAGTCAAGTTCTTGACCTTCATGACACGGCATATGCCAATGAGGACAAGACCATATTATAAACATTCACTACAGGGGGGGGCAAGCAACCAAACCCACAATGATGTCATGCTTTTGGTAGTTGGTGAAGTGAGTCTGCAGAGGAGATGACCTAATTTCCTGTGTGGTCACGATCAAGGAAAGGGAGTTTTGGGGACTTTTCTGTCGCCCTACAGTGGATGGTGTAATTACGATTACACGAAAAACAACGTGATGCATGTTTACACTTTGACATCACTAAGAATTATACAAAAATAAAGTTTCAACCACTTCAATTTTCTCTCTTTTGTGTGTTAAATGTTGGATTTTTTAATGTCAAAGCTGACTTGCAAATGTGCTCCTGTAAAGGCTGTAGAGATAAATTTATGCAGAGTAGCGTTCATACATGTCAGAGCTGTAACCTACAGAACATGACATCAATACACGGGATTTCATGGTCACATTTTATGCGTGTCATAAAAAATAACACCCCTGAGCCTCCTTGTATGCTCTGGTTGTTGCAGAATCATTAGCCACATCAAACCAGTTCACGCCACACATGGTCATGACTTCATGGCTCATTTTGCACGCTGTCCCTTGAATGATTTGGCTCATTGTTTGTCTGCTCAGTGTCTCTGAATAAGCATGAGCCCCGCCCCTCTCCACAAGCAGCACCACCACTACGTCTGGTAGCACAACTGGTGTGAGATCAAAAGGCGTCTCGTAAACAATCCATGAAAAGGGTTATGTTACGGATGACACCATCACTTAATTACAGTGTCTTTTACACAAAAATGAGCTCTGCTTGTTGCTGCCATGAAAGGATATATTCGACCATGGCTGCAGATGATGCCTGCGTTTACTGGGCTACATTTGATTTTAGCCACCACCGTAGCAGGAAGTTCTTCACAAAACATAGGTCTTTCCACTGCTGTTGTTTCATTTGATGCGAGAAAGCTCTTAAATCACAAGTTTGATTCAAACACCGAATGAGGATTAGGATTAACCCCTGAGGCCATATGCATTATCTGACCTTTGACCTTGTTTGTTTGACTTTGAACCCATTGTATAGCATGACATCCGAAACCTCATAGGTCTGAGATAATAGCTTACAAACTTACACAAAAATAAATTAAACACTTGAGTGTCACAGCTGTGTTCAACACTCAGCTGACCTTTGTCTTCCATGTGTGCTGTTCCTGTGTCGCAAACTGCTGTGATGAAGAATACACTCTTGTTTTGTTGAAGAGACTGTTGCTTGGGACTCAGCCCTGATGCAGCCTGATCACATAACCATGACAAACCACTTCTTTCTGCAGATCAGAGTACGATACAGTGTATTGTAAATCAGCCTATTCATGGTAATATGTCCATAAATCATTTGAGACTGTGACAAACACCCTAGAGACAAAACATCAACAAAACTGACTGTAAGGGTTAGAAATCTTCAATCAATCCTTTGTGTCATATTGTTGATCTTTGTAGTAAGTAGTTGCTAATAAAGCACAAAACAATAAGGCTAAAAGCTTGATTTTTTTCAACCCTGTCAACAAAAAAACTTACCTCTCATGTCTTTGCTGTTTTGTACTGTATCTGTATGTTTTGAACTTATTACATCTAACCCTGACTGACAGAAAAGGTTAGGCGCAATAAAGATGACCATATAGTAATTATAAAACCTGCCAATGAGTGTCTCATAAGTTTTTCAAGGTACAATAAAGGTACAAATCTTGATTTTCGCCTGTTTCACAACCAGACATAAACAGAGGAGCTTTATAAGCCTTGTGCCCCCAACATTATTCCCTACTTATTACCAGCTTTGTTAAAGCTCTTATAAAGAGTTTTTTGATGTGTATGAAATAGACTGAAATTCATAAACAAAAGTAAACATAACTTTTAGCAAAAGACATAAGATTTTTATATCCTAATTTCAATGCTTGGAACCAGTGTAAGAGGGTGGGTGTCAGCCTTGCAGCTAAAGAAACAGCCTGATTTTAATATTTTCATATAGATTATTCTCAATAAATTATAGACTTGACCGTTACAAGACAGCAAAATGAGATGTTTTTTTTGGCAAACATCACTACATAATCATGCAGAATACAAGATAAAGACTGCTTTCTTCACAATTAACAAAAACTGAAAATTCTTCTTTCTTTAAATACTTAATTTTGATTCATCAATGCCCTTTGGCAACAGGTTGTTATTTCACAAACACTGATCCTACACATCTAATCAAGTTATACAGCTAGAAGGCTCCCGGCACATTTTACTCCTAATGTTTACACCATGGCAAAAAGTTAGCTTCAATCAGAATGCTTCACTGGTTTTTAAGATGGAGAGTGTTTTTATTTATTTCTTTATTTTTTATTTATTTCATTCTATTATCTTTCAGAGAGCACAAAACTTTACATTATTAGATAATGGGGGATCAATAACCAAGGACAAAAGGAAAACAAGATAAGGTAAACAGCAAATCAGGGACATCTATCAAATTAAAGAAACATAATATGGAGTTCTCATTTTATGTACCAGTTTAAGACACCACATAAACAATTATATTATTATTATTCAATTATACACAACTAAAGTAAATGACTTTGATGTATATTCCTCCCATCAGAATTTTCTGGTGCCATAAGATGCCACTATTGTACTTTTTTTTCATTAAACTTAAAGCAAAACACAACTTCTTTTCTTTTATGAAACAAGTTGTTGTGGGGGAGCCCTGACGAGCCGGTCACCAAGTGCAGCAGAAAATTTATGATTATTACTTTATGGAAATCCAATCAGACCAAGATGCTGAGGCAGAAGAACTACTGCGTCTGCGGTGTCCATACAAGATACACAAGAACTCTGATTGCATTTCCATTAAGTAATAATCAAAAATGTTCTTCCTTGAGCTGCGAAACTCCGCTGTACTCAGAGATCAACTTGCCACAAACACGCGGCTGCTGGAAAACAGTGAGATAGTTGTGTTTGGTCTCTTTGCTAAAGAAACGTGGCAAGGATAAAAAGATGTTTGATGGCTAGTACTATGGCTGGGACCCTATCTGTTGATGAAGTTAGGTGCTGTTCTGAGCATTATTTGTGGTTATAGAGTGGCTTTTCGGTTGAGGTTTCTGTGTGGAGACGCAGACCACTGTGTGTTGCTATTGTGTGGTCATTGCTGAAGTTGGTATGACTAGAGAAGCAAGCAATCTGCAACATTCATCTACCAAGGGGTTGTCTAACTTGGTGTGTGTGTTTTGACCATAATTTAAATTTACGTCGGATTGTCCCTTTAAGCCTTCAACTCATTTCAAAGTAACTGACTAGGAATAAAACAGCCTCTCATGCATTGTTCTCCAACCCCCCAAAAGTTGCCGGTCTGTTATGAATCATCCATTTCTTTCAGACATAATTTGAACTGACCCTTTGGGGTTATTTTTAGATCTCTAATAAGTTTGTCCTGATGCTCAGACGGGGCAGCCACATTCCCAGAAGTGAGCCTCATCTGACAGGACTGGACATGAAAGAGTGCCACAACATCCAAAATGCTGAGCTTTTTTCCCCTGAAAAGCCCAACAGGTTTTCACTGGGATTTTTTAGGAGCTCTGACTTTGAAGTCCTAACCCAGATTTAGAAGGGGAAGTGAATGTTTTCATGGGGGAAAGTCAAGCAAGAGGAATGCGGATGGACAGAAATAGCCGCCCAAACTTTCTCTTCTCTTTCAGGTGGGTGGACGGGGCTTTGGGGTCAGCAATAGAAGCAAACAATGACATCAGGATCACCTCCCACGCATATGTCCACACACACATTTCAGTGCTCCTCCTGTGGTGATTGAGGCGCCGACACATCAAGATTAAGTGATGTCATCCCCTAAGCAGCTCCTCTGTGGTCTCCCTCTGGGACCTCATGACCCCACAGGAGCCACCTGCAGTTCATAAACACCAGCCACGAGCTTGTCACAGGGGGTTCAAAGGAAAAGACACACCCCAGATGGCCAGCAATCGGTGTCAAAGGACTCACATGCAGTGCAACACAGCATTCATAGTCCATGTTGTCAGCCTGGTCAGGGGAAATCCAGCTCAGGAGTGGCAAATACTTTGTTCACAGGCGGCTGATACAAACAGGGTCACTGAGTACAACAAGACCTTTAAAAACTATGGCTATAGGACCTGATAGTATTGTGGTAGTTAGTTTACAGACGTTATTTTGATTAGATTAAATAGATAGATAGATAGATAGATAGATGGATAGATAGATAGATAGATAGATAGATAGATAGATAGATAGATAGATAGATAGATAGATAGATAGATAGATAGATAGATAGATAGACTTTATTGATCCCAAACTGGGAAATTCACAAATTGATCTTTAATTAAATAATTTGACATAGGGAATATATATTACTATGATTTCTTAAGAAGACTGATAATACTTACATATTTCCAGAGAAAATATTAGTTTACTGTTGAAAAATGTTAGCTTGTTCTGTCCACAGGAATCAAGATCCCTTTCGAAGCATCTCTAGTACACACTTACTGCCATTTATCACAGTGTTTCATTACATCAAATCAGGCTTTTCTGTGTCATGGATCAGCAATTGATTGACCCCCATATTACACATGCACTCTTGACATTTTTAAAATTATGTTCAGACATGAAAGTCTTGACATTTTCTGCAATTTACCTTGAACATTAACACAAATACCAGATCTTTTACCCTGATGCTACTCAAACTTTTTCCTTCCACCCTCCTCACAAAATTTCTGCAGGAGGTTGGGGATGAGTAAATGCACAAATGTAGATGGTAAAAGTCTGAGAAAATCACCTCAAGTGGCAGTGTTCATATCATGCGACCAGTGTATTTAAATGCCAATTAAGTAATCCATGTAATCTGACTTCTTACTCTTTTCAACTCACAAGCTCTTATCTAGTCTTGTATTGTCACTATAATTATGTCCGGTTACAGTTTGGATTTGGGGGGCGAGCTCCTCAAATTTTCAGGAATACAGAAGTGAAAGGAAATGCAAGTTTCCCACTTCAAATCTACAAGTCTGTTTAACTTGCCAGCCTCAAATACTAAAAGTAAAACATACTGGAACAGTCTTCAAAGTAGAGAGCATCCATAAACAGGATGAACAAGTTAAGTGAGATACACAGCAATTTCTTGATAAGATTAACTTAGATACATGGGTATATACTTACTTAAGGGTATGTGTTGTCATGGACCGAGAAAGTATGCATTAAAACCTTTACACTGCACAATGTGTTATCTGTGCTTGTATGTTTGCATTCCCTAACTGAGTGATTTCTTATCTGTTTTCATAGATTCAGAGCATTTCAACCAGAGAGTTGGAGTAACATTTTATTTATTCATAAGAGCTTGAAAAATTTAAAACTTCAGGATGGCAGGCTAATTGAGGAACTCATGGCCCGTGTAAACAGTGCCCTCACTTTCTCAGAGGCCATAAAGTCTGTAACTGATAACTTCAACATCTCTTTCCCCAACCCTGAAGGTCACAGCTTTATTACTTTATGGTAAATTATCAATATGATGACCACTTAAAACTCCAGTCTGGTATAAATGTCTTACCCTGAACCAGTCTTAACTATATTTATTGATTTTATGACAATGAATGAAGTGAAATGTTAATACTTTTTCAGATAACGTTGACAGAAAGCACCGTTTTACTGTGTTCCCTGACTGTAATCGATTACCTATAAGCTCCTTTCAGCAGATCAGCACCTGTGATGCTATTTATCAATGAGGAACTGAGCGCATGAATCTGAGCGCAGGACTATTAAGTATTGATGTAGCAGACAGACATCTCAGGTAGCAGAGAATCTCTCCACATCTTAATTAGAGTTTCTTTCATGCATCCAGTGTTGAAATCAGCCCAGGGGTGATCCAAACAGGCCGTCTCCTGTACAGACTCCAATGCGTGTCTAATGAGTCCATCATCCTGACAGCACGCTGTCCTGCGGGGGCCTCCATCATGATTACCCTGGTCTCACAGATGAATGTTCTTGGATTGAGAATGCCATCTGTCACTTCATGCCAGTGTGAGTTAACTAAAAAGGGGTGCGGGGTACATCATGTGCACACCTGTTTGTTGTTTCTGCTTCCAAATCACGTGACACTTCTTTTTCATTTCCACCATCTTTCCAACAAGTCTGATGTGAGCTACAGTTAAGGTCAGATCCCGTGAAATTGAAGCCCCCATACGGCAAAAGCCACCAGGATATGAATGATTTACTGCAGCCATACCTCAAAAGCACATGCCGTATATTAAAGGTTCAATAATTGATGCCACATCCCGTTAAGCATCAACGCAATTTTCTCACATCAGGTGAAGCAATCAAACTGAAAATGATGTATATCAACTTAACTTTGCATCTCAGGACTGAAAAAGGCCCCCCAAGGAGACGCAATGAAGTGAAATTACTCTGCTAATGTAAAAAGGCTGTTGCGAGCTACACATCTCTAACCTCTCCTGCACTCGTAGCACTTCACGCTGAATGGTTTTAACTCTCACATTCTGTCAACACTTGACAAAAAAAGCCATCTCCTTTCACTCGGAGTACAGTCAATATTTTCAGTGCGCCAGTTTTCTCTTTGTGCGTTGAATACTGGGAGTGAAGATGGGAGGCTTTTCATCAGACGACTGCTGGCATGTAAACATCCCATTACATGTCGTCATTCAGTTATTTACTTTGATCTGGCTCTATGTACAGGTGCAGAGCTCTCTACAGAGGTGAGAAATCTAAAAACCAGGTCAAATTAGACGAATAAAACAGAGGGTGTGTGGGAGTAAGGGTGTTTGATTTGCCAAATGTGATTAAAGAAGCACTCTTTAGATTTCTGGCACCACAACACAAATACATGAGCATGAAAAACTATTGTTCTTTTCTGAAGAAAGCTCATCCTTCAGTTTGTTATTTAATACAGTCTGTCACTGGTGAAAAGCTGAGGATGCAAGTGCAAGACTTAATACATAATATAAAACATGTTAAAGCTCCAATAAGGAGTTTTGTTGATCATAACGAAATGGATGGAAATTAATATTAATGCCTTGTAATGGTACAAAAGCAAATAAGACCACCAGAGACAAGATTAAGAATGTTTATATCCTTGTTTTTAATGTCCGAAACTCTGTAAGGGGGTAGGGGTCAGCTGTCAACGAAAGAAACAGTCCTGATTTGACCATTTCCATATCAGATATTCACAATAAATTATCTGTTTTATTGTTAAAAGTCAGCAGGATGTCAAGACTGCTGTGTTCACTGGGGTGCACAAGTATTGACACCAACCAAAAGTCACTAACTGGAGCTTTAAAGACCTACTCTGATGAAAATCATGTTTTTTCTTGTTGTCTAAATGTTCATATGGCAGAAAAATAAGTATGAAGTTGCATATCTGAGTAATTCTGCATTCCTATCGCGGTGAATCTCTGGCAGACTCAAACAGCACGATTCAGACACATTGAGATTTCCTACATAGCAAATCCAAGCTCCGCCTCCAGGGCCCCGCTATGCAGGCCAGGCTTGGAGAAATAAAGAGGATGATCATGGAACAAGTGTGTGTGTTAGCAGAACGCAATAATCATAAGAAAGATAATCAGGAAATTAACTTTCATTATGTCTCCTAAGACATTAGTGTCTGAGAGCTGAATAGCTCCTATGTTACCTGCTTCTTCTTCTACACCTACAAAGTTAGGCTACAATCTAGCATGAAGAGGAGTGTGCAGAGTAGCAATGTCTCTGCCCACGACTCAGAGGCGACTTGCTTATGAGCTCTGCAGAGGAAAAGCCCTTAAAAATGACACAGGTAACGTAGTTTTGTCAAAAAACTCATAATCACAATTTAAAGACCACTGAGAACACTTTAAGTTGTAAAACAAAAACGATCAGAGTGAGACTTTAAAGACTTCATCTGGGCTCAGCTGTTAAAATTAGCACACTCTGGATTAATATCAGAGGTTCATAAACTTCCAGACTGTGAATGTGTGCAGAGATCATAACAAACAGAGCAGGAATACATCTGCAAAGTAGCGGGGATTCAGAATACAGCTCCGAAAAGTTGCAACAGCTGGTGAAATCCTTGGTCTACTTCATTAAAGGGTGCATTTATAAGTCCTGCAGGTTTAGTACTTATGTCATTAATTGCTGTAGCTTTGGGTTGTCTCTGCAGTTCTAAAATGCCTCTTAAAAAGACACAATTACACACAGCTATTACTCTGTCGCTAATGGTAGCTGTAGGTACTGTTTTGTTGCAATAATGACTTTTCAGGTGACCTATAAGCTTTTCTGTGTTCAAACTTTAGGACTTCTTCCATCTTTTTGGAACACTTGGGGCGCGTGTTTTTACCATTGCAATCATGTTATTGTAGTCTGAAAAGTGAAATACAAACACATCAGTGGTGCGACTGGTCTCCCTCCCTCTGCACAATGGCTTATTGAATGTGCCACCACTGTGTCAGATTAAGAGGGTTTTGTTACTGGCAAATGAAACAACTATTATCTGCTGTTTGTAAGTCTATGAACGTAATAATAATAATAATAATAATAATAATAATAATAATACTAATAATAATAATAATAAGAAGAAATATATGCTTCTATCTTTGGCCCATATCTGGTCTTTTTTTGTCAACAGGGTGATATAGCCAGGTTAAAAAAAGAAGCAGCTTTGTGACACTGGAAACTCTGAATTTATAATCCACAGAGCCAGTTTTTCATCCTTTGTTGTGCACCCTTTACTTCTTGATCCTGCCTTTTTTGTGTGTTTTTGCATCATTCAGTGCTGCTCCCTTGTGCGTTCACTGCATATAAACATTTCCAAATACAGCACACACTTCCTGATGTTAACCTTTTGGTTGGACTTTCTCGTGACTTAGCTCAGTTATGTGCTTATATTGATTCTATCTGCGGTGGTTATTGTCTAGGTTTGAAAACTTACCAAATCCCCTGCCTACTTTTCACAAACTGTGGATAATATGCTTCCTATTGACTTAAGAATAGACTAATCCTTTTAAATGTATACTTGTTAACAATCTAAAAAAAATCATAAATCCAGCATTTTCACATCCACATTGTTTTTTTGTTTTTTTTTCATAGAGAAATGAATATTTTTACCGCGTGTTGCACTTCCACTGTGTTGTGCTGCCACGCTGCCTTGTTATTGTTCATGTTCCCTTTCCTGCACACATTGGTGGACAGTTGTTCTTTCTTCAGCTGCAACATGTGCTCTGGTTTCTGCTCAACTTCCTCTAGGTGTGAAGGGAAGCCTTCTGCGCTTTAACCCGTGATTCAAGTGTGTGACATCTGAAAAAAAGCAATCATATGATAAGGCAGATGCTTATGGTTTTCGAAAGCTCTTTTTGCCCAGATACAGCTCCAGTGTGTGTGCGTGTAGTGAGTGTGTGTGTATGTGGCGATGTGGGTGGGGGGTGGGAACTTGTTTACAGCTCACACACGCTGCTTTGAGTCCTCTCGACAGGGGAAGAAAGACAGCGTATAGCAGAACTTGGCAGAGCGAAAGTGCAGTGGTGAGTTTTAAGGGATAAAAATACTGCCGGTGAGCAGCCTGGAGCTCAGCAGAGAGACTAGAGGTACAACAGCCTTTAAGCTTTGAAGCATCACTATCTGTGGCAATCAGCCCAGTGCGCTCAAGTAGGTTAAACCAAATCACCATAATATGCAAATTCCCTGGATTAAACTTTCCAGAGAGTAAAGTTGAACCATATAGCAGTGTTTGTGTTTTTGCACAGGTTTCTTCTCTCTGAATGCACAGTTTCTTCCTCCAAAATAAAGCTTCCAAGAGCCTAAGAGTTATAATGCATTATATAATACATTTCTGGAAAGAAAAAAGGGGCTTCTGTGAAGTCAGGGAAACCTTAAATGAGCAGATCCTCAGGGCGAAGAGCTCAGCGAGGGACCCAGTGCCAACCAGCCCTGCAGCCTGCAGCTCCATGCTTGATTGGTCTCAGTGGGAAACCAGAAGAGAGGGCAGAAATCCCATCTACACACACATGCATGCACACAGCCTGCAAAGATATGTATGTCATACACATGCTGCCACATGAACTCGCTTATTGTGATGTAAACAAATGCTCCGACAACAGGAAAACACAACCTGACATCTGAAAAAAAATTCTAGTTAAAAGCGCAGAAAAACGCACAGACACCCACGTTGTACACCCACTTACACCCACACACATTAAGAGTCTTACAGCACGGGAGGGGGGGCTGGGTTCACAGCCTGCAAGCTATTCAAAAGCTAATTCTTCTGCACTGATCCTGGCCAGCCACCTGCACTGATGAGGAGGGGAGGAGGGGAAGAAAAGGAGGAGGGAGGGAGGGAGGGAGGGAGGGAGGAGGAGGTAGCAGTAGAAGAATGACATCACCTTCCCTGAAATGTCACCATTATCTCAAGCCTCAGCTTAGCCGTCTACAAGGGTGACATCATCCTCTCTTTGCCCCTCCCCCCTCTGTTTCTGCATGAGGTTGTGTGCGGTGAGAGAGGGAGGATGTTTGTTTGTGTGCATGTGCGTGAAGGCGTGTGAGTGACAGAGCAAGTGTGTATGCGTGTGTGCGTGCAGGAGAGCGCTTTGAAAAGAAGCATGAGTGGATGTTTGTCTGCGCTGTCTCTTCCCTGCCTTTTAACTGACAGCAGAACGGCGCACTTTAATGACACTTTAATTCTATTTACCTCATTTAGTGTTGACACAGCTACATTTAAAGTGAAACTCTGGCATAGACGCAAGTCAGTTTAAAGGAGCACGTTGCTTTGCATGTTAATTTGCAAATATATAGAATCATGACTGTGTGAATCATGTAAATCATACATATGAAGTCACACTCGGGAGTAATTGAACAAATGTCAGTGAGTCATTTCATGCAAATAATAAAATTTGTATCTTTTCCAGCTTTTTTCTACCTTTGTTGATAAGATAGGAGACAAAGCATTTTTAGTAACAGTCTCCTGCTGTAGATTTGCACCCAGCCAATGCCAGTAAGAACTGCCAAGATGATGTCAAAGACCATGCTGAGAGAAAACCGCCTTGTCTTTACAGACATGATCAAAACAAGAATAAAATGCAACAATGGTAATCAGTGAATTTGCAAATCTTAAGGAGTTCTACTGAGAGTTAATTTATCAAATAAAATCAATTATTATTTACAACTTTAAAGCAAATTTCTGATCTTTTCACTGTTTAAGATTCAATTTTAAGATATTACCATGATAGAATAGAGTTCAATGTTATTATCTTTGCAGAACTTGAACCATAGACTGTACAAAAATCATGGACAGAACAACAGCTACCCCAAATGAAGCCAAAACTTTAAAGCTCTTCTTGGTGGACAGCTGCCTCCTCCATTATGACAGATGGGACATGGGCCAAGCTTAAGTACATTTACAGGCACAGCTAAATTGAACTGCGGTCATAGGCTACAGTCCCTGTCCCAGTTTACATGCACCCGGCAAAAATAGAATTATTGACAGAACAGTGTCCTTGCAACGCATTTCTACATAATATAATGTTTTTTAACTACAAAAGTGGAGTGGAGGTCCTTGCAAAGGAGAAACAGACTACAGATAGACTGATTAATTGTTAGGCCGATATTTAACCCAATTAATGGCCTTTTGATGAAATCGGCATTATACCAGCAACAGCCCTCAAGTAGGGAAACCAAACGTCCTTTTACCCAGACAAGTCCTCTTTTTTAACTTGTTCGGCTTTGTCCGGGGGAGTTTATAAAATTCTTCAAATGTCCAGGGTTCGTATGGAAGTTTTGAGTTTACTACTATTAGGCCTGCTGACTGTAATCACATTAAATTAATTTTACATTGTCCATAATTACTCATATCCTAACCCTGGAAACTGAGTTCATTTTGTTTCACCAATACATGAGCTGTTGTTGCTGTTGCTGTTGTTTTAATGTTGCGGCTGTCCCCTGTCTCTCTCTCGCTCATCCTCGTTCTCTACTCTCTCTCCCTCCTTCTATCTTGTTCTCTTTCTCTCCCCCTGCCCTCTCCCACTTCTCTCTCTCTCTCTCTCTCTCTCTCCCTCTCCTCTCTCTCTCCCATCTCTCTGTATTCCTCCCCAACCCAGCAGCGGCATGGTGGCTGTCTGGCATGAGTCTGGTCCTGCTCAAGGTTTCTGCCTGTTAAAAGGAAGTTTTTACTTGCCACTGTTACTCATGTTGGATGAGATGGGCCAAATCCCATCTTAGGTTGGGTCTTGATTATTCATCAAACAATGAGCGTGGTCTAGACCTGCTCTTTTCTTTGGGAAGCGTCTTTGGATGACGACTGTTGTGAATTGGCACTATATAAATAAAATTTGATTGATTGATTTGGGTTTGTCGCATGGACTTACTGAGTTAGAAGCGCGAAAAAAACACTCGATCCAACCCGAAAAACTTTCAAAATTTACGACGCACGACTCCATGACTCTGCCCCTGCATATCCGTGATTCAGAATATGGTCACCCTACCTCAAGGCTGATAAAAACATGGTCTTTTCTAAATGAAATATGCATGTTAGCATGTCATCTTAAATCTAAAACAGTTGTGAGCTAGTGTCTCACATACATTCTCCCGTTATCAGTGATTTGATTAGAGGAGGGACTGTGTTATCAGCCCATGTTTCCATCTGCCAGATCGCCTCTGTGCATGCCTGAGCTCAGTTTAATTTATCAGCGCCCATGGAGGAGGTATTTTGGTGGTATTACTTCTTACAATGGGAGGAGTGGAAGGCGCACCCTCCATATTAATATACAGTCAATGGCTGTTACTATTCAAATAAATCCAGATGCAATGTCACCATCATCATACATAATCTACACACCTCGCCGTTGACAGTTTAAGCTACCATTTCTCAGGCTACTTATAAGTAGCAGGAACTTAATAATACAAGGGAGCTGGTGATTTACAAGTTTTGGACACAGATGCTCGCAAGCAGCTCACAAATTACCCCCCACCCATCGTTCCTCCTCTCCAGTCCTCATCACGCGTCCTAGAGGAGCACTGTGAGTTCTGACCTCTGTCATGTCATTACACTATCTGATGTCCCGAGCAGCTGGCAGTCGTAAAATCCACCGAAGCATGCCAAGCGTGCCATCACTGCCCTCAGTACGTGTCCCAACACTCCCCAAATACCCCTGCACTGATGACAGCCCCGCAAATGCCTCGTTAAGACCAAGTCAGAGGGGAGTGACAGGTAAATGTGTCAACTTACATGACTAATTGGAAATAAAAAAGGTATTAGATCTGGATTTTTGCCACGTCAGTGCCTAAATGTTCAATTTTATACAGTTTACCAACTCAAATGCCCTAATATGAATCAACCCTGATATGAAGTGCTGGAACTTTCTTTAAACTGAAAGTTATACCACACCGAAAATAACCTCACATATATAACAGGTGTATGACCTAGAATATAGACCTAATTTCACAAAAGTGTTTCCCCCTGGTACGTACAAAATTAACCCTATATTCACTTTGAAGAATGTACTGAATGTCTAACTTCATTCAAAAAACTGACAAAAAGCTCACATTCCTCACAGCAGCTTTAAAGCTCTTAATTGAACTGAAACAGATCAAAAAGTCGAGCTAATGCTGATGAATCTGAATTTCCCAAAAAGTCCTGTGAGGAGTTTTTAGCAGGTTATGAAAAAGATCGGAAACACTGTCACTGAAAACAAGACCAGCAGCAAATAGACTGACCGTTTCTTGAAGTGATTTATGATGCCCAAGCTTCAAGAAGATATAAATAATGATTGCGGGTATCCCCTTTATTCAGTTGTTTGCTTGTGTATTGTGCAGCCAGTGTCAGTAAATCATTGGTTTTATGTTCTGAATTTCCACAGTTAATAAAAGATTTCAGATGATTTTTAAGAGATATGTTTGTCGGACAGACTTCTTCATTGTGTCGCACAGAACACGTATTTCATCATCAGGATGACCCTAACCAAAATTTCATAAAGCTGTAAAGAGTGTTTACAGTAGCTTTGGTTTGTGGTGCAGACTTCATCATCAATGTGTCACTAGAGAAAAATTGAAGCTAGTTGACTTTAACTCCGTTCGACAACCATTTATACGGTTTGTAGCGAGAACAGACAATTGAGTGTCAAGTAATGCCAACAAGAGGCCACCACGGGTCATTTGTAACATTTGTAAGGAAAAGCTGTAATATGAAGAAGAGAGGAAAGAGTACAGGCAGCTGGGAAGAAGTGCTGGTATGTCCAACTAGTCCCAGTATACCAAGGAGTTACATTCAAGGCTGATTTACGCTCCACATTAGATATGCATACAGACACAGCTGGACACTGTTTATTTTCTCTGTATTTTTCGCACATTTTCCACAAGCCTGGTGATATGGACCAAACATTGTACTTCCACTGAAAACGATGATGGCAGGAAAGCCAATAGTTCACACCGTTGATTGTGTACAGCATAAAACTTCTTGTCCTCATTCAAACTTTTGAGTTTGAGCAGCATCACCTGGAAGACTTATAGCTTCAAGCTCCACTTGTGAACCTTTAGTTTTTTGTCAATTTTGGCCCCTCCCATAAACAAAGTATTGTTTGCTTATCTTGTCCTCTATGCTAAAGTAAAAAAATCATACCAGTCTGGCTTCTGACAGCTAAATTTACCTTTAATTTGTTTTTAATGTGAGGAATATAAAAAAAATGTGGTTTTTAGTTTTTTATTTAGCTGCTTGACTGATACCTACCCCTGCACCAGTTTCAGGTATTAAAAGTTGTAATAATAAAGTCATCAACCTTGGTGCTGATAATCTTGTTTGCTTTTGGAAATCATGTAAAGGCACCAATATGAATTTCAGTCTATTTCATTTAATTCAAAAACTCCTCATTGAAGCTTAAATGATATTAATGCTTCATTTTTGCACACTTCAAATAAGCAGTACCACTTGTTTTAAGTGTCTTTGTATTGAGCTGTCATTGGGTTTTAACAGCTGTATTTTAGTTTTCGATAGGTTTTTATTTATAAGGAAATTGATTCATCCGATTTGCCTTAATATATTCTTTATAAACTGGTTCAGAAGATGAAATGTGATATCACCTTAGATTAATTGCCTCATTTCTGTGATAATGACATTACAAAAACTGCCCTCTCTTCTCGTTTTGTTTTGTTTGGAGTTGTAACGTGTTAGGGTTAAACCCCTTAACCTATAATCAGCCTATTAATGAAAAAAGATCTTTCTTTCAACACCCAGTTTCCACCTTATTTGAGAGTCAGTGTGAATATTGAAGTCGCTCTTTGTAATGGTATCCAACCTGTGCTGTTTACCAGTCTAACCTGTCTTTAACGACCTGCTGTTAAACGGCCACCACAGTGACCTTTATACTTCTTCCTGCAGGAGGTTTAATTGTATATCATTTCAAACAGCAGGTCTCCATTCACAGTCCCTCTTTAAGGACACACACGGGATATTCTTGAGCAGTTCGTCTTGTTTGCCGAGCTGTAACACGGGCCCCCCTCGCTGATTCTCACCTCTATTGTAATGCAGGCCAGGTTTATAATCTGCTCCCAGCCTGGGCCACTTCACACCTCGGTGAGCACTGCGGACCCCCGCTGAGTCTGGATCCATTGACCACCCCTTTTTTTTATGACACACACTCCCACACACCCACAGATAAACACTAGAGATCTAGAGATCTACACACCTGCTGCCCAAACCAAATAACTCCCCTGTTTTTCCTCTCTTTGTCTTGGAGGTGTCCGTTCATCGAGTCAAAAGGTGAACAAATAGAGAAGCCATTACTCACTTTAGTGATGTCAACAGTGTTTTGACCTGAGAGGAATGTGTGCTTAATGACCATCAGGGGGAAAGATAAATATTCCAGACTTTATTAAACAGGCTGAAGGTGGAGCAAAGATTTCTATAAGGAGCCGAGGAGGAGGTGAGGGGGAGCAGACCTTAAAGTTCAAAGCATACCGTGTTGGATATTTGCACAGCAAGCTTTCAGGGTGGGGTCTGCGGTCATTAGGGCGGGATGCTTGGACAGGGGCAGGAGACATAAGAGGTTTTGTCCCTCATAAAAGACAAGAATCCAAAAATAGGCTGAGTGATGTCAAAATGGTTTTACTGAAAAATGTCTCCGGGAGGTTTAAAGTAATATTTGCTCTTCTTAAAGTGAACGCCTTCTTGTGCTTTGGGAAAGAACTGTCACACTGATGGGACAGAAACATCCATGAATACTATTCATGTTTTTTTTATTTTAAACCATATGTAATAAAGCATAAGAAAATTAGACTTTTGGGCAGAAAAATAAATATAAAACGGTACATCTTTTTTGGGGGCGTACACTTGCTATCTTTTAAGTGCTTTAATTCCAAGGACAAGACTGCACAGATTTAAAAGCAATTACAGGTCAATTAAGTCATTAAAAAGATCTAAATACAGTTTTAAGATAAATGACTTTCAGATAGAAAGATGCGTTTGTTGACTGATGTCAAATATAGCTTCACAGACTAAAAGCATCCTTACAAACATTAGGATGATTACAAAGCACGATGCAATCTGCTTTATAACATTATGCGTATTGTTAACTAAATTCAATTTCTGCCAGCTCATACATTAAAATGTTACTTTTGAATAAACAAATCAGTGATTTACAAACCTTTGTAAAACACTTTTAAATTGTATGATTTCTTATAGTTAAAAAAATCCTGATACACTGTGCTGGTGATGTATTTAGGAGCCAAAGTGTGCACAAGAGCAGTCTAGTAAATATCTAATTAAATGGACTGACTCAGAAACATGGACACTTGTTATATGTGTTGTTATTTGTTTTTTTTGTAATTAAAAAAAAAAAAAAAGAGCAACAATAAAGAACTGTTTTCCACTGAAGACACCGCACAAACTGTCCCTGTTTATCATCTTATAGTTTCACTATTTGTCATCCTTTCATCAAGTCACACCCCCACAGAAGAATAAAAACAGTGAATCATATAACCAGCCTCTTATCTGTCACAACATATCTGGGACTCGTCCCTCAACACCTCAGAGTCCCCGGAGAAGAGGAAAGAGATACTGCATGAGCATGCTGCTCGGACACCTGTGTGCATCCAGTTTATATTTCTCTTTCCAGGGAGGAGGCACCCATGGGCACTAATGCAGCAGGGAGGGGGATGTGATGGTGATGATTTAGTATTTTCAGGGCAGGCGGGATCTTAAACAGTCAGTGTTAATGATCTTACAGAGCTTGGTGAACAGTGAAACCATTGTAACTGCTGAGACTCACCATCTGCAGAGTCCGTCTCTGCTACTGTCTTAGTGTATACGAACCCGAGCTGGACGGCACCTGTTGTGGATTCTTGCCCTTGACAGCACCCGGGTCTGCTGGGTGCTGGTGGGTGCGGTTTGGTCATGTTCTGACCCAGACTTGAACTCCCTCACAGCTGTCACTGTTCCACACAGCAATGCCAAACCCTGCGGCACAGAGAACAGAACTGGATGACACGGGATGGAGGACTGAGCACATAAAAAGATATCACTAATGAGTCCTATGACATCTGCATTTTAATAGGAGAAAATCAATTGGTAATGTCAATGTACGCTGAACAGGCAGCATGTTTATGGAAAATATGTTCTCATCCAGATACAAATGACTCTCAGATCTTAAATTTTGGCCCTAGTCTTTACTTTCAAACTTATGCTGAAGTTTATTGTTTTCGTTGTTGTATTTCTACATCATAACGTTAAATAACATAATATAACAGGAGAAAACACTGCGTTGAACTTTTCAGCATGTGTGTAGATCATAACTTTAAAAAACTGAAGCTTCATGCATCAATTAGTCTTTAACATCAAACATTAAATGATTAAGCTGTGTCTAAATCAGCCACATTCAGCGGCTGATTTAATATGATAAACATGAGTTAGTGATAAAAACACAATCGAATCACTATTTGAAATAACAACGTGACAGGCTGTATAGAAACACATTATATTGAATAAAATACAAAGGCAACCTAGGCAGCTGTGCAATAAAATAAAAAGTATACATTTTGATAAAAAAAAAGTATTTTATTAGTTGATTACATTCAATCATTTTTGGGCCTTGAAAAACAATAACAGATCAAATAAAATAATTTCAAAACTTCAAAAACAGAAAGTTTTTTTTTCAAGCATGTTAGAAATTAATGCTTTAGCAATATGAGTTTAGCAAACAAGTGCCAAATACTCATAGGCTACATGTATTTAGGCTTGCTATCGTTGGAGAAAATAACAATTATTTGCTCTTTAATATGTTTGGATATGCTATTTGTAACGCTCAGAACTCATAATTGTGCTTATTTATCTTTTATTACTACATAAAGTCGACTGTTGAAACGAAGTTGGGCTTTACAAGCCCGTGCTGCCTTTCTTTAGCTTGAGGCGCCCTCTGCTGGTCATGCTGCGATGTTACATATTGAAGCGCTACAAACAGGTTAAAGTGAGGGCGGAGGAATGGAGTTAAGACTAATTTTAATATGCTCATAAGGTCATGTTACTAAATATATGGGGTGGAAATATGAGCTGTAATGTGTTTAAAATATGATAATGTGAAAACTTGTGCGACAAGCAAAAGTTTTCACATTATCACCACGTCTGACCGTTACTACTACCGCGAGACTCTCCAGACATGGACAACGAGCACAGAAAGGTAAGTAATATGTTTGCATGACCTTTACGGGGGATACAATAAGACGCCAACCGCCATGTTTCCTAAGAGTTAAGAAATAAGGAAGTGGTTGACTCACCTCGGCTCACAGCGGTGCTGCACACAGGTGAGGGAGTGGCTTCCTGCTGCCTCCTCCTGCACTATCAGACTGTCAGGCCTGGGCTCTCCGGGAGGAATACCGCTGTCTGCTTTTATTCTCGGGGGATTTCAATCAGAACCAGGTAAGACTCCACATCCACAACCCTTTTTGTCTATTCCAACTAAGTGTTTCAACTTTACTTCTCAGAGGAGCTGAATCTGTTATTCAAAGTTTAAAATAGTTTGCATTTATAAAGATTAACGCAATAAACACCATGGCCTGCATTTAAGCCATTACATAAGGTTAAAGGGTAAGGGTTTGTACTCAAAAAGTTGAGAACAATATCTATTTTTAATGTATGTATAGATTCAATATCCATGCAAATTGTTATACTTAATTTTGAAGCTCAAAGGGTTGCATTTTCAGAGTAGAAAAGTGATCAGAGTGACAGGATGAGCAGCTCGAGGTGCTGTTTTCTCGCAGAGAGAGAACTTTGTTCATTATCACAGCATGTCTGTGCAGGTGGAGGAGCAGCCTCCACATTCCAGTGCCTTGGGTCATGACAGTGCAGTGCGCAGACCCTCAGCAGCACAACACTCTTCACAGAGCAGGCCTGTCTGAATGCCTGCCTGTGTTGACAAGCACCTACCATACTTGCCTACCATAAACGCTGAACTTTCTACAGTAGAAAAGTAGCTTACAAGTGTCCAGATTTCCTGTGAATTCACCACTTGTGCAATCATTAGATCTTTATCTGAAGAGCATTTCCTCAGTTGCCTTTTACTGATAAAAAAACAGACTGAAAAGATGTCATTTTACATCCTTTTGCACCAGGTCTCTGTAAAAGTCATTTTTGTCACTATTTTTCTTCGAAAATAACACACACACAAACACATACAAGGACAAAGTGATGACACCTCTAGATATCTCTCACTGTAGTCAGAGGTACATGTTATGACAGATCCAACAGCATGTTCTCCATTGCACCACCGTGCAGTTTGCAGTGAAACAGCAGTATGAGCAGTCAATGATCTGACCAACCTGTTGAAGCCTTGTTATGTATGTTTATATGTTTTTATGTATTTTAAGGCTCCCACATAAAAGACAGTGTAGGTACATAATATATAATTTAACATTCTCTGGCATAACCAACATAACACAAGCAAACAAAAAGGTGGGGGTGGTTTAAAAGAAGTGAAATGTAGAGATAGACCGGTTTATGATTGGCTGATTTAACAGCCTTTTGGTCTTATCGGCATCACCTCAGCATTGGCTCAACAAGGCAGACATCAACACAATCTTTTCTCAATAAAATAGGGATTTCCCCCCAAAAACAGTGAATTAAATCTTGAATAGCCACTGTGCTAGTGCTCTGAAATGTAGCATAACCTAATGTGTTGGTATCGTCCCATTATTATTATTTTAATCAAGAATTAATTCATAATCCCTGCTGCCCTAGAAGGGCAGACTGATGAAGATTTGAAGTGGCTCTTAGGTAAAATTTGCATTACTGTACTGATAAGATGCCATAGAAATAAGGGGGAAGGTCCACATCATTTAACAACCTTCTGATTATTTAAGACCCACTTTATGTTGTTGATACTCGTTTGCATTCCTAATTACACTAATCAAACAGTTGGATGATTCCTCTGACCTTTTTCTAAAGCCTCTTCCTCCTGCTGAATGAAGCAGTGTTGCTTCTCCTCCCACTGCTGTGGAATTTCATTCTCATCTGTCACAATCTGTCCTCGCGGATCAATCATCTCCTGATGTCTCACCAAGAGAAACTGTGAACCTTTCTAACAGAGCACAACATTTCAGTCACAGAGGACTGGCAGCAGTGACAAATGTTTGGGTGCTGAATATTAGGATTTATTGTCATCCTGCTGCAGTGTTTGTTGTGGGTGAGTGTTGACGGGGAAAGTTCCCCCCACCTTGGTCTTGTGTTTTTCAATCAGAATCTCCCCCGGGAACAGTTGTTACCATAACAACTCAAGCGGCAGCATGACGGTCTGAGAGGGGAACAACAACAGCTTGCACTGAGAAACTCGTGTCACTTTTTTGCTCACTTGGGGAAACCAGACAGATGTGGCAAACAACAGCAAGACTCACCACATTCCAGTAATTTGTTATTCAGTTAAAGGGTTTTATGCACCATACTATTGACAGTTCTGTAGCATTAATGGGCATCTTGTGTGATCTTGTGTGCAGATCTATGAAGTACTTCTATAAGAGGTATTTAAAGCTCCTATGAGAAGTTTTTTTTATTTTTTACATTTATGATGTAGCCTGAAATTCACATTAATACTTTTTTATGATATTCAGTAGCAAACAAAACTATTACTAACAAAATTGATGATCTTTATTCCTTTTTTTTATGCCTGACACTGGTGCAAGGTGGGTAGGTGTCGGCCAAGTAGCTAAAGAAAAAGCCCTGCTTTTTCAATTTCTACATTAAATTTCCACAATAAATCATACATCTGACTGTAAAAAGTCACAGGGGGGCGCCAAAATTGACACAAACTAAAGGTTTGGCTAACTTTAGTTTGATGAAACCGTTGTGTATTTCACAAAACAAGGAGAAAGTTATTTATTTATTTATTTCCCTGATTTAATTTAGATACAGTTTAGATTTAATTTGTAATTTGTATTAGTAAATATCAGAATTAAGAATAAACAATGGCAGGTCTTCCTCAAACATCTTCATAAATTTGGTCAATTATAGGCAAACATCTTATAACATGTCACAAAAAAAGAAAAAAAAAATGCAGTTGTGATTTTATGTACCTATACTAGACCAACCCAACAGCTACCAAATGCTTCACACAAGTCATGGTCTGTAAAGAAAATCTACCAACACCACATTTTGACTTGACACATGACAGGTGTAAACATTCATAACTGAGATTAAAGCTCCTATGAGGAATTTATTAGGCAAACAAGACCATCAGCACCAAGATTGATGACTTTATTATTACAGACAGAAACTGAATATTCCTCAAGACAAAACAAAACTGCAAAACAGTCTTTTTAAAAATCGGTTTCATCGACAACAAAGCATGAATCACTAATGCATAAGACAAGATTAGCAAAGGGGGGAGCAGCTTTGTCTACAGGGGGTACCAAACCAAAAAGTTTGTTACAGGAGCTTTAATGATGGCTGTGTTTAAGGTTTGCCGGTTAAGGAGTCTGAAAATGTGCATTGACTACATTTTAGACTTCATGTTTTTTGTTTCACCTGCCTTTTCCCTGCCACTAAAAGTGAATATATCAGTCATTTAAATTGCTTATTGTTACCCAGCTCGACTTGAAGAGGTTTTATGTCTGCGCTGCATTGTTTGGGGTTTTAGTGTTTAAGTGTAAAAAACCTAAACTATACAAAACCAGGTCTCACATGGTTGTTAAAACCTTGACTTAAGTGGAGGTCAGAGGGATAGAACTGTGACGGAGGAAACATGGTGTGTCTTTTTTCCCTGTGTTATTTTTCTATAGCTGATAATATTTGTTTAACACACTTATGTATTATTACCCAGCTGTGTGAAATACTTGATTCTGATTGGTCAAAACTGAATTAGAATGGTAATTTATTCTCAAGCACAAAAAGCATGTTAGGGACAGTTTGAGCACACACTTCATATCTCTGACACTGTTAAGGTCCTTACACACCGGGAACGCCGAAATATTCAGAGGCGAATTTTAACGTGCCTGACTATACACATCAAGCCCGATGACTATTTTTCAGTTCTGATTAAACACTAGTGTTGAGATGGCTGTCTGTCATGATAGCATGTACTGAGTTGGAGCCAGTACCAGATAAGCACATTGAACTATAATCCATAAACGTAAGGTAACAACCGAGACCTAATGGTGCTGTGACAGCAACGCGATTGAGTTTGAGACAGTGAAAATACATATGGTATGTTGTACCTGAACGGGTTAGCTTACGAGCTGAAGTTACTTAGAACAGATGAAAGTTAAAAACAAGACGTTTAGCAAACTCAACTCAACTTTAACTTTTAACTTTAACTTCAACTTTGAACAAAGTGCTGTACATAAACAGACAAAACAACACAGACATAAAAAACAATCAAAAGACAATTAAGACAATGGACTCTATTTTCGTGTACGCCGGTGAGGCGGCGGAGGGTGGCGGATCCTGTGCAGTTGTATTTTCGTCTGGCGGAGCCCGGCGTACAGCCAGTTTGGTATTTTCGTGGACTGAGGTGCACGGAGGCGAGCCGAGATCTGCCAAGCTGGGCGTGGTGGCGTGGCAGGGGGAGGTGTCGACAGAATCAGCGGGCGCAGTGACATTTTCGTGCTCGCCAGTGGCGTGTAAAGTGAACTGAAAGCTCGCCGATTCAAACCTAGTCAGCTTTCACCGCAGGTGGAGCGCAGCTGGTCTAGTGGTATTTTGGTAGACCGGCGGCCTATCGGCATACGTCACCGATGCCTCACAGGCAGGTTTCCACAGTGTCAGGCACATTTCAGTGCAATAAATAAACATCAACAACTAATAATCTGAGTCAGCACATACATTTAGATCTATATCGATATATTCTGATTTATATCTGATCTGATGAGCGCGTTTGGCACGTGTTTGGACACACAACCGAATCAACACAGCTGGAACCGCATTAAATTAAATTAAAAATCTAGTAAATAAACACACGAAGTTAACAAGATATTTAATTTGTCTCCCTCCTTTTCTTTCTTCCTCTTCCTCTTATTTCTCGCGCAGCTCGACCTGGACACGTCTCCATGTCCTCTCTCTGTCCTGCTGCAGCTGCGGCTGAACAGATGATTTGTTTCAGTGATCAGATGAGTTATTTACTTTAAGCCTACATACGGATGTCATAATATTCAGTTTTGTGGGCCAAATTTATTTTATATGCCAACATCTATGAAAGAAAGAGCCAGGCCATGGAGCGCGATGCGTCATTTACGCACAGATGGTTCCGATTTTAATGCCATTTTTGGAGTTTATGTTGTGATCTGTGCGCACAACCCACCTTTGTCACGTGAGGTTTGAATATATGCAACTTTATTTGAGTGTCTTTATTTGTGGAAAAGGGTGTTTGTCTTACCAGTGGGTCCAAACTTACACACAACAAATCCCTCTGTGCTCATATGATAGAGTTTGGAGGACGCCCTCTGCAGCGTTTACAGTGACACTTGTTGAGGAGCTGCCCTCTGTCGCCATCTTGTGGCATTATTGTCTTCAGACATCTCTTGATCTCTTTGACTACTTCACGAAAATAGTAATACGCCTTGCCGGTGGCGGATTTAAAGGCAAGGAGAGGAGCTGATGTGATTGGTGAAAACAGGTCTCGGCTGTGTTAAACCCACTCCAAGCCCTCTCTCCTCCCTCGCTACGACTTACGCCGCTGCGAAGAGCTGAGTTAGGGAGGGGGGATACTTACGCCAGGCTGCGCCGCTCACCAAAATACCAAATTGTGCTTGGGAATGCCTTGTCGGTGTGGCAGACCTGAATTACGCTGCGCCTGCGGCACGTCTCCGGCGAGACACGAAAATAGAGCCCACAGGATAAAATAAAAGCAGATATTAAAAAGTAAAATGTAGTTTCAATGTTTTTAAAAACTAATTTAAAAACATAGAAAAAAATAACTCAAAACAAACCATCTAACACTAAAACAGGAACTGAGTCTCATGCAGGGTTGTAAGCCAATAAATAAAAATGGGTTTTAATGACACATAAACAATCAGCCGGTCGGCCATGTTGGATATACTGGTGAATCTGACGTCGCAACAACACGCAATCTGATTGGTCAAAAGTGGACACACAGTATGCGAAACTTAAGAAAAATTGACTGTGATTCGAAAAAAACAATTCTGCAATATCGCAGGACGGGAAAACATCGCTGATGTGAACACTTGTATTGACAGGATACGGGTTCGAAAAAAAATATTGACGTCCAAAATAATTGCATGAAATGGTATGTAAGGACCTTAAGCCTGTTGCTACAAGGTCTTGCTCACCCTGTCAGGATCCCAGTTTGTGTAACCATCTGTCCACTATACACCCATCACTGACTCCACCTCCTTTTCCTGCTTGCCTGCCCGTCTACAGTTATTTCTTAATTCTTTTTTTTCCCCCATGTCTTTCCTAGTGAGACCCCCTTCCTCACCCCCACTGCCCAACAGTGTGTACAGGTATTTTTTGAAAATGTCAGTGGCAGGCTGCTGTGAAAGCTCAGAAATTTTCAGGTATGAAAGGAACTTTAGAGGCCTGCAAGCAAAATGCTTTGGCACAACATTTTGCAATGCTGTCTGACATGTGTAGCAATCTGTAATGTATACATATCACCAGGTTGACTCATCATTTCTTCCACACAAACACAGGAATGTAGTTGTGTATCCACAGCTGAGCACGGTGTAATTTATGGAGGTGATCTTTAACGTCCTCTTCTTCCCCCTCTCTCCGTCCGGCCTCCCACACCCAGGTGATGGTGCAACATGCCGGCCATGCTGCTCACTCTTCCTCTCCTTTTTTTTTTCTCTTTCTCTCTCTTTCTCAGTATACACACACGCATAGTTACACACAAACACACCCACAAGGCCCTGCTGGGGAATTCATGGCCTCAGGCTAACAAAACACAACCCTCTCCAATAGCGGCGTAAAGCTTGGAGAGAAACTAACACAGCCAGGCTCTCGCACAGCAGACTAACAGCATGGATCTTCATTTATGAGAGAAAAAACCATTCAGACGGCCAGAGGGCACTTTTCATATGACACTGTTGAGAGGTGGGTAATCTTTGGTCACAGCTAGGTGTGTTTCCAGGTATTTAGCAAAGCTGTACTGTTTGCTGAGTCAACATGCACTCACATTTTTGATTGACAGGAAAGAATATTAATTAAAACTGTGTAATGGTGCTTGGTAAACTGAAAGCAGCTCAGGATGTGTTTCCTGATTTTTTTCCTTTTGAGGCATCAAAAGGTTTGGGCACCATTAGTCACAGTATCCTAAAAGTTTAGTCAAACTCCGTACAGGCGTCCAGCTTTTTAATCAGGCAGAAAGCTTCCAGTTGTCTGTTTTTGAGTGCGTAGCTGTGGCTGTGGTTGTGGCTGTGTGCTGAAGTTTTTACTATCTCTAGTGGTCATCTCTGTGTTTGTTTAAAGTCAAGTGGTTGGAGAAGAATCTCCTGTTGTTTGGAAGTACTCCACGTGAGGTACTCCTGTCTTAAAGCACCAGTTTGCCTTTTGAGGCTACAAAGAGTTTTCAGTAATGTACGGTAAAGGTGACTGCATTTGTCAAGGGCCCATGTTTACTGGTCTTGTAAATGATTGCTTAAAAATATTTACCCTGCTCCAGGAGGAAAGGAACTGAGTGTTTTGAGTATGATTTGCATCGGTTCAGGCACTCTTGTTACATTAATATCAAGATTCATGGAAATTATCAGTCCAAACATTTGAATTTGTGTGTTTTTGAGTAAAACATCAGTGGGCTGTGATTGGTTGGTTTCACCTGAAGAAACATATTTAACATTTGTCCAAGAAAACACACTACCAAGAGCATTTAAAGCTTTCAGTAGTCTCCATAATCTGCCTACTCAGTGGATTTTGAAGTTCGGAAGTTAGGCTCTGAGAACAGATACACCCCAATATCAAGCTAGCTAGCTCTGGGAGCCAGTTAGCATAGCATAACAAAATGACTCAAAGGCTTTCACAGCATTTTAGTTAACTGCAGCTGTTTCAAATGTAGTATACAAATATATTTTGACTTGACATGACTGAAACCAGTGAGAAACAGCCAGCCTGGTACTATTTAGAACTCCCTAGATCTCACCTATTGGTACCCTTGAAGCCAGCAACTTGTCTTCTTTACTAATTCTGTAACAAGGACTCAAATGGTCTCATAACAAGTCCAGGAAGTCCTTTCCAGAAGCAGGTTTATGTTCAGTCTTAAAAATCAAAGTTGTCTTTTAAACGTAATGATTTTTGCATGAACTAAACAATTGTTTACAGTGTGCAAAATAATCAGCCTTAAAGGCGCCAGTAGGTGGCCATGTTGCTGACCAACCAGATCAGAGCTGCACATGCCTGGTCTCCGAGATATTCCACAGCTCAATATGTCTTCAGTGTTTTGCCATCATATCAAGCATATCACCCATATTTACAGATGCCTAAAGCTAAAAACTGGTAGCCTGACTGGGTCTGTTGTTGGCCCATGCCCCATCTGTTTACAAGTTTGTACTCTTATGCTGATTTGGGTTAACCTGCACTTAACTCTGTATAAAACAATATATAAAGGTCGGCCAGTATTGTTTGTTCTGGGCCAATACCAATACCAATTGTTAGTGGTTCATGGGACCAATAACCAATTTTTGGAATGGATATACATTGAACTGTCCATCAAAATTCAGAATTTGTATCGTACCAACTCTAATACATAACTTTATCTCACTCGACGAGACAAAGTGGGAAGGATGCACTGGCAGCAGAGTTAAAGTAGCACTTGCACTTTTTAATTCATGAATTTTATTCAGGTATCTGTAAAATAAAAGGCTGATAATCTGCCATGTATCAACCCGATAATCAGCCAAGTGCTGCCCTGACCAACATATATTTTATTATGAGTCTCAATAAATATTCTTTTCCTTAAAGGTTGGAAGAAAAACTGAGTTTTTCCTACAATATATAAAACTGCCCTTACAAGGACAAAGGAGCAGCTTCTCTGCTACATTATGGGTAATTGTTGACTTCAGTTTCTTGCATGTCAGATGAATCAACACATGTTGCATAATGACTCAAAGCACAGAAACTACTCCACATTAGCATGTTAGTCATCACTCTGTTATTCAGCGTTCAGTTTGGGATAGGTTCATGAGTTTGTTTCCAACATTTAGACTCTGTCATCATGTTGACAGGGAGATTTCTCTTTTACTGTACATTTTGGAAATATAGCTAACTGGGGGTGAATTCAAAGAAGTTTCTCTTGTAGTTACAGATGATACTAGTCTCCACACAGGCCCGCACTTGAAATCTCTGTGAGGAAAGAATGTAATCAGCGGATCTCAGAGTCAACTGATGTGAGTCATTGAGCCGCATGGCACAACATTACAGCCCCAAGGTGAAGCACGGCATGACTGTACTACTATGAGAGGGCCGTTGCTGAACAATGTGTGTTCATGAGTAACTGCAGTATCACTTCAAACTTTCACTTCATGGAGAAGTTAAAGCTCCTGTGGGGCGTCTTCAAAAGGTTATGAAACAAACTGAAATTAATACCAGAATAAATACTGTCTTTCTTATTAAAGGGATATTCCGGCGTAAATTTAAGTTATAGTTATAGTCAAACACATCGTAACACCAAGTCAGACACCCCCTCGATAGATGAATGTTGCAGACCGCTTGCTTCTCTAGTTATACCAGCTTTAGTAACGACCGCACATTAGCAATACACAGCGGTCTAAGTCTCCATACGCAAACCTCAACCAAAAAGCCTTAAATTTAAATTTACACCGGAATATCCCTTTAAGTGATACATAGGTCTGTTTAAATAGAAATTGAAAACATGACTCCCATAAGTCTGGAGCCAAGTCTACAAAGTGATAAGAGTACTGTTTTGTCCACAGGGGAACCAATATTGATGCAAAAGTTGCTAACAGGAGCTTTAATTTATCACATAGGATGGGCTGCTGACTTAATTTCTCTGTTACAGGTTTACAGACTGATACCAGATGAAGTCCAGGACTTGAAAGCTTTATGTTTCCTCACTCATTCTGTGTCTTAGTTAAAGTGTACTTTCCCTCTGACTGTCCACAGGATGTTGTTGATATGATGGTGCCCATCCAGCCTTGACCATGTATGAGGTGATGTCAGGTGACACCCTGGCCTGGAAGGTGCCCAGTCCGAGAGAAAGCACCGCCGGGACCAGCCCAGAGTCACACTTCCAAGGAGATGAGGGGCCGACCAAGATACTGAAAGTGTGCTTCTGCACCAACAATAACCTGGGCAAGAACTTCAAGCTTGTGAAATGTGACGGCTCCTGGCAAATCAGGGTGAGAGTTATCTGAAGGAAAATATGAGTGAGGGGAGGTGATGTGTCAGAAGACGGTGATAAAGATAGAAGTTTAGTTTATTTGAGATTCTTTAGACCATGTGTTGGAAGAAGAGACAGAAATTTGTTTTATCTGTCCTCCTCCACATTTCAGACATAATAATAAATCAATTACCTCAGCACAAGAAATTATTTTCTCTCTTTAAGTATGTTGCAACAAGAAAACTGAATGCTCATCACTCTCATCACACTTCTTTCTTCAGCCAGTTTTAAAGATAATTGATGAGCTACTACACACAAGGTAGTTAAGTGCCTCTAGTGATAAGAAAGAGTTCAAAAGTTTTTTGTCTTTCTCAGGCAATTATCCGTTCGATTCTGATCAGTGGTCGATTGGGGCCAAACATCGAACATGCAGGATGCTACGGTCTCCTGCTGAAACACCTGAAGTCAGACGAGCTTCACTGGCTGCATCCAGATCTGACTGTTGGGGAGGTGGAGCAACGCTACGAGAGCAATCATGTGGAGGCAGAATGGAGGTACAGAGTGGGAGATTTGCATCCATGTTTATCCAGTAAAAGGAGAAAGTGAAAGGTGTTATGTGAAGGACGCGGTATTTGAAAAATGTGTAGAGTGTGTCTGCTTTTTGTCACGCAGGTATGACCTTCGAATAAGATATGTTCCTGTCAATTTCTTGGAAAAATTCAAGGATGACAGATCTACATTTGTGTATTTTTACCAACAGGTAATACTCTTCTTAAGATTATTTGATCCATCCTGTAATATAACCATTTTAGGGTTTTCATCACTGTTTTTTATTGATTTATTTTTGCTCAGGTGCGCAGTGATTACATGCAGTATCATGCCAGTAAGGTCAGTGATGGGATGGCGCTGCAGCTCGGCTGTTTGGAGATTAGGTGAGTCACTGCATTCCTCTCATTTATCTGCTCTTCCTGATCAAACTTCTACTCCCATTTGTCCCTCTAATAAAGGCAACATAACGACACAAGGTCAGAGCTTTACTGGCATGTTGTACACCGTGTGTACCGGGCTTTATTAGGGGTCTGAGATTTGGGTTTTTAGTAGATGATGCCCAGTTTAGTAGAGGAAATGAATGGGTAAAACTCTCTTATCTAACTGATGTTATTTACTCTGGTTTGACAGGAGGTTCTATAAAGACATGAATGCAAAAGGTCTGGAGAAAAAGTCCAACTTTGAGCTGCTAGAGTAAGTTTTTCCCTTATTTCTTTACATTTTGGGGACATGATCAATAGTGGAATAACCCCAGATTTCCACCGCATGCGGAACGGCTGTGTCTGACAATTCCTACCTGATGTGTTTGTGAGGCAAATTTCGTGGTGAATTTTAGACAGTAGAAATCGCAAGGACTCACAAGAGCCCATGAATTCACATGCAATTGCATGATAACGAGTTGTCTCTATAAAGACAGCCACATAACCATATAAGCAGTAGATTGTGTCCTTCCAGAGGAGGAAATTCACTCTGTCCAAACCACTAGATCAGACACTTTTGTGAAGATTAGAAATTAACCATCGGTAAGTGCAATATTTACTTATATCTACGGAACAAACCATGGTTTGCATGGTGTGAAATACTATCTGCTATCTTTATTTTGAAAAAAAGCTAGATGTTCTATTTTGTGTCTGTGCCCGACTTACTTGTCAACATGGGCTAATCTGGGCTGAAATTATATTGCATGCTGCAGCGTCTGGAAAAAAATAGAACCCTGGTGATCAACTATGAAGCCTTCTGAACCCCAGGGGCCAGAAAGAAGCAGGTGGATATTGACACATTAACTTGAATGGAAACGATTTGCACCAACGGCCTTTACGCCGCCATTCTACATGTGGTGGAAATTTGGATTAACTGTCTAGATGAGTTGTTGTTGATGAAATGTCGAACTGAAATGAAGAGATACAAACTTTACTGTGACTTTAAAAGGAAGATTAAAATCTGTGAATTTCTCTGTGTGTTCCTGAACAAATAAAGAAAAGAAGTGGGCCTGGACCTTTTCTTCCCCCCAGAGCTGATTAACAGCATGAAGGTAAACCAAATCAACGGTTTCACTGTATTACTTTACTGAAGAGTGAAGGACGAGATCTTTGTCAGAGGATGCTTGACTAAAGTTAAACAGTGTTTTTTTGGATCCAGTCAAGGCAGCTCCGGAAGTTGATCCAGCAAACGTTTCAACAGTTTGCAACACTCAAAGAGGACGACTGTATGGTGAAGTTTTTCGAGACCCTCAGAGAGTTCATCAGTTATGATGAAGAGGTCTTCCCCTGTGAACTAGTGGTAAGTGGAAACAAACATGGATTAAAAATTCTGAGATGATTGATATTGTTAATATTTGTATGCCGTCACTTCTCAACAGCAAGGTTGGAGTCTATCAGTGGAGCTGGTCATTGGCGGGAGGGGGATTCGCCAACGCACACAGAAGGATTCAGCAGTAAGCTATAAAAATAAGTATATGTTAGTTAAACCACAGAACAGCTGTCCTGGCTGTATTTTGAGAAATAAAAAAATGAAGCAGCTTCCTGGTTTTTAAACTTGTTTCTTAGCCTCTGTCTCAGGTATGATAAGCACACAGTTCAGGAAAACCATAACTTATTATTGTTGCACCTCTATTTTGGATTAAAGAAATAAGGAAGATCTGATTTTGAGCTTTACTGGTGCTGATAATTGGATTTTGTTACTCAAGAGAGACGTTACGCCGTCTTTTTTTTTAATTTATTTTTTTGGCTCTTTTCAGTGTTTATGTAAAGCTGCTAAGACAAACTCTCTTAACCACATGCTAAGTGAGCAGCATCATGTGGGTGTCACATCATTATCTATCGGACAAAGTTGGACATATGTCATTATGAGTCCCATCATAAATACATTTATTCTATTGTTTTTGGTGCTTCAGGCTGTTTTTCTAGCCGACTTCAAGCAGATCAAGAAAATACAATGCTTACCACAGAGTGATGGCAAGGCTCTCATAAACTTTGACATAGAGGGGGCCAGACAAGTGAGTACCACTACAACACCAACACCGTTCTCCTATTATAAAAGTGACTGTGAACACAGTTAAGAATCTTAAAGACAGAATTAGCTGGTGTGTTTATCTGCACAGGAAATTTGACACAGTACATGTAACTTTTCTCTTTTCTCTGATAGCGTCTGTCGATCAATGTGGCCACGGTCCCTGTGGCAGAGAACATGATGGACCTTATTGATGGCTACTGCCGCTTGGAAAATGACACGGATGATAGTGTTATCTACCGGACAAATAAAGGTGTGTATGACTCAGACACAATTCCTATCACTGTCAGCATTAGTGTCATTACATCCAACCATAAAGGGCAAGCATATGTAGAAAGGATGGAGCCTTAAAAGGGGAATAAAATCTTTTCAACTAATTTTTATTATCACCAATTTTAATTCCAGATGCAAATGCACGAACTTCCCTTCCTGAGCTCCCCACAATGTGAGTGAATTCTGGCTCTTTTACAACCCTGAGTGATTTGTGACCCTCTCTCAGCCTCAGTGCCGCTGCACTTGTTCCCTCTTTGGTTGTAACATGAGATGAAAAGTTAGAGTTATTGATGAAAGGGGATGTTTTATTGAATCATTCTGTCAGAGCTCCTAGGAGCCATAACTCGAAAATGTATGACTCTCTCTTTCTGTCCTCTCTCTGGAGCAGCAGAGACACCGGCACGATGAGACACAGTATGGGTGAGCAGACAGTCCCCATAGTGTAACATAATATAAAAGCTTTTATATAATTTACTTCAAATAACAAGTGAGAACACACCGCTGTTTTACAGGCTCAGATATCTACTGTGAGATCCTTGATGAAAGGCCAAGATCAGGTTTGTCTATTGTTTTATTCTCTTTTGCAGAACAATGAAAAAGAAAAAGCGATTTAACCAATTCTTTGTTCTGTAGTTGTTAAGTACGGCATCGACCGAAGTGACATCATTCTGGGACGAATCCTCGGCGAGGGTTTCTTTGGGGAAGTCTATGACGGAGTTTACAAAAAGGCTGTAAGTGTGTTTCCCTATTGTAAAAAAAGGATGAAATCATAAGAATAGCTGTGGATGATGCAGGGAAATTCTGATAGGGAGTGAAACAGATATTTACTGTAAAAATCTTAACAAGTGTATTTGTCCAATTTCTCGTCACAAATATTTATAAGGCTGGGGACATAGTTGCTGTTTAACAATACATTTAGAAACACAGCCAGCCACATCATGAACGTAATGGTAGACATACTGGACTATGTATTAATGTCTGGGGCTTGTTTCCATTTAGTTTTGCAGGTTTCCACATTGACCAATGGTTGAATTCATCTCTTATTATCTGTTTTGACAATTATAACTGTGCAGTGGTAATGAAACATGGTACAGTTGTTGGGAAACTGCAGACCTGATCTGTAAAATACTGTGGCCCTGAGGGGCAAAACACAACGGCAAATCAGAAAACACAACACAAAAAGAGAAAACATGACACTAAAACAGAAAACACAACACTAAAATAGAAAACACAACGACATGAACCACTGTGTTTTCTATTTTTGTGTTGTGTTTTCTGATTTGCTGTTGTTAATTGCACCTCAGGGCCACTGTAATGAAACATTTCGCCATTGTTGTCCTGCTGCTGTGTTGTCTGTCACATCTCCTCTGCCTCTACGCTGCCCCTTCTGTTCATGTGCATACTGCACCTCTGGTCTATGGTAGGGCTGCCTCAATTAAGGGGATCACTGGGAATCCCGGACCCCATGAAAATATGTCTCACAGAAAATTTTCAAAACAAAAGCATGACTTTTTCAAAGTTTTCTGATAATATTGTAATAATATCATTATCACAATATTTTATGGCCATAATAATTCTGAGGTGTAAATCTGATATGTTAGTGGACCTAACTAAAGTCCCATTAATTTTGGAGAGCATACACAGGACACCCCACTCACACGCAGGGAACATATAGAGACCATTATTTGCATGTGTATGTGCTGTTAAAAGCAGGTTCATCAAATGGAGGATATAACATATAAAATGAGGGGTAACCTCAGTCTATATGAGATAAGATGGGCAAAGTGGTCAACCTTCAACAACTAATTTATTTATTATATGGTTGTCACAGCAGTGATTATCCTATTTGTTTGTTGTATTTTTTTTTTCTTTTTATTTATTGCGGGTTTGTTTATGTTGTTGTTGCTGTTATGTCTTTCTCTCTTTCTTTCTTTCTTTCTTTCTTTCTTTCTTTCCTTAAGTGTATGATGTTGTCCATGTTGCTGTTATGTGATTTCTTTTTCATGTGCATATGCAAATGTACAAACACGTGGTGACTTAAAAAATAAAGTAATAAATAAATAAAGAACATAAAAGCAGGTTTTTCTCCAGCACTAGACCTAACATAAGCCCATCTAGTAGATATGAGACACATAAGCTTGGTAGGATCTGAGTTTTTGTGGTAAAAATTACAAGTAGCCACAATTGCTGCCAAAGTTAATGATTTTATAATTTTTTTTTAATGCAAATCTTCAAATAAATGATTATTCAGGTCAAAAATTGCTCCTCTTACACCTTAAATTCTGACTTAAGATAAGTGGTCCAACAAATGACTTGAACATTTATCAGGCAGTCAAAAAAGCTGCAGTCAATTAACACAATGACGAAACTGACCGATCTAATTCACTCTGGAAACAGGCTGAAGTTCTGTTTCCTTGTATTTTTCATTAAAATACTCCCGCCATCTCTCTGAATTTGTCTTTTGTTGTTATAACAGGATGGCGATAGGGTTAACGTAGCGGTAAAAACCTGCAAAGACTGCTCACCTGATGTGATGGAGAAGTTCATGAGTGAAGCAGGTAACCGTAAAACTGTGCAGAAAGATCAAAGTTGCCATAGTAACTTTTAACTCTGAATAAATGTGCAAACCTGGTGTTTTTAAGTTATTATGAAGAACCTGGATCATCAGCACATTGTGAAACTGATTGGGATCATAGAGGAGGATCCAGTGTGGATCGTGATGGAGCTTTATCAGTATGGAGAGGTCTGTTTAAACCCTGATCAAATTGTTAGTCTGTTGTTTTTATTGTGTGTATGAAGTGTGTGTTTGTAGGTGAGAAGAACATTTATTCAGCTTCATATAACAGATAGAGTGACTGAGAGCTTATCTTATGTTTGCTGGCCTTGTCTCTCTTGCAGCTGGGGAACTACCTGACTCAGAACCAGAACAAGTTAACAAACATGACTCTGGTTCTGTTCAGCCTGCAGATCTGCAAAGCTCTGGTCTATCTAGAAGGAGTCAACATGGTGCACAGGTCAGAAACCCCCTTTAATCTGCCTTTTTAGTGAGCAGGTGATTAAAAAGTGATTTATGTAATTCTTCTGAAGTGATCAGGCTTTGACCAACCTGTAAACCTTTCAGATTCCCTGTATCATATCTCTCTGGCAGGATTACAGACAGATAAGGCAAAAAAGGCCAAAAAAGCATCTGAGCGCAAGTAGGCTGGTGAAAACATTTTAATTTAAACTTGTAAATGTTTCCAGTAAGACACATCATTACAGAGAGTTAATGTGAGAGGAAAACAGTAAAACACGATCCGCTCTGTGTGTTTCTTCAGAATTTTATCGACATGTTTCAGGGAGCAAAGCGGACACTCAAGGGTTCAATCTGCCATGAAGGAAAAACACAGACAAAGGAAATGAGTTTCTGCCTGTGTGGGAAAAAAAAACTCAAATGCCCCCTTTGTTTTGTTTTATGATGCATTTCTGCAAGCACTGAAGCATCTCAGAAGCAGAGTCAGGGTCATTTAAAACACCATGTCTGCCACCTTAACCATTCTTTCTGTCTCGCTCTCGTTATCCCAACAGAGACATTGCGGTTCGGAACGTGTTAGTAGCCAGTCCAGACTGTGTGAAGCTTGGAGACTTTGGTCTGTCCAGATACATTGAGGATGAAGAATACTACAAAGGTGAGACCATAAAACGGATGCTTTACTGCCATGTTTATACTCCTCTGAAGACAAAGTAAGTCATTATTAAAAAGTACCAACTTCTCTCTTTTCTTTGCAGCATCTGTGACCCGGTTGCCCATCAAGTGGATGGCGCCAGAATCAATCAACTTCAGGCGTTTCACCTCAGCCAGCGATGTGTGGATGTTTGGTGAGTTTGTGGTAGACTAACCCAGCTCAAAACAAACACATTTATGGTATTTAGAGCACCAGACAGGAAGTGTACACTACAGAGGACAGGTAGCTGGTTAATCTACAACTCAAACCGTCACCACTTGTTTTTATGATGTGGAGAAAATATAAAGTGTGTGTGGAGATTTTCAGTTCAGTTGAAGCACCCAGAATTTCCCAGAGATTCACAAGTAGAGTTGGATTATCTTCTGCCATCACCTGGGCACAGATACTGTATGTTAGAATGACCATGCCAGGCCTTTGGGGAAATAAAGTAAGAGCTTGCAGATTTTTAGAGTATGGAAGCGTATTGTATTCACTTACAACAAAAAAAATAAACAGTTTTTTTTCTTTGCTGTTTTTTGAACTATTTTTTTTTGTCTTTCTGTTTTTTCAGACTATTTTTTTCTCCCATTTTTTGTACACATATTTTTTTTCCCCTCTTTCCAGTTTAAGGACAATTTTTATTCTGTTTTTTTTGTACTGAGGTGCCTGTGCAAAGTAGACAAACTTATGATGACTCCATCTATCTGACTTAAAGAAAGGAGTAGCTTCCAGTGTCTCAAACACAAAAGAAAGTAAAACTTGATTAAACTGAACAAGTGGGCCATGTTTGCTTCCAATAAATGGAGTAGAGGGGGATGAAAGCGTCTGTTTTAAATGAGAATAGGAAAAATAATTTGTCTGAAAAAAAAAAAAACAAACAACAAAAAAATTAGTCTGTAAAACAAGGGGGAAAATAAAAAAAAAAAAAAAAACAGAAAAAAATAGTCTGAAAAAAGAAAAAAAAAAGTCAGGAAAAGAAAAAAAAAATTCCACTGAAAAGCAGAAAAATTTAGTCCGAAGAACGGAACATAAAAAATTACTCCAATAAAACTTTTTTTTTTTTTTGTTTGGTGTATGCAATACACTTCCATATTAGAGATCCACAGTGCCCTAAAAGAGATGTCAGGTGCACACCTTGTCCACAGGGGGTGACAAAGTCCACACAGAAATTGATGTCATGCAGAGACGGTTTGGTCAAAGGAACTCCAAACTTAGTGAGAATTTTTGAACAATCTCAGATAGTCTTATCCAGATAAAACTAGAGCAAAGTTTCCCGAAATGAAATTAATGTCTCAAATCAAGAAACATATTAAGAAAAAATTTTTACACTCATTATAGGCTTATTATGTCTTGAGATGAGATAGTAATTTGGGTTTGTCAGGCAATTATGGCTTATTGTCAGCCTAATGAGACATTTATTTTGTCGGAAAAAAACTCAAACACACTTAAGTTCTGCTAATTTGTCTGCCTTTATTAGATTTGTTCCTTCTTTTGTACGCATCTGCAGACAAACCATAATCATGGGGAATAAATAACATAAAGCATGCATTAAGTTGTCTTTATTTTTCCATGTTTGCATTACTCAATAGCTGTATGTATGTGGGAGATCATGAGTCGTGGGCAGCAGCCGTTTTTCTGGCTGGAGAACAGAGATGTCATTAACCAGCTGGAGCAGGGAATCAGGCTGCCTAAACCGGACAACTGCCCTCCTGCCCTTTACTCACTTATGACCCGCTGCTGGTCCTATGATCCCCGAGAGAGACCCAACTTCACTGAACTGGTGGTCAAGATCAGGTAACGGTTTATTGAATACTAATAGTACAAACTCTACTCTTACAAAATGAGACCTCACAGAGCTGGTTTCGCATTTACATTCTCATCTTTACTGAATTATTTCCTGAAATAACAAACCTGTTGCGTGTGTTTTAAACCTTTTTAATATCCTTATAATTCATGTCTTAAATTTGTCAGTGAGGTCCACAAAATGGAGAAGGAGCAGGAAGTGGAGAGAGAGCGCGACAGGGCGCGCTCCACTAAATATTTTGACCCCAAGTTTAATTTTAATGAGCCTCCTCCAAAGGTATGAACCCTTCATAACTTAAGCATCACAAACTTTCTTAAATGCAGTTTTCTGTGCATGCTAAATATATCTTTTCATTACCTGTAGCCCTCAAGAAAACCTGGGAGGTTTGGGAACACGCTAAGCATTGGTCTACATATTCAGGTACAGCAGATTAAGAAGTTACTTCTTATGATGCTAATTTTCTCAAAAATTATGTAATGAAAAAGTTTACTAAAAAAATGTGTTTGTTTGTGTCTATGCAGCTGAACGAGGCTTTGTGTGCCAGCTCTCCTGACCTGGCCAGCCCATGTGAATATCAGTCACCCGTGGACTCCATGAACACACTTCCCCTGCCAATCAGGTCCCCTCGGCGCCGAAGCATGGGGGTATAAACATTGTCTCTCATTTTCACTCACATTTGAAGAATAGTCATCAACCTAGTGCACTTAGTGATGATTACCGTGAAGTCATCTTACTTCCATCAAATTTCCTGGTTGTAGGAGGGTGAGTTTCTCCGAGTGGAAGCGAACAGCCGAGAGGATGCCCAGCGCCTCTGGCAGCGGGAGAGACAGCACATGCACGACACTTTGCGCCGGCAGAAAGAGCAGATGTTGGAAGATGAAAAGTGGCTGGAGAAGGAGGAGAGACTCCTGGTGGGAAACAGAGCATCATTAACTTTTGTCAACCCCCTCTCTGTGTCTCTGTGTCGCCCAGATCCCAAATTCAATGTGGCTCTGGAGGCTACGCTGAACGAGGTGTCGTTTAACAATTTAAAGCCTCTGGTTCACTCCCGACGCCCAGCTAGTCTAAATCTGAATGTTCCCCTGATATCAGTTCCAAAGAGAGGATCCATGTCCATAATCTATAAAATGAACCTGCCTGTTCTTTTGCAGGACCCCATGGGACCAGAGGACCCTGCCAACCCAGCGGTAGGTGTCAACCTGTACAAACTGTGATTTAATGGTTGGATGACAGTTTGTTTTGTGCAGTTTTCTGTCCTTTGTCCCATTGGACAAGTTTCCCATAAAGTCAGTTTTATGCTCATTTAGAAAGTAGCAGCAAAGGTAATAAAACACATGTATTTGGCTAACCTACAGTTCCTCTTTAATAGGCAGATAGCATTTCAGCAACTCAAAGGGGCCATTGTGAGGTAGATTAAAGACTAAATTCAAGGAAAGGAGATAGTATTTGGAAAAATTTCCAAGAGTAAAGTGTTTAATTATTGAGAAAGGAACTAAAACGTCCCTAGACAAAGTATATATTTATGTATATTTAAAAAAATCACAATAAAAGATACATTTGATTGTTAAAAGTAAACAGGATTTTTGTCAATAAACACTACTTCGGGATTTAGAGGACATCATAGGCAAAGACTGTTTTGTCCACAGGGGGCACCAAAATTGACACAAACTGGCAAATCCTTACATGCACCATAATTTGGATAAAAAAGTGGATAAAACTGAATTCATGTAATTCTTGATGAGTGTAAAAGAACAGACATCTTAGCACAGTAACAAAAACTTTCAATTCAAATCAAAGGACATTCTGGGAAATAATGAGTTACCATCAACTTAAATGAAGAGGCACATTTTACAGGGGAGACATTTAACACACAGCACTGTTAAAATTGATTAAATATATTTAACAATGTCTCTGCAATATAGGGGCACTATTCCTTTAAGTTGTATTCTAGTTTAGTCAGGAAGTCACACTCCAGCTGTGTAATTAGAGAACCGTAGTGTGTTAGTGACTGTGAGTGATTGAGTACCAACAGGATGTTTGTTCTCTAACTCATGAGGTTTGTCTTTTATTCTTTTCAGTTTCCTGAAGCTGACACAGATAATGGTAAGTGCCAAAAAGAGTAATAGATTCTTTACAACTTAAGTCATTATTATTCTCACTTGAGCTGAACCCTCCCGTCTTTCTTCCAACCCCGCAGCACCTCCAGAGAAACCTCCACGGCTCACAGCACAGGTAATTATGTCAGTCTATCTTGCATTGCCTATATCTTTCGGCCATTTAATTTTATTAGCTTTAAAAGTGAACTCAGTCGCTGAAAAAAGTGCAATAACCCCTTAACTAAGTTGAAAGAGCATCGCATAAGTGCTAACATGCATTTAATAAACTGTTTAGTTAATATTCTTTTAAGTTATCCCAGTTGAAAACCCATTTTATATTCTCATCTAGCCTGCGCCTACAGCTGAGCTGGACCGCTCAGATGACAAAGTTTACCACTCCGTCATGAACCTCGTCAAAGTCGTAGTCCAGCTCAAGAATGACTTCGCCGAGATGCAGCCAGATCAGTACATCACCCTCGTCCAGGTACACCGAGATGAATCAGTCTTTCCCCTCACTGTGACACTTCATCACTGCTTTAGAGGCAAATTTAAAGTGTATGAATTAAAGAGAAAAGACAAAAGACTTGAGTTGTACATCTGATAAATTCTCCACATTGATCTCTGCCCACAGTCTGTCGGGATGGCTTTACGAGACCTGATTCGCAACGTGGATGATATACTGCCTACCTTACACGAGTCTATCAGGACTGAGGTACTGTTTATTGTCTTCACCTTTTTTGCTGTGTTTTCTCATCTTCTTACTCTCTTTCTTTATCGATTTTAATGTTCTTACACGCTGCTCTGCTGCTTGTTCCGTGAATAAAATGAGACTTAAGTTCATCTCAAACACAAAGAAGTACAAAAAAATAATATGTCTTGCTTACTATTCAGGCTGAAAACACCATGAATCCATAACTCGCATATAAGATGAGTTTCTTTGAGTCTTACTGATCAATTGATCAAAGACAGTAGAAAGATGGGTTTTATTTTGATATATACTTTTAACATAAAAAGGAGCAGACTGTCACCATAGTTACCTGAGGTGGGAAAAATGATTGATTTTAAGATGCATCACGATTCGGCCATGCACGGTTCTGCATCGATGCAGCGACGTGACAATCGTTCTTTTTCTCACTTTATTAATTTATTTTTCTGGACAATGAAGTTGTGAGGTTTCAACTGCTTCTGGGGGCAGAGTTGCAAACGCCATGCTCACTGGGGATACGGCGCGAACCACACAAGTTATCAAAGATGCATCTATTACTTTTAAATCAGACATCTGAGCTCATTTCGGCTTTTATGAACTTGATGGGAGGCTTGAGAAGATGCACGCTGTGTATAAAGTCTGCGACACAAAAATAAAATACTTTGGGTATACAACTAATATTACGAAACATTTCGAACGTTTCCACCCTGTGAGGAATTCGGCAGCAACAGCCACGAAAACAGCGACTACTAGTTACCATGTTGTCCATCCAACAATTGTCTTTCACTAGTTAGAGCACAATTAAATGTCACATAATTTGGAAAATAAAAAGGAGCTGTTTGGCTGTTTTCTGGGGGACAAAAAGTTGATAAAATCAGTCAGAGGTTTTACTCAACACAAAGCGGTCTTCCTGCACTCTGAAGGGGGTTCTCCACCTCAACAACCCTCTAACATTACATCACCCCCACTTCTTACTTCAGTAACTAAATCACAGACCTTCAATAAAACCTCCAGTGTGATATTGTGTCTCAGTTAACTATGAAATTAAGGCAGAATGCACCTCATTCATACCCTGAAACTAAATAGTTTCTATAGTTTTACCTACTGTAGCTGTCAGGTTCTGGAGTTAAGCAAAAAAGATAGTACAAAAAAAAAAAAAAAATATATATATATATATATATATATATATATATATATATATATATATATATATATATATATAGATAGATAGATAGATAGATAGATAGATATATAAAGAACAAAATGAAAAGATCGACAAAAACAGAAAAATCCAAAAGACAAAATCCACAAAGAAATCACAGGGAGCAACTGGGGACACAGGCATAAACACACACACTGATAAACATATAATGAACCAACAAGGACAGAGGGGAAGACGGGGACTATATGCACACTGGGAAACAAGCAACAGGTGAGGCAGACAAGACACAGGTGAGGCAAACGAGAAACATGGGTGATTAATAAAAGAGGGAAAACTAGGGAAATAAAACCAGAATAGAAACACAAGGAATCAGCTCCTACAAAATAAAACAGGAAACACTGAAAACTGATCTAAAGAATTACACTGACAACATGAGGGAAACGGGGTCAAACACAAACTGAAAACTCACAAGACAGGATCACAGGAACAACAGGGAACAGAAACTCTAGGGAAATTACACAAAATGAACTCAAAGAAAACCAGGAGAAAACTAAATAAACAGAACATATCATGACAGTAAGTTGTCATGATTGCAAACAGTGCCCATCCAAGAAAGTCACCATGCTGTTTTTTGTACTTTCCACAGATCGAGGGCACCCAGAAACTCTTGAACAACGACATGGCAGAGCTGATCAGCAAAATGCGTCTGGCCCAGCAGAACGCCATCACCTCCCTGAAAGAGGAGTGTAAGAAACAGATGCTGGCGGCGGCTCACACTCTGGCGATGGACAGCAAGAACATGCTGGATGCCGTGGACCAGGCCAGAGTCAGAGCCAACCTAGCCAAGCCAGCGACGCTTTAGTGAACTGTATACATATTCCAAGTTACACATCAAGCTTAAATCAAACAATATCCTCATTTGTATGTCAAAATTGACATGGACATTGTCACAGTCAGGCTGTGGCAGTCGTTATATCTGTAAATGTGTGGTGTTTACTTCTAATTTGATGCTACAGCTCAGTGGAGAAAGTTAATGTGTATTTTTACTAAGCTAGTGTATGTACTGAATTAATGATCGCCTATCAACACATGTTAAGGTTGGGCTGACACTTGTCTGTTATGTACAAACATCACTTTACTTAAATGTTTGGTTTAAAATATCGAGAGAGAATAAAAATGCTATGGATGGTTGGTAATCACATATTTGAGGCGCTCCATTCAACTTGAAAGAGTGAAATTATCTCTCAGTCTGACCATTTTTGCATGTAAGTTATGTTTTATTAAAATAAAATTCACGATGTTAGATATTGTGTATCAGTGTAAGTTTATGGACAAATTGTCTTAAAAAAATGAATTTTTGGAGCTAATGAGTTGAACCAAATCTGTTGTTCATTATTAATGATTAACTTTGACTCCCTGTACAAAAAAAAAAAAAAAAATGATATTAATCAGAAACACCAGAATGAAAAATTTCATGAAGATAAGCAGGTGAATGATAAATGGGTATCATTTATATTCTGGACTTCTTGGTTGTTCATTTTTAGTACTGTCTTGCATGTTTCAGCCCCCTAAATCAATGCCAAGGAGACATTTCTTCATAAAGGAATTTATTTTGTAGTTTGACCATCAGAAATAAATACAATCATGGCAGCAAAGTCAGAAAATAAAGAAGACAAGTGAAATTCTTTCCAAATCAGCACAAGTTTGAGTGTTCATTGTGGTTACTACAGGTTGCTAGCACAGCATGCCACTGTCCAACCTAAAAAGGGTGTTAAAAAGGTCTTCTAATTCAGTTTGACTAAATACTGTTTTTCAATCTGTCAGACTGTGAATTCAGCTTTTACAGACTGTGACTTTTCTATATGTGCCAGTGCTTTAAAGCTGCCAGTCACTCAATGTTCATTTGGTCGAAAAAAAAGTCTTTCTTAGAGTTTCAATTTTACTTATGCTCATGACAACTCCAGATGGATGACCCAAAGTGGAAATTTCAAGCACTGTAGGTTTGTATAAATGTAAAAGTTATCAATGAAGCTGCAGACCTGGGACAGAGCAGCTCATGTACAAAAGCCAAACATAAGATGAAGTAGAAAGATCACATTAGGGACAATTGAGTCCTCAGTCCCACAGTACTGTGATGTTGGGGTGTAAGAAGTTTAGTAAGAAATGCTCCACGTTCCTCATTTTGACTCAGCTGTGTGCTCACCATAAACCAAAACTGCGACTTTAAAACAACTTCATTCTCATTATATTATGGGCTCTATTTTTGTGCCTCACTGGCAGCGTGGTACGACATAGGTGGCGGGCAAGCATCCCCCCTCCCTAACTCAGCTCCTCCCAGTGGCGTAAGTTGTCGAGAGGGAGGGGATAAGGCATGGAGTGGGTTTAACACAGCCGAGACCTGTTTTCACAGATCACATCACCTCCTCTCCTCACCTTACAATCCGCCACCGTCGAGGCATATTACAATTTTTGTTAAGCAGTGGAAGAGATCAAGAGTTGGCTGCAGACAGGAATGCCACACGATGGCGACAGGAGGCAGCCCCTCAACAAGTGTTGCGGTAAGCGCTGCAGAGAGCGTCCTCCACACCGTTTCATATAAGTAGTAAACCCAAAGCTGCCGTAAGCACATGTTTTAATAAAATGAAATGATTTCTTGAATGATTTGTGGTGCAGTTTTTGTCATATGTAACCTGCAGTCATTTTAGTTGCTAACAGTATGTTGGTGTCATATTGTCACATTGAGACTACAACTACACTTATATTTGATTAAAAAAAAACAAAAGAAAAACACATAACTTACCCAATTACAGTGTGTTTAATACAACAAAATGTAATTTTATACTACTTGAACACTATTTTTGGTATATTTAAAGTAAAATCTATATTTTCTCAGTACAAAACTAACATTTTTTTAGTTGCTACCTAAACATTCAGAGGTTGTTTCGTTTTGAATCCAATCAAACCCACTGATCAGTCCCATATTTCACAGCAGCCACTGCTGAACTAATCTCAATTGAGAATTTCTTTCAAAACTAAGTCCATTAAAGTACTTTTATTTGACAGGACCAACCAAAGACCAGAGACCAGGTACCAGATACCAGCACAGGACTTATCTTTTGGAGGCAAAGTGAGAATTTTGGATTTTTTTTTATAGTGTAAAGAAAAGTATTAATGATGTAAACCATTGAGCAAATAAAAGAAAACTGTTAAGATTTGTCAAACTGTTTAACTATATTGAATATTCTTATTGAATTATGAAAATAATTTCAATAAAATCCCCTTGAAATGTTGGATAATCAATCAAGCATAATCATGAAGATGTACTTAAAATAAGCTAACATGATAGGCGGTGGGAGGGCCAGAGGTTTTAAACTGTCACAGGAAAATGTACTTTTTTATCATAGTTCAGTAAATGCAAACCTCTATTATTCCCATCATATGTAGTTTTTTTCTGGTACTTATACTTTCCTTGATTTAATTTTACTGATGGAGACAGGAAATTGAAGAGAGAGGAGGAGAGGAGAGGAGGTGGGAGGGCCAAAGGTTTTTAACTCTCACAGGAAAAAGGTTCATGTCAATACATGTTTACTAATCTTATTTCCACTGAATCACATACACGGTGGTTCATCTTTGTATGTTTTATTTACCTGAACTTTCCGTCTTTCAAATTTTTACTGCAGAGAGAGAAAATGAGGACCAAGTGAAGGAGAGAGGAGAGGCAAGGATGGGAAAGGAGAGGAGAGGAGGTAGGAGGGCCAAAGGTTTAAACTTTTAGTTTGAAGGGTATTTAGTAATTAACTTATGAAGAGAGAAAAGGGGACAAATTAAATATCTTGTTCACTCCATCATGTGTGACTATTAACTGGATATTTAATTAAATGCGGTTTAGGTTGTGTTAATTCGGTCAGGTTAAGTATCCATTATGTGTGCCAAACGTTTTCATCATATAAGATATAGATCAGAATATCCATATAGATCTAAATGTACCTGCTGACTCAGCTAGTTGCACTGAATGTTGTTTGTTGTTGATTTTTATTGCACTGAAATGTGCCTAACACTGTGGAAACCTGCCACTTAGGCATCAGTGACGTATGCGCACTATGCTGCTGGTCTACTAAAATACCACGAGACTAGCTGCACTCTGCCTGCACTGAAAGCTGACCAGGTTTGAATCGGCAAGCTTTCAGCGCACTTTCCATGCCGCCGGCGGGCATAAAAACTGCGCCAAATGATTCTGTCAACACCTCCCCCTGCCGCACCATCACACCCAGCTTGGTGGACCTTGGCGCGCCTTAGTCTACAAAAATACCAAACTGGCTGTGCGCCGGGCTCTGCCAGACGAAAATACCACTGCGTGGGGTGCGCCACTCTCCGCCGTGCTGCTGGTGGGCACGAAAACAGATAAAATAGGGCCCGATGACTTTATTCTCATCATAGTTTGGCTTCAACATTTCTTTGTTTTTGTGATACAACAGTGTTGTTCTAAAGTAGGCCTAATTACAACTTGATTTTCTCATGACTTTATTCATAACAAAATGAAACAGCTTAGAGACTTAGAAATAACTTTAAAATCTTAAAAAAAAAACTCGTGAATGTCTCACAAAGAAATCAACTGAATATTTCCCTGTAATCACAAAATAAACTATAAATTAGTGTGACAGGAAATTGTCTGATAATTCATTAAGAGCAAGTTAAATACTTCCGTCACTTACAAATTCACTTCTGCAGATAAAAAGTAACTGCCATTGTTTCTGAGTATTTTATTATTTTATCTTCATCATGTGTTGCATTTGAGAATATGAACAGACGTCACCTCCGGCATCCAGGTGACTTTTGGCACATTGGGAGCTTGCTCGCTCCGGAGTGCGTGGAGTTACTTAAAACAAACAAACATAAGCCACATACTTGGACATGAACCAAAAAGATACACGACTGAAACCATCCCACCACTGACGCTTTGCAATTTCTTCACTGCACTTTTTAAACCTTACTCCTTTAAATATATATTTTTTAAAAATGACTCACAGCAATTAAACCTTGAACAACACTGAGGCTGCTCACGCTTTTTGACCACCATGTTACACTTATTAACATGCCTGAGAGACAATACCTCACAGTTACAAACTAGCATCAGTGTGCAAATGTTAGCCTATCAACATTTGATTGCTACCATGCCAGACCTTACAAAGTAACATAAGCATGCTAACAAACAATGGCTGGTTCAATTCTGTCAACAACTGCAAACTCAAGTTCAAGGTCCAACACAAACAGGTCAGTGTAAAGTTACCTTACAGACAGAAGAGACTGAGGAAGCATATCTGAGGCTGACAGTGCAGCTGCTGTGTGCAAAAATGTCACCCGATTCTGCTTGACTTTAATAATAATATTTAATAATAGTGGCCACTCTATAAGGAATAAACCTTCAAATCTTTGTCTAAAGCATTTGAAAAAAAAAAAAAAAAAACAACATTTTGGTCTGTGTGAGGGGTTTGAAATGAGGTGCTGTGTGTAATCAAGATTATGAGTCATATTCTCATTCAGGAAGTTCAGCTACATTTGAATGTCAAAAGTCACTTACTAGAAGTGATTTTGTTTTTTAGACTTTATTCTCACACCAGTTAGATCATGCCAGCTAGCCAAGGGGGGAGAAAGAGACCAATGGTCCCAAGCAGGCACACAATAATAAACATCCACAGGAAGATGCGGTCGATCACCATGGCGACATACTTCCAGTCTTCTTTGACCTGTGTCGAGATAAAACCAAAGGAGAGAGGATTAAGTGTTAAGGGTGTAAATATTTTCATATGGTGTCAATAATAATAAAATGATGCAAGTCTTACTTTTTTATTTATTTACACATCCAACAGCTGTAAAGCCTTATTCATATCCCTTTGCAATATTGCTTAAGCCGTATGGCAAATGCTACTCCAAGATTGCTTCTTCTTTTACTCGGTTTAGGTCTCAACCAACTCCTTAGGGAAATATCTGCATGTTAAACCTGTTACTAGCTGTGTATGAATGCCTCTGAGTGCAGGGCAAGTGTTTAAATGTGATCTCAAAACTCTTTAAATTAAATCAGTCCCCCGCTGTGATTGACTGTAATGATGAGTGAACTTTACAGCTGAGAAATGAAGACAATGATATACAGTTAAAAAAAAATGAGGTTGCTGTAATTTTGAACAATATTTCTCCAGAGGCTCATGACCATGGACTGTATATACCATGGACAACTTGGTTCTAGTATTCCTCCAGTTTACGGATTTAAAGCGAAAAAGCTCTCGGTATTTTCAGGTGGGAGAGTCGCTGTGATGACAGTCAGCTCAAACAGCGTATCCCCTGGGTGAGCTACACAATCTTCGAATGTCCATAGGCTGTATCAAGTGTCAGTCATAGAAAACATGAACCCCCTAATAACGTTTAAAATTGAGTTGTACAGAGGCCTTGAGCACAAACCAGTCTTACAGTAACTACATGTCAACATCACAAGCAGGGGGGAGAAAAGTTTATATTCTGTGTAATTAGTTTCTAAAGTTTGTCCACAGCCTCATAGGAATTGCCGAAAGAGATTTATGACCTATACTGCAGCCCATCACCAGAGGGTGCTGTTCTTGTGGTGGCTTTACCTAGCAAGAGGACAGACGGTGTCCATTCTATATACAGTCTATGCTCATGACAGATCTTGTTAAAGAGTGAGGGCAAAGCAACAACAAAAATTAAAATCACAAAACCAAAAATAATCATTCACAAATCTTAGTTAAGGTCTAATGTCCAATAAATCTTGATATTGATTTAAGGTCCTGTTTCCCAGCACAATAACAGCGAATTATCAATCACAAAACATCATATTGAATGGGTCAATTTGAACCATTTTACAACCTCTTGATAAAAACTGTAGCATGTTTGACTTTTTTCTCCACCTCCAACATTTTGTTCTCTCACATCTGTGATATCAGCCAATGAGAGCAGGGTGTCATTTTGCCACAGTACCTGTTCCTTCAACAGCCTTGATGACTGCTCACGGACCATCACTTAGTCTGTCATGTCTGACTTGGGGTAGAGTCACGGTACAATTTTATGGTTTTGACCGCCATGACAGAAGTGTAACCATGGTGTAAGACCATTGGCTGTAAATCCACCCCTGTGCTTCTTTAAATTACAAGCTGGTATGATTTAAAGACGCACAGGAGCTGGTGAGGCACTGACACTGGAGGATCAAACAGGACTCTAAATACACTGGACAGGAGTGAATGCATTAAGTAATGAACCGCTGCAGGACTACGGGAACGTGAGAAAACTGTCTCTTTTCAGTATCGCTCTCGTGATGTTTTATTGATACTCACACTGAAGTCTGCGTCCTCGGCTCTCAGATGGTCCGCTATGTAGTGCACCCCTTCCAGAGCTCGAATCACACTTGGTGAAAGCAGGAAAGTTGAGTCTGACACAGTGTTATCTGCTTTGGCTGGCCTTTGAGAGGGGTTGACTCTGCTCCCTGTTACCTGTCTGTTCGCCCCCTCCTGTCGGCTCAGGCTGTTCTGAGGGTTTTTCTGCGGTGGTGGAGGTGTTGACCCCGGAGGCCTGGGTGAAGGAGGCCGAAAGGAGAAATATGACGTCAACGTCCCTAGCTCTAAATCCTCGTAACTGCTTCTCTCAGCGCCCTCTGTAATCGTCCCGTCCCTTAACCAGTTGGCAGACGTGCTGAGGCAGTTACCTGATTTGTACCTGTCTATCCTGCCCTGCTGCCGCCGCTCAGCTGCCGCTTCCTGCTGGAGTAACAACAACCTACGGCGGCGGCCATCTGGAGCAGGCCGCCGCATGAACAGCCATCGTGGGATCAGGTCCAGGAAGACTGAGTGGACCCAACGGGGCATCTTGTGAGTGCTTGGAGAGCGATGGTGAACGTTCAGGACAAAAACAGTGATGACGATGGAGAGGGTGACGAAGATCATAGTGAAGAGAAGGTACTCGCCAATGAGCGGGATGACCAGAGAGGTGGATGGTATGATCTCTGTGATGAGGAGGAGGAAAACAGTGAGGGACAGCAGTACCGAGATACAAAGGGTGATCTTTTCTCCACAGTCTGAGGGGAGGTAGAAAACCAGAACAGTGAGGCAGGAGATCAGCAAACAGGGGATGATGAGGTTGATCGTGTAGAACAAGGGAAGTCTTCGGATGATGAAGAAGTAGGTGATGTCCGGGTAGATCTCATGGCAGCAGTCGTACTTCTTCGTGTTGTACGTCCCCACAGCATTGATGATGGCCCATTCGCCACTCTCCCAGTAGTTGTTCAGGTCCACAGTGTTTTCGATCTTCTCCAAGTCAATTTTTGCCTTGTCATACGTCCAGGAGCCAAATTTCATTTTACAGTTCTGCTGATCGAAGGGGAAGAAGGTGACGTCAATGCTGCAGGAGCTCTTGTAAATGGCAGGAGGAACCCAGCGAACCTTACCGGTGTGGAACAGATGAGCTTTGGTCATGTGGGTCACGGCAAACTCACCATCAGCACTGAAAAAGCAGACGAGGATGTATGAGTGACACCGACGCCACAGATAAATGATCATATCAGCATCGTGAGAAGTTCTTACACCCCTGTTGCTAAGTAAAAAATCTTATTATCCCTTTGAAACTATGCAGCATAGGAGTAAGATTCCCCAATAATAATCTCTTCCAGTCATCTCCCCTCCTTTCATCCTTTTAATGGTGATAACAGCTTCAGCTGGAAACCTAATCATGAGCTCTTATCATTTCATCAGTTACACACCTTGTTTAATTTCATTTACAGATTGTGATAAAACTGGCTTCATGGAGCAGAACTCTATCAATCCCCCCAACCCCTCCGCCCGCTCTGGATTAATCCTCCATGAGGCAAATACAGAAAAAGGAAAAGGTCGTATAAAATCTTTGACACTGTATTTAAAAAGTGTTTCCTACATGAACAGACCCCCAGCACATAAAGATAGGTATATAGGTTGTATTATTTTTTTTTAATAAGATGCCTGTGACATCATCCAGTGTTATTTGTGGATATATAAATACAGCAGAAGGTTTATAATGTCCACTAGATGGTGCCAACTTCTCACCATAAGCCATGTAGTAAAAGAGATCTGTCACTGTGGAGAAAAGCTGATTACTGGGGTATATGTTTACGTCAAAGAGTTTTACATCTGTCCTAAGACTACTTGATTAAAATGACTATTTTAATCACAGTCCATTAGATGAGGTCCTTTGTCCTGTTTGCTGTAAGTCTAATGTTGCACTTACTTGTTGTAAAGGACAATGTCTGGGACCCATATGAGCTCTGACGGCACTCTTATGGACGTCACGTTGTCGTAGTCAGACGGTCTCCAGCTCAGTTTGTAGTCATTCCACTCCTGTGAAACAGCAAAGCAAATATAATCATGTAAGCTGTATTCCCTCACCTAATTGCAATATAAATAATTCAGTCCATGAGCATTGTAGAGATAGATTTTTATAGTCTTAACACCCGGTATTACAAACACATGAATAATAAATCCACACCAAAGAGAATTTTCTGACCTGTTTAAGCCAAACGTTGGTTGTCATCATCTGGTTCTTCTCATCCTGGTGAACAGACAGACAGACAGAGAGACCGAGTGAAAGCTGTCAGCCCTGTGTTCAGGGCCAGAAGAATAAATATGAGAGGTTTTAGGAGTTTTTCTCAGAGCAGACCCAAAAATACCCTGCAGCAACTTTACTTCAGTACTTTGATGGATGTAAAGTGTTCTGCGACTGTGACAGGGAAGAGGGTGCAATATTGAATTCTCTTTATTTTTTTTTTCTTACTGTACATAAAAATGCCAAACATGCTGTTAAAGGATATCATATAGAGTAAAATTGTCAGGGTGGAAAGGGTGACAGTTGTCTTACCTTATATTTTGGTCTAATTCGAGTGAGGTTAATATGATTCACCTTTGACCTTGAAAAGGTGTTATTAACTTTGAAAACCAAACTTTTTTCCCCCCAACATTTGTCATTTTTCAATCTCCCCCAACACTCGATCATGACAATCAGCCAGTAATATGTCCTTTTCCTTTAGCAGGGCTGTAAAAGATGTTCGTACTGTAATCAATCTGAAAAAGCTGTCAGAGGAGTGAGATCATTTTACCAGGCTCTTGCTAAACATCTGGACAATCTGAACAAACCTACAGGAAATATAAGCTGTAATCTTTACTTTATGATCCACCTTTCTTTTGTTACATTCATTCATCATCTTTATTCTGCTGTTGCCTATACCAAACAATAGATCCTGTCAGAACTTCTTTACTGCTCTGTAAACAACAGTTGCAGCCGTAATACATTTACAGTGCCTGTGAAATGCACCTAGTGTTTATGGCTACTGTTTTAGAGAGACAAAGAAGATTTTATTTCAGATAAAAACATTTGTAATCATGGGGCTCATACAGGAAGAGATCAGGTACGTGCGTAGTGTGTTTGGTGGCCACTGTGGACAAAAGCAGTAGTGTTTTGCCGGAAATATGGCTGCATTTCCCATGAGCCCTTGTGTGTACTATCGTGAAGACACATACAAGGTCTTTGGTCTGGCAAGTAGTTGTTTAGGAGGCGAATAAAATGACACATAACTTACCGGTACCTACATTTTTCTGTTGTTGTTTTTTTTTTTTGTCTATCTGCAGGATGTGTAGTGATGAGGTAATGTGGGTATATTTGCTGGTGAAAGGAAGAAATGTTGTATTATTGTGGCTTGTATTTTTAGTCTACAGTTATGTCCCGTTTGTAACAGTACACCTACAACAAACAGATTAGATAACTCGGCTATAGATTAGTATATAAAGTTAAAGTTGTCAGCTTTCCTTGGTAATGTTTTATCTTCGTATCAATAAGCCAACAGTGTAAAAAAAGCGCTGCTTACGTTACCTGTCTAGGAGGAATTTGGCAAATTCAGGATCCGACTTGAATCCCGTCAAGCCCTGCAACTCTCCTTACCTCGCAAAGAAATTATTAATGTTTACCCTTGTTTTTGCCCTCGCTCGATCACATTCCCTTTTTGCTCTGTTTTTTTTTTGTTGTTGTTTTTGTTTTCCTTTTGTGGACCTCATCCATAGACTGTATATAAGATGGACAGAGTCTGCCTCCTCGCTGGGTGAAGCCACTCCGAAAACAGCACCCTCTGATGGTGGGCTGCAGTACAGGTCATAAATCCCGCCTCCACCAGCAAAGCTAATGGGACTGTGGACAAACTTTAGAAATTTATTACACAGAACATAAATTTTTCTCCCCCCTGGTTGTGATGTTGACATATAGTTACAGTAAGACTGGTTTGTGCCCAAGTCCTTTTTTTTCTGTACAGCTCCGTTTTTAAAAGTTATTAGGGGGTTCATGTTTTCTATGATTGACACCTGGTATAGCCTATGGGCGTTCAGGGATTGCGTAGCTCTTCCGGGGGAATACGCTGTTTGACCCGAGCGTCATCACAGGGACTCTCGGCGACTGCGCAGCCGAATGCGCACAACGCTACTGCACAGCTCTGGTTTCAAGGAACCCGGAATTACCGAGAGCTTTTTGGCTTCAAATCTGTATAGAGGCGGAAGGCGGAACCACGGTGTCCATCTTATATACAGTCTATGACCCCATCCCATCATCAGTAGCTATTTGTCTTTGCTCTGTTTTCCCTGGCTAGCTTAGCAACAACTCACTGCTCCCCTTGTGTCTCTGTCTAAGTGCCGTAACTTCTGGCCTGTGTGGGGTTAATCGTTTCTTTAGTGGGCAAACCAGACCAACAAATTTTGAAAGCAGGAGTTACACTATTGAAAAATATCTTGTCTTCCCTCCGATTGACTCATTTGCTGTTGTAGGTGACACAGATATATCAGGAGAAGCGAGACACTTTTTAAAATCTAGTTAAAAGTTCCGTACAGAAACTTAAGTCACTGAAATAACTCAAACATGCCATTAACAGTCTACTCACCACGTCTATGAGCTGTGCTATAGACAGTCCAAACTTGACAATGACCACATCCGAGATGTTTGGCACGGGCCTGGACCACTTGTTGTAACCAGCAAACAGCGTCTTGAAGAGGTCATCCTCGGCGTGCGAGTGGGTCTTCTCCTGACAAAGAACTTCAGAGAGAATATCAATTTTAATTAATCAAGTAACTTATCTCTGTTTTATGTTGAAAAAAAAAAAAAAACATCTATATAGAGGACACAGACTGTGTGGGTGATGGAAATTACACAATGAAAGTGGAATCCTTTTTTCAGTATCAGATTATGTGAAAGAGACTTCATTGTAGGACTGTTTTAACTTTGTTTAATTAGCTTGAAGCATTTTAACTTTTACAATAATATAACAATTAATGAAAAGAGAGTATCACAGAAAAGGACAGGTGTAAGTAGCTCTAAAGCTTGGATCACAACCCTGTTAAGTCACCCAAGTCTCTTCTAATCCTCACTCAACAAACTGTAGTAAATCGGGCTGGCATGATGATATGTAGCTTTTAAGAGTGAAGGTTAAGGTTGTGAACAGCTCATGTTTGAACAGAAGAGGCCCACCCCAAACATCTCAGGCTTTTCTTTTTCAAGTCTTATTGACTTTTCCAAGTTGTTGCAGATCTTTTGATCTCTTGATCTGGGCTCCCTGAGTGGGTCGACCTCTCACAGTGAGTAGGGTGAAGCAGGCGGAGGGAATATCTCTCTCTGGTAGCTACATATCCCACTATTTAGCTCTAAACATGTCACAACCATGTCAGTCAGTCAATTGTTGCACAATCAAACTCATTTTGACTATGCAGTCCAGACAGGTTTAGGTACAAGCTCCGGTCCAGACTGTTTGTTTTTCAGCAGAATAAAAAGCATGGAAACTGACAGGAATCCCGTCCCTGAGGGATTACCGCTCCCACCTTCATCAGGTAGTCAGAGTCAATTACACACATCATTACTTGCTTGTGTTAAGTGGAGGTGAGCTAATTTCTCACCAGTGAAGGGTGTTTGTTGTCAAGCTGTCTGTCACTCTGCTACAACTGATGCATTAAACAAATTAACCAACAGTTTTCACCAGAGGGAGCAGAGGGTGAACTCTGTTTATGTTTCCACCGCATGTTTATAACTCTTGTGTTTTTGAAAAGTCGTTTGAGTTAAGATATGTGACAATCATATATCACTCCTATTGGATTTTTACATACAGAAACACTGAAAACATAACTTTAAAAAAATATATATATATTATTAGGTCCCCCTCATTTCATTTACAAAAGAATTTGAGCCCAGTTTTATTCCAAGTGGAATGCCAAAAGCTGAAACAAAAAAGGTGCCTTCTGGTTGGCAAAGTACATACAGTGTGATACCATCATGGCATTACTCTATAACTTTCTGGTTATCTGTGGGCTTACTTAAAATAACATAAGCTAACATTAGCCAAAACAACTGTCATAGAGTATAGACCTTTGTTAGTCATCCAGTCATCATACAAAAGAATGAACTACACGCCTGGCAAGGAAAATGTATCAAAATCCTCCAAATACCTCTCAAGCATATTAATGAACATGTTTCTTATCTTTTACTGTACTTAGAAACAGTGAACATTAAATTGAAGATATAATTCCTATCAATTAAGATAGATTTAAACTAATACCCTTGTTGCACAATAATGATAATGTTTACTGAGAGCTTACAAAAGACACCAATTAACAGACATGCTGCCTGGACAACAATGAAAGTCAGAGGTAGATATTTACTGTGGATAAACGCTGGCCTAATTAGGTAAGGATAAGGGATAAGGCATGCGAAAAATTACAGTCCACACCGGATACAGCTGACTGAAAAACAAACTAAGAACAACTGTAAGACCAAAACAAGAAATGTTAAATCTATTTAATATTTTACAGTCAATAATTTTCATACGTAATCAATAGCTGCATTAATAGATCTTCAAAAATTCCACACAAATGCAAGAGTCAATAATTAGATTGTCTTTGACCTCCTCTATGATTGTTTATGCCTTTAGTCTGCATTTCTCCAAGAACAGTGGCTCTTTTTTCCCCCTCATCTCTATATCATCACTGTGAACAGTCCTGATGGTTACTCCTTTTCCTTCAGTAGAATTATCCCAACTGATACTCAGCAGATCATAGATGGACTCAACTAGAGCAGGGGTGCTGGCCCCGATGGTCTAGAAATTAAGTTTAAAAAAATCCCCTCTCATGTTATGTCATACCCTCTGTCATACTTATATATTCAAAGATACCTGTGAAGCACTGATAGGTTTGAAATGTTATGAATATGGATAGGATAGGATACAGATAGAAGTGCACCATATGGCTCCTTCATAAGTTCATTATTGTTTCAAATCTTCTTCAGTGATCCTCCACAAATCTGCACTAATTGCTGAATTCAACTCTTTTGCAGATGACACCATTATTTACATGTCCAGGGGTCCGTTTCACGTAGGTGGTTCAACAAACTCTGAGTTAAATCCTTAACTCTGAGTTGATCTACTCTGAGTTAGGAAACTCTGAGTTTCCGGTTTCACAATACCTGATTTGAGACGGTTTTAACAACTCCGAGTAGTTTGACCTGGAGTTAAGCACGTGCACGCCAGACATAAACAGCCAGCATCTGTGGAGCGCAGATTCATTGATCAACCAATGGAAACAGGGAGAAGGAGGGGGCAGCAGCAAGCCAACAGCGAATTACAGCACGTTTGTAAAAGAAAGTGCAATACAGCAGCAGCTGCAAAGGAGAGGGAGAGGGCTTGGGAGGAAATCGCTGCTCGCGTCAATGCGTAACTTTAAATCTAGTCTCGTGCAATCACAATGACAGACTGTTGCAGGGAAACTGCTTGAATCATTTTGATCATGTTTTACATTGTCAAGTAAGTATTAAGTGGCAGTTTGATCCCTTAGAAAATTCTCTTTTCACACTCAAAAATGAATTTTACTCTCTTATGATGTTCCGTTAAATGATTAGGAATATTAAACTAACTCTCAGTATGTATATGTACATATATTAAACTAACACACACTACACTCAATATTAGACTTTCACTCAGCAAACAGAAAGAGGGCAGATGCCAGAAAAACGGGTGGTGGCCCAGCAGCCCCACCTTTAACGGAGGCAGAGGAGCTGCCCCCCCCCCCCCGACGATCGAAACCCCCATCCCGTAGCAGCGATCGTCGGACTGGTGTGCGTGTGTGTGTGTGTGTGCTCCTCTGCCTCCGTTAAAGGTGGGGCTGCTGGACCACCACCCGTTTTTGTGTTAGTTTAATATTCTTAATCATTTAACGGAACATAATAAGAGAGTAAAATTCAGTTTTGAGTGTGAAAAGAGCATTTTTTAAGAGATCAAACTGCCACTTAATACTTACTTGACAATGTAAAACATGATCAAAATGAGAAAATGCCGATGTCTCACCTGAAACTCTGGGTTTACTGAGTTAAACCTGCTCCCGAGCAGGTTAGGTTCACGGAGTCTGTTACTGTGGTAACTGACCGCGAGGTTGAGTTACCTCTCTTTGTGAAACAGGTTAGAGTTACCCCTCTCTCCCTGGTTTAACTAACCCTCCTTTGTGAAACGGAAAACTCAGAGTTTCCCCGATTTCAGGGTTAACAAACTCGGAGTTTCCACTAAACCTGCTACGTGAAACGGACCCCAGGTCTAATATTCTACAAATCCAGAGAAGCTAATGGTCCAACTTTCAGTTCAAAAATGTTTTTTTCTTCTAAGAAGCCCATACTCAGAAAGAGGAAGTCATATAACAAGTTGGTTGGTGCAAGGTCCAATGTTTATCTATCAAGTAGGTGGTCGATAAGTTATCTTGATGGGACTTCCTGTGAGGAAGTATATTTGAGTGTTTGATTGGACTCTCAACTTTTTGTCAGAACCCCCATAAATGTTATACACAACAGCCATTAAGTAATACACTGCACCATTAAAGCTCCTGTAAGGAATTTGGGGTTTTGGCAAATTTTGCCAACTCTTGTTGACAAAACAGTCTTTGCTTATCTTGTTCTCTACGTGCTTAGGTAATGACTTCTGGGGGAAAAAATAAAAACAGATGAAAACATCTTGCTGACTTCTGACAGCCAGATGTTTATTGTAAATAATATATGTTGAAATGGTACAACAGCTGCCCTGTTGGACCCCCCAGTTCCAGGCATGAAAATTGCGAGATAAGTATCAACAGTCTTGTTGCTGAATGTCTTTTTTGCTTTTGTGAACTAAAAAGACTTAAACTATGAATTTCCGTCTACTCCATAGATGTCAGGGAAGTCCTCACAGGAGCTTTAAGCAAGACCTGCAGTCCAGAATGCTGACCTGAAGCCTTTGTAATTGTAATACTACCCCTAAAGTATCTTAAATACACCTTTGGCTTCTATTGTATTAGAGTATCTCTCTAACTATAGATATATGCGAACGTGCATTGGACAACTTTTAACCAATTCATGACAAGTAGTAATAGTTTAACATACAGTTGGAAGATGTTTGTCTTTGCTAATTTAATAACCTCCCCACAGAAATGAAGCAAATACATGCAAACTCAGAAGAGCAATCAATTCAACCAAATCTTAAAGCTCCTGTAAGGGGACTTTCCCTTGTGTAGATTTTGGCACCCCCTGTAGACGAAATTTGTGTGGTAGCTAATCTTTTTTTTTTCTTTTTTTTTCTTTTTTAGTATTGCAAGTACTAGCTTAGAAAATGTAAACAAAGGATGTTTGACTCCTACCCCCTGACAGCAGTTTTTAACAATCATAATAACTTTATAGAAATGGTCAGTCTTGTTGTCTTGATGGTGACGTTTGCTTTTTTAGGTCAATATGGGACATCAATATTCATTTTAGCCTGTTTAATAAGAAATGGAAAATCCCAACAGAAGTTTTAAGAATCAGAATTTGACTCAAATACTTGGGCACTGTAAGGCTTTCAAAACCCACTTCTTTGGGTCCTTGTTTGACTCTGTAGGGGTAAAATGCAACCCTAATGAAGCATGGCTTTGTCAAGGATCTTAAAATGAGACCTTGGACCACTTGCACCTGCTAGCTGTCATGGTCTCTTACCCAAGGCCACATCAATAACTGTCTATATGTGAATTGCAGTTCAGATGACCACAGTTACCGTTTATAACCATAAAACTGTGGAGGATAGCCAGACGGGGTGCTTTAATGTTTCATGGAGCTTACCTGAGGGACATAGTCCATGCAAATCTGTTTGAATGATTTATTGCAAATGCTAATTATTTGGCTTGGGGGTCTTTAAAAAAAGGGGGTTGACAGGTATGCAGATGGAAAGAGTCCATGTAACAGTTGTCTTTAAAAAGAGGGTCTGTGGATACCATTAAGCAAGGCGTAATTGTGTTAGCATTAGTGAAGAGGCAATAGATGTGGTTAATTGTATGACTTCAGAGCCAATTTACTGAGGAACACTTGAGCTCATCCCCTGCCATCATGCACTAATTTCATTCTGGCAAACAAGCAGGCACCAGAGACGTCTTATCTGTTCTCCTGACAGCCAGGGTGGTGCATGTTCATCTGGCCACGCACCTGGGAAGTACCAGATGTGGTGCTTGGAAAAAAACGGCTCTTGGGTGCCATAGATCAAAGCTTCCTGCCAGTGGAGACTTGAAATGAGATGACACCTCCAACAGCCAACACGCTGGGCCGTGGATGTTGGAGTGTGGCCAAGCCCCTTGGCGAGGTGTATGAAACACTGACCAGTTTGGATGATCGAGTCAGCAGCTTCTCGGGCCAGAGGCACTTTTGTGAAATTGGGCTGTCAAATAGTGATGAGTAAAATGTTCAATAAAAAATCAACATGCAACATTTTCGCACAAGTGGACTAAAATTTAAGTCAAGTCAAGTCAGAAACCTGGACTGGGTCAGTGTCATTATACAAACCATGTTGGCACCAAATCAAGCGCTGTCACATCTTATTGATGAAGCATGTAAAGACGGGTGCTGGAGGCATGGAGGAGTCTTTGATATCATGATGTAGGCTGTGTGGTGAAACACATACCGCACTCGCACTGTATGTAACAAGATACAGAAGGTTGTCAAGTTTGTGCATGAAATCCTTTTTTCATTGGTTCAAGGAAAAAAAAACGCTCTCATAAGAGTCCTTGATTCAACACCTGTTTCACGGCAGCCTGAGCTCTCCCCTCTGATATGTCCACTACAAGGTCTTACCCTCTTTAAAAAGTGCCCAATATGTATCAGGACAAATTAGTTTCTGTCTTCCTTTAGGTGAGGAGAAAAATGTAAAGCAACACTTGGAAGTTGAACCAAGAAGCAAACTGTAAAACAAATTTGAACAGAGATTCATATCAATAAATACAAAACACAATTCCTTGTACAGTAAATTAATGATTAATTATTTTAAAAAAATCAACTATCTGATATTCCACCATCCAATGATCCACTTGCATTGTCACAGTTGTTGTTAATTTCTTTATTCATGAGATTAAAGTTCTGAAACTCTGACAGCAGAAGCTATCTCGCTTCTCTGCTCAGGTTTTTTTTTTTTTTTTTAAGATTAACTTGTACAAAATTATCACTACAAAATTGAATATCCCCAGAGTGCCTTCACAGTTGAATAGTGTTCAAGCTATCGCTCTATCTATTTGCTGCCATTATTTTTGGCCATAAGCATTTAGTATTAGGCCCTTAATATATGCCATGTTGATCAATTTTTTAAAAAGCTACCCTGTTACACAGAATGGGACAGCTTGTAGAAAATTGTGCTTCATCATTAACTTTTTGGGGTAAAGTAAAGCTTAAGCCACCAGGCAATGTTCAAAAGCGCTTACCTGACCGACTCCAGAGCAGCAAACAGAGAGCAGCCGTCCCCACAATAAACAGGTGGTTTAGTCCCATTTTTCACTCTGGCTGTTTGAAGTCCACCTTCACCGGAGAGCATGGGGGTGTTTCCATCCACTGCCACAACGTTACATCGGGACCGTGATGTGTGAGCAAACTCTGTCATCTTCGCGGCTGGGAGGCATATCAGGACAACTTCAGCACCACTGTTAGTCCAGCTGCGTTTATATCTGTGGGCGGGGAGTAAGTATGACGATACTCAAGCTGATTAACTTTGCCGTCAGCATGGATAGATGTGCCCCACGAGCCCGTCCGCGCGCAAAGCCGGTGAGCTGTCCATCACCTAGTGCTGAATCAGGAAACAGCACTGTAACACTACCCTCTTAATGCGGAAAAAAGTTACCAGAAAGAGTCTGGTGCGTCACTTAATATTGATTACCAAAAAAAGTATCCAGTTTTTACGCACGGTGCCAAAAAATTTACGCGTCCTAGATGACCTTATCTACGACTTCTACATCCATATTGAATTTAAGATTAGTTCTTCCCAAGGCATCAGCAGCATTGTTGGATATAAATCTGATGTTAGATCCACGCAGCAAAACGGCTTCATCCACGGTGAGCAGTGAGAACACGTCTGAACACCTCGCGTCTTTCATATGGTACCTTTTACAGTCCCTCCTCTTCCTGCTCCCTCTCCTGCTCCCTCTCTTTCACGCTCACACATAAACACAATACACACACTCAGCAATCACACAAAAGTGAAAACCTGCACATACTTTAAGTTGTCAGAGAATTATTTCTATTGGATCAAGTCTGATCCATGATCTGACCTTGTGTTAATTTTGTAAATAGTTATAGGATGTAAATATGTGACACATGCATCAGAATAAACGCCCATGGGATACTTCTGTGGGAAACAGCTAGAGGGCAGACTAGGTGAATTAATTTGCTCTGAGAAGCTCGACTTTCACTTATGCATTGATATGAGGAGAAGATGAGAAGGCATGGCAACATTTGTAAAAACAGCAATCATTAGGAATATATCAAAAGATTTATTTATTGTTTTACTTTATAAAACGCTTTATATCATACATTGTATACAGTCATTATCCAGCATTTTGTAATTTACAAGGGCTGAAAAAGGTTTTCACACTTCATACTTGGATATCTATCTTGGATGTTTTTTTAAAGCTTAATAATAACACTTTTTGGGGTTGAGATTCTTGAGTAAAAGAAGTCTGTTTTTGGATCTTTTTTCAATGAACACTTTGTGGGATCTGAACTTTGGATTGACAAAGGAGGCAATTAGAAGGCTGAAAAGTTATCTTGAAGGTAGATTGTAAATTATCTGGTTTCATAAAGCAGAAGAGACTATGTTGCGATTGAATTTAATATTTGTATGCTTGAATTAGTGTTGTTTTCAAAGGTCACTGATAATTCACTGATAGGAGGGGTAAACAGGGCAGTGTTTCAGCCTAGAATCTAACCACTGGACATCACTTAACACTTCCACTCCTATGCACTAAACATTTTAGCAACTTTTAAAAATATGTTATAATATATTTATTTTTATTATCTGACTATTAAAGTCAATTTCAAACTTGTTATACAATCTTCAACTCGGAAAAAGCACTCCAGATTTTATCCAAGGGGAGTATCAGCATAGTATCAGCACAGTGTGAAAACTACTCACTCCTACTGCTGTCTCACTTTTCATGCATTGAATTTCCAATTTGGGATTTTATTACAAGGTTTCTCCAAAAGACTTCAAACATTTCTGTCCAAGTTTGTTTCTTTTTAGTAAAAACAGCAACTTCATTTATCCAAAGCGTATCCCGGCCCCCATCCTCACCCCGGAACCAGATGGTCTTCTGGAGGAGACTAACAGAGTCATTATGTACGCTCTCAGAAGGCCAATCAAGTTGATCCATAAACTCTCAACTTGGCTTAAAACCTGCTCCGCAAACTGTTTCCCCATTTGACCTCGCCGAGTTCCTGAAATAATGCCTGGAAAAATAATATTTTATGGGTTACTGGGTTATTACTGCGGTGAGAGGGAACATACTCCTCCTTTTTATAACGGCTCTTTCTTTTGTGCTGTGTGTCTCATATTTCACATAATGGATATTCTTGTTACCTCAAACCATGCAAACCATGCAAAGCTGATTTTACTGTTCACTTTAGCACATAGCTGCATTTTAATTCTTGAAAGAATTAATTTAAAAACTTTGGGAGTTTATGTTTCAGGATATCAAACATCACCCCACAACTGACACGTAATAAGTCCCTTAAACTCTTCTTTAACGGTGTATTTTTGCGATGTCTTTCAGCTGCTTGGCGAACGCTGCATGCAGGGACTGTGACGAGACCTCCAGCCTTTTAGCGATCTCTGCTGCAGCATGGAGCATGTCTTCAAAGGCCAAAGACTCTTCTCGGATTCTGGACCAGAAACACCAACAGCCCAGGTCAGACCAAGTGGAGGGCGGGGCAGGAGAAACCAGCAGCAGATGTGGAGAGAAATGCAAGTGAGTGAAAAAGGAGATGACAATGTTTATCACATTGTACGAGGGAGGGTGGAGGGTGCACATGGTTGCTGTTAAAGCCTGTTATGTGATGGAAAACTTGTGGAGGACTGAATTATATACAGTTATAAAAAATTACAAACAAAGAGGCATGACAGACATCAAAAGAGATGATTTACAACCATAGTGAGGACTGTAATTTTTCTGTTTCTCTAAACTTTGACCACACATTTGTTTGTACAAAGAGAACTAAACAGAAACCCTGAAACCAGTTTAGACTTTCCAAGCAGAACCACAATCTGGAGGGTCATATGTTTGCTTATTTTCCCTTGATTTATATGTGCATTGTGAAATACTGCATCAAACTTTGTGTCAGTGAAGACAAAAATATGAAGCAAAGCAGGAAAAATCACTGTTTCATTTTTCTCACAATATGAGGACAAAATACAAGAGAAAGTCTGAATTTGTACTCGTTTTAAAAAAAAAAGGTTATGTAAAACATGATTTTTTGAAAAATGATATCCTGTGGATGGAGGTCTCGGTATAATGGCTATTCTTACGCTCTATGTCTATGAAGTCAAAGCTCAGCAACACCCAGATTTATTTGGCTCCGGGTGTGGCTGAATGCAGATACATGTAGAAACTGTAAAACAGTCTTATTTCACCACTGAAGGATAAAATTCTGTAACTCATCTCATCTTATATCCCACAGGCTTGATTTGAGGTCAGTGAAGTAACTTTAGGCCTAACCCTGACTTCTCTGCTCTATTACTGTTTACTTCTCTTCGAGTGTACACCATCGTATGTCTGCCATCTGCTCTGAGAGGGAGAAGCTTATATTCAGATCTGACATAAAAGCAACACCTGACCATCAATTGTTAAAAACTCTTAATCTTTGTCTCACAATCAGGGTTGTTAGATGTACGATAATCATCATATTTGCACAATAATTTTGCCCTCTGTACGATGTATGATCAATAACCCAGAAAAAAAAAGGCTAAATGTACGATAATTTGACAGTTTCATGAATGCGTGGTGCAATGGGACTGTCTCACTCCGCCACACTTTATTTATCAGTTTTTTTTTGCATACCCTAAAGGCATCTTTTACCACATGTTTCCATCCAATCATAGTTTGAGTGACGTTTGTCTTAGAACAACAAGTGCGATTGGCTGTCAATCATACTCGTTGTTCTTGATTCAACACCTGTTTCACGGCACACTGCCCGTTGGGAGGTCAGTTGAGAAAAATGAGCACCGCTGAAGAGGACGGTGATGAACAGGGGCCCAGTCCTCATGTGAGGTCAATTTTATTTTTGTGGCTAAAATAAATTTCACTAAGTGAAGTCAGAATACTCTTTATTTCCTTGTCAGTTATTATGAACACTCTTTCAAAAAGGTAGTTGGCCTCAAGGTCTCATGATTTGGCTCATTAGTTCCCACCTGTCATTTGTTTAAAAGGGGACGCATTAGTGTAACACAGCTAAGTTGGAGCTGCTGATGTGGGGCAGGGCGGTGAATGACCCCAAAACTGTAGCCACAAAATCGTGAGTGCCTGTAGGACACTAAACAGACTGACTATGTTTGACTATCATGGAACAGTAAGACTGTTATTTTGATTATGACGGGTGTACGATAATTTTCCCAAAAAATACGATTATTTTAAGTCTCTGATACGATTATTTTGTATTTCCTATCTGGCAACATTGCTCACAATTCAATTTCAGATTGTGCTTTTTACTGAATGATCCCAGAACAGAGACTGATTGTGACACAAAAGCTTGTACTTAATGTGCATGTATAAGCTTAGTGATGTCCCTCTCTGCTTTCCTCAATGCTTTTTTTGTTCTTTCTAAAACTAAAGGGAGGAATTTATAGTTTGTGGTGATCTTGGTAAGGACAAAGTTACCTTTGCAAGTTTTGTCTTGTGTATAGTAAGTGTCTTTTCACAGATACTTACTCATCAGGGCCAAATGTATCACTCATCCTGAATCTTTGCCATGGGATATGTAAAGAGAGGTGGTATCAATAGTGGGGATGCGCGCTTTCAGTCTGAGTCTGACTGAATGACTGCACTTTGTCAGCTTGGGTTAATGGTTACTGCCGGCCCAGACGTGCACAAGCACAGATGACAAATGACATTACTTAGCGTGGTGTGCTTTGGCAGTATTTTGGTCCAGAAGATGGGACTTGGAAAGGGCAGCTTAACATGGGTGAAGTTGAACGGATGTACCTCTATAAGATACTTCCAATAGATCCTAAGTTACAGAAGTGAATGGAAATAGTTAAAAGAACATTTAGGAAGTGTAAATGTTCAATTAATGAGTTACCAGGAGAAGCACAAGCTCTAACGTTGCATTTGGATTTACAGCAGATTATGGATTTTCTGCTCTCAACGTGCTGAATCGCCACTTTGAGAGCTAAGTGAACGGGCCGAGTGAAAGATAACAAACATGGCTGACAAGTGCAATTAATCCAGGGCATGGTGAAGCTAGATAAGGAAATGTTATCTTAGGTACCTGACAGTTGTTTACAGGCCTCTCATCTTTTTTGGAGCTGCAAACCAATTTTCATCAATATTCTACCCCGTTGAAACAGAGCACAAGCATTATCTCCCTGACTTCTTAAAAAAGAGGTTATTTCACTCACTTTTGCATCCCTGTTAGGGCACCTGATGCTACCCCTTCCAGCTGCTTCTCCATGTCCTCCTCAGCTTTCTCTACCACCTCGTGGCAGCTCTTCTGGTCCTCTTGTATGCCGATGATATTCTCCTTTATCACATCCTCATAGCTCTGATCTCCCAGCTCAGCCCCCACAAACTGCTCCAGATTCTCCATAACTGCCTTGTTTCCATGCTGGATGGCTTGCAGATAGGCCAGCTCTTCTCTCTGTGCCTTCAGCCTGCGGGCCACAGCAGGGTCAGTATTGAAGAACACGGAACATTTGTCTGGTTGATGCTCATACTGCAGCGAAGGTGAGGGTGACGGTGGGAAAGCTGCTGATGTGATCAAGTCTTTTGTCCTCTCGGGCTCATCACCTGCTGCCTGTGACGTGTCATTGGTCAGAGTCTCAGAGAAGATGTCAAAGCCTGAACCCCAGTCTCCACTCTGACAGAGCGTTGGAGTTGCTATAGTAACCAAGATCAGGATGAAGGGCATCCAACAACGTCCCATGGTAACCTGAAGGAAAGTGAAGGTCAGTGGTTGTGGAAAGCATCAGGGAGTTTGTCGAAAAAGCTTGTCTGACATTGTTTTCTGGCTGAAGGTAAAATGAAAAGACTGATACTACTCTCATGGCTCTTCAGTGAAATTTAGGCCACAGCTGCTGTGGATTAAATTAGCTTAACATAAAGACTGGAAAGAGGGAGCCTGGCTTGGTCCAATGAAACAAAAATTTTCCCACCAGCTCTGCAGCTCGACATTTACTGCTGCCAGACAAGAAGAAGTCTGAGACAAATTCATCAACCAACCGCATTTCCTTGTTTTTACACTTGTGCTACAGTAGCTTCTTATTTAAAAGACAGAGAGGGCAGTCAGTCAGCTCTTGTGTGCATGTCTGCAAAAATTCAGTCGTCTGTTTATGCTGACTTTTATCACTTCTGAAGCCCACAACACAAAGTTTGAATATTTGGGGTTGCCAAATCTGACCTCAGGGTTTTGTAAAGTTCTGTTAGTCCACGTCATGTCTGCTGTCTGATGGTTTGCAAAATACAAGTTTTGAAAGCTCTTCAGTTACTTTTTTTTCAAACACCTGGAGTGTCCTCATTAACAAGACTAAAGTAAAACTATAATTAATCATTTTAATATCTGATTATTTGACTATAATTGAATATCTGATGTCTGTAGTGGAAACTGACACAAAAGTCAAGATAAAAAAAAGAATAAAAGTCATGTTCAAAAACCTCTAAAAAAATCATTATCTTCGCAGAACTTTGGTGCACTGAGGGCGATAGAAAGTGGGGACTTTTACTCATCCATCAGTACCTTTTTAAGTCAAAACTCTCTTTGTTATCATCCTAGATAAACACTTTAATATTAATAAGATTTAGCTGTGACTGGAGACAAGCACAAGCTGCTGGATGGGTACATTAGCACAGCTGAAAGCGTCATCTGAAGCTCTCCCAGGGTACTTTGTGCCTCTCTCCGTGTATTAAACTGCTCTATTCAAATCAAACAGACAATGAACAGAGTTATAATGCCAAAAGAAAATTGCTCTGGTGGATTGAAAGGCTAAACTGCATAATGGGGACCTAAACCTGTCTCATGACCTTTACAAGTTTATTGTATACATTTCACACAGCTGTCACCATCTGCGTCACTCTGCACCTCCCAGCCATGTAGAGATGGATTCTGTTTAATCATGAATATCAAAATGTGACGCTCTGAATGTCACACTGCATACTTTAGCACTGATCAAGTCATACCTGTAGATGTATTATCAGCCAGTGTTTGTACTTGTCTAACATGTCACTGACATATTTTATGATATTACCTCTTTAAATGTTCAGCTAAAGAAAAAATCTGCTGCAAAGCCAAAAACATGTAGAATCTGTATTAAGTGTTCCGCCAGCATCAGCAGTGCTGTCTATCGCATACAGGGTGCATATTTGGAGGGGGCGTGCAGATGGCCAAGCAGGTTAGCGTACCCCGTGTATGAGGACCACGGTCCAGCCCCGATCATGTGCTGCATGTCCTGCCCCCTCTCTCTTTCTCCCCACATTTCACCCTGTCCTATCAATAAAAGGCAAAAATTGCCCCCCAAAAATACTGATTTTCCTTTTTTTTTTCAAAGATAAGAACAAGGATGCATATTCGGAGCGAAGCAGCAGCGTAGTGCAGCCCCAGTTAGCTGGGCTCAGTATAGAGGAAACAACATGTGTAATGCTCACAACTGGTTGTTTTTCCTTTCTGTGGTCTATTTCCTGCCAATTTGAATATAATTCAGTGACTGTTGAGCCTCTACTATATGTGATTTTGTTTCAGTTTTTGCAGGTTTACTCGTGTTTAATAAAATGAACTATGTTCCTTTATGCTGTGCTGTTACTTTCAGACAGAGTAAGCAGTTAAAAGTCCTGTCCACATGGACATGGAACAGGGATTGACCCTCGGATTGTTCTGTGTTACTGATAAATCCATAACCAGGAAGTGTTTCTCATCTACACGAACTGATACACAGTATCAGTTTACTGGATACAATTTACTACAATTTACTGGATAACATACGTGGTTTTCGTGCTTGACTTCCTGTCTAGAACGGTCTTCTCTGTGTAGAATGATGTGTATTGGAAGCAGAGACCAGCAAAATAGACTTGGCGTGTATCTTTAACAGAGCCACGCTTGATACGCTTCTGATACGGAGCTGATATGCCTCCTGTGTGCGATGCTGCATTGATTAGAATGGCAACCTACTTGCTGCTTGATAAGCAACACTGACGTTATGCGCTCAATGGATCCTGTATGTTTTAGCCTTCAATAGTTGAGTAAGTATGAGTATAACCATCTACCGGACTTGACATTATTTGATTTCTCTACTCTAATGTTTACAAAAAGTCACATCAAATGTTTTATGCAAGTAAACAAACGTGGTGAATGATTTATTTAGGGTTTATCTCAGCTCTCAACTTTAAACATCCAGCCTGCCAAAAACCAATCAGGCTTCAGTCCTGCTAGGTTACACTAATGAAAAGCATCCCCTCTGTTTTGGCTGTCCATGTTTGAATATTTATCTTGAACCTAAGTGTCTGAACTGAACAGAGAAAATTTTTGTAAAGTAACTCACTTTTATAAACCCAAACTTTATCAAATCTGAATAATCCAGTCTCTGTTTTGAATAAAAGCCACTCAAATACTCAAAATCATGTATTTTTAAATGCACTAACATAAAGTTGAGTTCTGTGTTATTCATATTTCTGTGGTAAGTGCTGACAGGAGAGATTTTTTTTTTAATGTGGTTAACTTTTAAGTAAAGAGAATGAAGTTCAGTCAAGTCTCCTGCTTTAAAGGTAAAGAGATGCAACACAGCCAGACACTGTTCAAAACCATATTTTCAGTCACCTGTTGATTACCGTTCATAACAGGTCATCAGTAGCTGGGTTCAAGGCCTTGTGGGTCTTGAACTGTAGTCATTTTAAATTAATTTCCAACATCGGCTGATAAACCGACCTAATCACAGTCCTTCATTTAAGACAATGAAACGGAAGACCGCTTCAGTGTATTCCTAAACAACCAAGATGCCCCTGCCTCCTAAAGGTCTATTAAATCCACTTTGTGAATTCATTGTTACGGTAGCAATGTCTAATCCTGCAAAGCAAAATCCCACGTTTGTAAAAACTCTGAGCCAATCAAGTCTTCAGTTTTGATCAGTTTCTGTAAATGTCCAAATCTCTTAATCATGCCTCTAATTGTGCTTTCTAACTCTCTTGCGCAAGGTTGTGAGTTATGATGTGTTTAGAGACTTGAGAGGGCCCCTTTCTTTCTCTCTCTCTGTGGTTGGTCGTGACTGAGCCCTGGTATGAGTTGTGTCACTTGCTGTAAAAGCTGGCTTTGCCCCCTTTACAGTAGTGTTTCTGTTGTTTTTGGTAACCGACAGCCATCTGGGAATAATTCACAACATCTCTTCACCTCTGTAATCCTTCAAACACCAAAGAAGGATTACTTCTGTCATTTTTTTTAGCTCATGTGGGACTTTTTTCATGCCATGGCGTAGTTGGATGGAGTGTTTGTGAGCCCCCTCAGTGCGTGTTTAGTTTAACAGCCAAAAGCGTCGCTTTAGTACACTGCAGACTTCAGCCATCTCTGCCTCTCTCCTCTGCATCTGGATATGTATTTAAAAATCTGTGAGTGGAGTCATTGCAGAGCTCTTTCTGCTGTCAGAGCACATTTGGTTTCAGATTGTACAGCAGCCTTTTCCCTCATTTTAACTTCTCATAGTTGGAGCAAACATTCGAGTTTGTTGACTTACACCCATCGCCATGTTTTTTTAGAGAGACACAGACTGAATGCCCAGTCATGCTCGCTGAAGCGGACGCCGTAAAATTGTCTATTTATTTTAAGATGAGACGTGGTCTGTGCCAAACCCGTAAAACAACCAACTGGTGGCCCCTCTCTCTCCTTCTTCCTCTCCCTCCCTCCCTCTTCCTCTGTTTCCGATTAGTTTAAACAGTGACCTCACATATGTTACAGCAGCTGAAAGAAAAGAAGTAAGCAGAAAGAGTCTAATCAGTTCAGACTGAAAGCAGAGACATGATCTAGGAGCTTTGCATCGTGATATTACAGTAATAAGTTAGCTCATTTGTTTTGATTGACACTGCAGCTGAACAGACGGGCTGATATAAAACAGACATGATGAGTTTCTCCAAAGGGGACACACATCATTGTCTAAAAATGATGTTTGGTTTAGAATATAACATTATTTCCTCATTTACAAACATATCTGCTGCTAGAGTACACATCTTTGTGAAAACCTACACATAAGTCAAGGATTTTGACATTTATTAAGATTAATCAAACACAGTTTTAAATGAATTAGCTGTGACCTAAAGGAGAGTTACAGTACAATGGATTTTGAATAGTTGCTGAGCTGCATGTCCAAAACTTTTTATGACTCTGAGCTTGTTTGGACCTTGATAAATCAAAACCTTATAGTGAAGAGTGACAACAGTTTCAGTTTTATGACAACAGACAGCCAAACGGAGGTGTAATCTATCTTAGAATATAGCTCTTTGGTCTCTGTGTTCAATCCCCAGAGCAGCAGTAAAAGTAAAAAGTCAAAGGACATTTAGTGACATTAACTCAGACTCTAACCGGAGCCACGCTCGCTCCTCTCTGTGCCAAAGAGCGCCAGGAGCAGTTGTCTCTGTCTCTGGAAAATGTCTGCATAATCTCAGCCCTGGCATCTCCTGCTGCAGCTGAAACAGTGTTTGTGTGAGACGCTCTTTGACCTTTTTTGGCCTCACTGTGAAGGATCTGTCATAGTGAGGAGCTTTTATTGGCTGACTTTTCTTCAGGCTTAAAATAGCGGGAGCTTGTCTGCAGAGCCAAAGAGTCAGAGGAAGGTTTGGAAAGTTCAGCTCTTGTTCTTATCTTTAAAGAAAGCAAAAACGGCTGTTCAGACTTGTGCTGTGGTTCTGTCATCCGCAGTGCACATTCATTTATCAAGTTATAATTCAGATGAGCTCTTTCATTTCTGTCATTAACAGGCTGCCAGTATGACTTCTACTGGATGCTGAGCTGACTCCTGCTAATGCTGTTAGAATGAATAGCTTTTAAAATGTGCAATACAAATAAAACAGGGTTGAGTAACTCTAACAGAAGTCGTCCTCAGTTTACTTTCTGAATTTACACAACCGAGTTTAAAATCTATTTTCCTGACTTTTTACCATTTAAGTGCTTCGTGTGTTTGATCTCTAGTCCTGTCATTTCCTGCGGGTCAAAACAAATCAGGAGCGCGTATAACTGACTCTCAGCCTTGTGGACCCTCTTGTCCGAGCCTGAACAGGTGTGTTGCACAGGTGTCACAACACTCAGCTGCTTCTATGTTACTATGGCAACGAGGTCCTTGGCAATAATCCAGTACAGCATAGAGAGGCCTTGCGGGTTCATAGGCCTCCAAGGTAACGGTGTACGGTGAAAACATGCACACATGGCAGCATAGTAATTATAGAGACTTGGAGAGGGATGTTTGTACACACACACACACACGTAACCGTAATTTACCATCCAATAGCTAAAGAAAACCAACTTAAAATATAAAAACAGGCTGTCCCTGACTTACTTTTTTACTTCAGTCATTTAAGTACCAGGTGCAAAAGCGCCAGTATCCCATTTGTTCCCCATAACTCAAGTTCAATAAATCCAGAATCCAAACTTACCAAACTCCAGTTATTTTCACAGCCAAGTTCTCCTCCACCTCCACTTTTTTATTCAAGCAAAACCACTCAAAGCGTTCAGGACTGCCATTCACAAGCACACAGAGTGAAGGAATACTCACTCGCCTTCCTTCTTCATGTCAGAAGGGGAAAAAAAAAACCTGCAGACACGCACACACAATTAGGGTTTGGCTGCAGTGTGTGTCTGTCTGTGTGCCCCAGTCTGCTGTGGGAAGGGGAGTGAAGGGGAGGGGGATGTTTTAAGAAAAAAAAAAAGAAAGGCTGAAACTGAATGATTTCTTTCTTTGCAGTGGAAAGAGGGGCAGGCTGAAGGAGGGGTAAAGAGGGGGTGTAATCTACTTCACATCTGTGGGCTCTGGTGGGGGATAGAGGAAGCATGAGGGTTACTCTGGTATAGGGGGAAATATCTTTATGACCTGTTTTTTTTTTCTGTCCCGTTTAGAAAAAACATCTGTGGTCTATGTGGCAGTGTGAAATGTGAAAAGCTACACCAAACTCCTTTTTCCTGTGTCTGTGTTTGTGTAATGACTTTTAAACTAGGGCAGCGTACAGTAATGACAGATTATTTGGTACATGATACAAAGTTAAACTGCTGTGGTTACGTTAAATTCCTAATAACTGGCACCAAAATTGGTCTACCTAAGCTTCGTTCAGGACAGAGTTATTATGTACTAAATCCAGCCTGAGTTGACTCCAGCTCTGCCAAATTTTAGATTTTTAGTTTTCGTGCAGAAAACTTTGGAGAATCAGATAAGACTTATACAAATCTGGCCCAGGCATGGCTCTCTACAGCAGTTAGCTTTGCTGGTGTTAATGCTGAAGAGAGAAAACATGGACAAGGTCACGCTTCTATATTTACTTTCTATATTAATGATCTAAATAAAGGACATCCAGCATTTTGTAGTGGTTTAATTGAGCATTATGGCCGAATACTGATGGTTGCAGCCTTTGAGTGTGTATTTGGTTGTCTGCCTGCAGGAGATGAGTTTGGGTTGTTTTGAAATGCAGGGGTAATGCCGTGAAGGTGCAATAAAATATCATTCGCTAACACTAGAGAGTCTTTGTTTGATTTACTGTATGCTTTGTGAGTATCTCAGGTTTCAGTCAGTATGTTAATATGTTCAAAAAATTGATTCATTGCTTTAGTCTGACTGAAACTGGACTATTTAAGAATAAGAATAAGAATAAGAAGAACTTTATTAATCCCCGAAGGAAAATTCAATTGTCTGTTGTCTCACGTAATATGTCTCTAAAAGTTATCTATTATTTACATAAGAGTTATAAAGCCTGATGACTGTTGGTACAAAAGATCTTCTAAATCTTTCTGTCCTGCAGCGAAGAGAGAGGAGCCGTCCACCACCATTTGCCCTTTGGTCTATCAAGGTGTTATGAAGTAGGTGATCCATGTTCTTGAGAATAGTCTCCACCTTCCTCAGTGTAGATCTCTCCACCACATCCTCCACTGAGTCCAGCTTGAGTCCTATCACAGAGCCAGCCTTTTTCAAGACATTTTTAAGACGTCTTGCATCTTTGGGCTCTATTTTCGTGTACACCGGTGAGGCGGTGGAGGGTGGCCGGCCCTGCGCAGTTGTATTTTCGTCCGGCGGGGCCCAGGGTACAGCCAGTTTGGTATTTTCGTGGACTGAGGTGCACCGAGATCCACCAAGCTGGGCGTGGTGGCGTGGCAGGGGGAGGTGTCGACAGAATCAGCGGGCCACCGGCGTATAAAGTGCGCTGAAGGCTCGCCGATTCGAACCTGGTCAGCCTTCAGTGCAGGTGGAACGCAGCTGGTCTAGTGGTATTTTGGTAGACTGGCGGCGTATCGGCATACGTCACTGATGCCTCACCGGCAGGTTTCCACAGTGTCAGGCACATTTCAGTGCAATGAATAATCATCAACAACTAATAGGGCTCTATTGTCGTGTATGCCGGTGAGGCGAAGGAGGGTGGCGGACCCTGCGCAGTTGTATTTTTGTCTGGCGGAGCCCGGCGTAGAGCCAGTTTGACATTTTCGTGGACTGAGGCGCACTGAGCTCCACCAAGCTGGGCGTGGTGGCGTGGCAGGGGGAGGAGACGACAGAATCAGCGGGCGCAGTGACATTTTCGTGCTCGCCACCGGCGTATAAAGTGCGCTGAAAGCTCACTGATTCAAACTTTGTCAGCTTTTAGCGCAGGCAAAATGTAAACAGACAAACAAATGTAGTTACTTTTTATGAATCGTTCGAGCACAAAGGTCAAACTTGTCTGGCTTTCGAAATGATGGACAGAGACCTGATTTAGCTTTTGGGGGACGGACAGTACAAACCTTTGTCGCTCAACGAGATCCGACCGATTGCACAGCAGGTAAAGAACTTGCAGCCAGTAGATCAATTAATTATTGAAGTAATACAGAATTGAACCAGCTACAAATAGAAGAAAAAACATACAGCACATTTGCTCTGATCTGTGAACTCCTGCAGCACACTTGTTTGCTGTAATCCTCTTCATTTTTTTTTACTCTTTCTTCCTGCAGCTGCTCACAGCTTTTGTCACCCTGAAAGGTACTGGTGTGATCCACGCTGACTTAAAGCTTTATAATGTCATGCTAATCAACCACAAGAACCAGCCTTTCAGGGTCAAGCTGATTGATTTTGGCCTTGCGCGTCAACCAGAGACCTGATGTAGAGTGCTTCTTTGTGTTTGGTCCTAGATGATGAACATAGTGGATGTTCTTGGTCAGCCTGATGAGCATGTGCTGATGCCGGGATTTACACTGACAAATATTTTAAGGCAAACCGGCACTTGACCAAAAAGTGGTGGCTGAAGGTATTTTGACTCCTAACCTGTAACCTAACCAGATTTTTTTCTTCCATAAACTGATTTCAGAACTGAGTATCTGACATGCACTCTATGTTTTATTCCTGTGGACTCCCATGGAATATACAGGGTCACTTGGGTTCGAAAAGAGTGAGGCGCCTCTTAATAACCTCGATGACATAGTTACAGTAAGTGAGATATTTGAATGAGTAGAGAGAATAAATACTGATTCATTTCAGAGACAATGAGCTAATAAAGTCAAATCTCTGTCATTTGTTTCTATTGTAGCTCCTCCCAGATGTTAAGGAGCTCATCGAGGTGGAGGATGGGAGAGCGTTTGTGAGCCTCCTAACTGGTCTCCTCTGCACGGACCCCAATAAGAGGATGACTCCAGGAGAAGCCCTCAAACACCCCTTTATAACGATGATCCATCTGGAGGAAGAGGCAGATTCCAGCATGTAGTAAGTGACGGTCTTCTGGTCGCAGAGATCTTTGCCTTGAGGTCAAATGATTTGAAAACTAATTTTCATGCTTCACTTTAGTGTGGAGGACGCATTTAAAAAAATGAGTCTGGTGACATCTGAGAGTTCAGATGAGGCCCTCAGTTTTGACCTTGTGATAGATGACAAACCCAAAACTGAGGGAACTCCAGCCCTAGAACCTCAAGAACCAGTCCCCTCGGCCACCATTTGCATCGAAAACCTGGAGGAGGCCGATAGACAACCAAGGCTTGCTAACAATGGGCCTACGACTGAAGCACAAGCTTCTGGAGTGAGGAGAAGCGGCCCGCTAAAACGGATGCAGAGTTTCTTCACCAGGGCCTTTAGACGTGTTTTCGGGATCAGAAAGAGACCCTCAACAATTGTTTAAAATAGCTTTTGTTTTGCATTTCACGTAAAGCGCTTCGAGGGTCTCTGATAAAGCGCTATATGAAATCTGATGCATTATTATTATTATTATTATTATTATTATTATTATTATTATTATTATTATTATTATGTGGTGGAAATTCCACTCTGCCATTGAAAGTTGAAAAACTTTCATTTGTATAAAATGTGATGTCAGGATCAGTAAGAGATCCTCAACAAATGTTTAAAGTAACTTATTTGTTTGCATGTCATGTGGTGGAAATGCCGCAATGTTATTGAAAGTTAAAACTATAATTTGTGGAAAATATGATGTTGGGATCAGTAAGAGATCCTCGACAGATGTTGAAAATAACTTTGATTTGTTTGCATTTCATGTGTATTATGTGGTGGAAATGCCACTATGTTATTGAAAGTTAAAACTTTAATTTGTGAAAAATGTGATTTCAGGATCAGGAAGAGATCCTCACCAAATATTTGAAAAAGCTTTTATTTGTTTTGCATTTTAGGTGGTGGAAATGCCACTATGTTACTGAAAGTTGAAACTGTAATTGATGTAATGTGATTTACCAGTCACATAAACAATAAACAGGTATGACAAAAGTCTGTCTTGACGATAGACTCAATCTTTATTACATCAGTGATAGCCATAATATTGCAGACATGAGCTCCATGAGTCGGCTGTCTATTTCAACCTTTTCTTCATAAACATAAGGGCCTCAGTGAATGATGGTACTGAGAAGAGTTTTACAACAGATTTGTTTCATTATTGTTTATGTACGTATATGTGATAATAATTAAACACCAAGACTTCTTACATGAACGAGACCGTTACAGAGGTTATTTTCCCCGTGATTTCATTCACAAAAGTCACTCAAGGTCAAAGGAATTGTTTTCAACTCAATGAGATAGTCACTACATGCAGAGTGCAAAACAACTAGTCTGAGCCAAGATTAATCCATTACATAGGTTTTTAAAAAGTGAAATTTAACTCTTGTATTAAAAAAGTATGAGGTGACACCGATGCAAAAGATCCTGGTGAAATAGCTTCCATAATAATAATAATAATAATAATAATAATAATAATAATAATAATAATAATAACTTTATTCATATAGCACCATTAAAAACAGATGTTTACAAAGTGCTTTAACTGAGAAGCAAACAAAGGCAGAAACAGACTAAAGACAATTGACAGTTAAAAAATGGACAGTTAAAGATCAATGGTTGATGGCATCACATCAGGAAGGTGGATAAGGGACAGATAAAAGCGGAAGAGAAATAAATACATAGATAATACAATAAGATAAGGTAAAATAAGAGTAATGTGAACTACGGGGTTCTTTTAGTGTCCAAACGTGGTTTTCCTATTTTTGCTTAAATCAGAACCAGACTGTAGACAGCATTTAGCCGGCTGACATTTTCACTTCATGACAGTCTTGAATATTTTCTTAAAAACTATTCCAGAGCTGCTGTAGTTTAGATGTTACTGCAATCAACTTTGAGGGCTTCATAAAAACTGAATTTAAAGTACTTCATTAGTTTTGCATCTTGACTCTTAAACCAATCTGGTCTTTATGAATAAATAAACCACCCCAGCAAATCTGAGCTACACAAGATGTTACACCTCATCTTCAGAGATTGCATTGCATAAAACTGATTGTCCACTGTGCACACTGGACCGATCAAAAGCACATCTCTAAAGGCTCATTTATGCTGACCATACATATGAAAATGCGTCAAACAATGCTTCCGTCACTGCCCACATATTTCCATGCATTCTTTACATTGGTATGGACGTTAACCATTACACCCACTAGGAGGAAGGCCAGAGTCAAAAGTTTCTGACAACAACAAACAAAAAGAGACATGGCGACTGTGAAGGAGCTAGTGATAATGTATATTTTGCATAGAGGGCAGAAACGGAGGTAGCGTTGGAGGAGGCGGTGGTCAGTCAGGCCACTTAATGCCTTGCGGTTGGAGGACAGAGAATACTTTTTTTAGAGATTTTCACACAACCTTTCCTCAAAACGTCCCGCCATTGTCGTTTTGGGTAGTGACAGAAGCAACACTGCCCCCACGGTTTCTGGTTGTACTGCTCCGTGTCTGTAAACTTCAAGGATACGTGCAGAAATACAGACGAAAAGAACGCAAAGCAGATCTATATGTAACGTTAATATAAATGAGCCCTAAGTGTCAACAATACTCACTGATCTTAAACCCAGAGACAGAGAAGTCCAAAAACAATATTTTTCACTAACAGTTGGCACACAAGGGGCAGATATTTGTACTTATCTTATCAGCATTAAGTTGTAGGTTGTAAACAGTTGTCTGCCCTCCAAAAGCACCCTTTGATCGAGTCTTGTAAGCAAACAAAGGTTGCTTTCAGCTGTTTGCTTCAGGCTGGCTTGTAACCTTCTGGGTGGGCAAATATTTTCTGTCTGCCTACTTCCTAAAAACAGACAAACAGGATTGTCCATAGAGTGAGCACAAGTCAAGGCTCAACAAATCAATCATGAATAATGAAGTTATTAATAACCACTCTCAAGATTTTGTAATGCAAGCTAAATAAGACCAGCCCTGTGGTTCTCCACCTGCAGCAGACTGCCAAGTAATTTAGGTCATTGTGGTGAAATAAGGAGGCGTCATACAGGAACTCCTTCAATAAACTTAAGGAATCAGTGAACATAGAAGCAGGGTGTGAGCCATCTGGTTTCATAACTTGTGCTTCACCATGCTGCTCTGTTTAAAGTTACATAGAGTTGTGTTGCATTGCAAAGAGTTGTGTTTTATGGCATTGGATTGTATAGTATTATGTTGCTTGGCGTTTACCACCAAGGTAATTAACCACCACCAGGGTGTGACTGTGGGAGCAGATGAATGATGTATCCAATGTTAAGCACTTTGAGGTCACTGATAAAGTGCTTTATGAAATCTGATTTATTATTATTATTATTATTATTATTATTATTATTATTATTATTATTATTATTATTATTATTATTATTATTATTTTTGTTATTATTGTGATGATGATGATGATGATGATGATGATGATGATGATGATGATGATTATTATTATTAATAGTAGTATTAGTATTAGTAGTATAGTAATAGGTATTATTATTATTATTATTATTACATTACTAAAATGACTGATAAAGAGAAACAGAAACAGGGTTTTGGTTTTAAAATAGAACTTTCGCTTTGGATGCATGTGTTTTTAAGGCTGTGTTGTGGTGCTCTGTGTTATTTCGTGTTGCATTACTTAGCATTGTGGTGCTTAGCATTGCATTGCGCAGCATTGCTTGGGGCTGTATAACTTTGCTTGCATTGATTACTCTCTGTGGGGTTGCTCTACCATCCATTATCCACAGCTGGACACTCGATTCGGAAACAACTTAATCCAGCTGATTTTGTAACTGAGGCTGCTCAGGCTGCATGCTCTTAGTGTTTTAGCCAGAGCCCAAGAGCTTTTATCATATTTACTTCTATTTTCTAAGAACAATTTTTGTGTGAAAATACAAGGCTTGTCTCCGTAATGCAGTTCGGCTCTTTTCAGAGTTAGTCTTCAGGCACTCGGTGATTAAAAATGTAAAAACAAACTGGTCTCTTCACAGTAAATGGGCATAATTCAGTTAAAAGGGTTATTTTGGGATTAAATATCTGCTTTTAAGACTCCACTGGGATGCAATGCTTGACTAAATTGGAGGACTATACTGTATAGAGCCTTGCAGTTCAAATTGTACTTGTTTAAAGTTAAACCAAAAGTAATGAGAGGGCAAAATGAAAAAAAGAGAAACCAAGTCATAGATTAATGAGATTGTTTGAGTAAAAAGCAGCATTGTCATCTTTTTTAATCAGTCATGTAAAATAGAAATACAAATGAAAGGAAATAAGCTCAAAAAGCACTACAGGGTTTTATAAAAACAGCATAGTCTGTTGCTTTCTGCACAAGTAGAAAGCTTAAAAAGCTTACCATTGAAAATAAAATAGAGATGACACAGTTTTTCATCCCAAGACTAAACCATGATTGCTTTGTAACCTTTACAGAGAGCATTTTAGCAGCAGGTATAAATGGGACCTTTTATCACTTTCTCTTAACTGCCCTTCACATACCTTGTTTTTGCTGTAAGGCTGAACACTAGAAAGCAAAGCATGTTTTAAAAGTGGGTGCACACACCACTGGAATAGTGCCACAGGCAGGTGGGTTCACTGAAGAGAGAAAAAAAGAAATCTGACTCTTAATCTTGGAGGAACATATCCATGACAGCTGCTGATGGCAGCCAGTAATCCAGATCAGCTTTGATTTGAATGATTCATGATACCTGCTGCAGAATGTTTCACCGCGGGCTGAATTTTAAAGAAGCATGGAAGAAATCTATAATTTTATTGACTCCCAATCAGCAACATCGACCGGTCTTTGGCACATTTAAATTTATCTAGGAAGAGGATTAGAGATAGATAATTAAACATTAGATACATGTGTTTATTACATCAGTGTCAGGTTTGTTTAGAAGATATCTTTACTTCTGAGGTGCTGAAATAGCTTTGAAAATACCTGCAGTTTGTCACTCTACAGTACAGATTTAGAACTCTATGATTATGTTCAACTTACGCAGTGATACGGACTATTTAGGTCGAGTCATTTTAACAGAACCAATTCTATGAAACAGCTTCAGTTTTATATGACTTTAAAAGATGAGGTGTCACAGGTGGTGTTTTATCATCTCCCAGGAAGACTGTGACAGAAGACAACTCTCCAGTGATAAAGTCAAAACCTTAAAAATCATTTGTCATAAATCATTTGCTCTTTTGTAATTCTTGACCAAAGATCTATCAGCAGCATCTTTCAGCCACACGTGGGCCAGATGGTCTTTGTCAAACATCTCAGAGTTTAAACCCCTCGGCTAGGTTTGGTCATGCATGCAGCATGTACAAGATGCTTCCATCTGCACAAAGACTCCATATGGGAGCTGTTTTTCATCCTGTCTATATACTATG